CTCGCTTTACTGGCCGAGGGAGCCGGCGTTTGTCCGCAGACAGCTTTCTGGGTCATGTGGCCAGCATGACTAAGCCGCTTCCGGCGAACCAGAGCAGCGCACGGAAACGCCATTTACCTTCCTGCCAGAGCGGTACCTATTTATCTACTTGCACTTTTTGGTGTGCTTTCAAACTGCAACGGGAGCTCACCCTGTCATGGGGATTCAAACTGGCGACCTTCTGATTAGCAAGCCCAAGAGGCCCAGTGGTTTAGACCACAGCATCGCTGGAAGAGTCATACAAACCTGTTAATTCTTTCCACAGGTGAAGGGGGCACCACAAGTATGAGAGACTGCTGCTGCTGCTGCTGCTAGCCTTTCCCCTATTGAGCTTGGGATGCTTACCTGGATAGGCTTTCCGAGAATGAGGAACTCCAGTCACACAGGGTTCCCCATCCCATGGAAGCCTACGCATGCAGTTTTGCCACAGGGCCCCACTCAGCAGGAGCAGGACAGCCCCACAAACAGCAAGGCTGACTAACACATTTTGATGCAAGTGGGGGGAAATGCATACTGCATTACTATCTACAGAGAGGGTTCCTGTGAGACCATTAAGTCTGAAACCTATACGGCTCTCTTTTGCAGACATCCAGACATGGACAGCTTAATGCCAGAGGCAAGGCAAATAGTGCAGCCCTCACATCTTGTGAGTTACAACGCTTCGCTTCTGTTTTCAAAGTAGTAGCCTCAGTTTAGGGTGTATGTACACATTTAAAGTCCATTCCAGGCAGCACAACACAAGCAGGGAACACTTCCCCTTCCTTTGTTTAATAATCTTAAGGTTTACTTAAGGCAAAAATGTATGCCATATATTGTTTGCAGAGTTCAATGAAAGCAAATGTATAGAGTTATATAGTTTTGTTTCTTCTGCCCAAGCAGCTTGTATTCTCAGGCAAGCTTCCCTTTCAAATTCTTCCAATTTCAGCTCTCGAGACTCCATAAAATGCAATTATGGAATTATATCTGCTGATAATATGCTTGTGTCCAGTGCAGTTTGCTCTACCCTAATGCAAAAGAAATTACTTTTAAAAGATAATTGCTAGGCACAGTAAAATGGTTGTACTTAACCCTAATTTGTACAGAAGCTACATGAGAGAAGCGGAAATGCATTATTATATTATATTATATTATATTATATTATATTATATTATATTATATTATAATATTATATTATATTATATGACATTATATTATATTATTAGAATTAGAATTGTCTTCCACTGCTGCACAACCTGTCCATTTTCTTATAAACTGGTTTATCCAAGTACTCTCATGGGGGCATGGAAAATTCAGAATGAGTTATATTTGTCACCAATCCTTATTCCATAGGACAGGCATGCAAGTCTAACTGAGCAAGTGTTTTTGTTTTGATTATTATTATTATTCAGTTAATAAGAGGATGCTACCTTCTGTTTCTTGCAAAGTGTTGCCTACCTTGCCTTTACATCCATCAGAAGTGCTATCGATTTTTAAAATGTCATTTATTTTCTTTTTTAACTATTCAAATATTTATAACCCACCTTACATCAAGTAATCTCCTGGCAGAATACAACAGTGAAACACAAAATAGAACAATGTAGGGGTCCTTCTCTGGATCCAAGGCTTGCACCTTGTTCTCATCTCCCACATAGCTGTCCTAGGAGTGAGTGCTCCTTCTGCTGCAATAATGGCAAAGGGCAGACAAGATGTGGCGCCATGGCAGAAACCCAGCTGGCTAGCAGCAAGCACAGCAAATAGAGAAGCCTCAACGATGGGAAAGAAAACAAATAAATAAGGCAATACCTTGGCTTCTTACTATAATACTACTCAGCAGCAAATTAATTATTCATTATGACATATTTACTTATGGCTTTTATATTAAACTGCAAATTACACACTGAAGGTCATTGGGAAAAAGCAGAGGGCCCACCTCTGTGGCCGAAGGGTGGAGAAAAATGAGCCCCAGGCAAAAAGTCATAGAGCTGCCCAAATAAATACTGCTGCTTCTCAAGATGGAGAAAGCACAGTGGCCATATAGAGAGCCCACCATGTGCGACAATGAGGTGAAAAAATAAAACCCTAATAGCTTTTCCAGCATGAAGATTAGAATCACCATGCTTCTTCATCTGCATAAATATACCTGGGGGAGAAGGTTGACTGCTACTGGAAACCTAGGTGTGTGGAGGGGAGGCAAAATAGTGTTACAGACATCGTGTTTCAGAGAGGGTGCAGAATATGGGTCAGCCTAGACAAAGCTCCTATGCTCTTTAATACAGTACTAAAATGGTACAAGGGTATTTAATTTGGACATGAAAACAATCAGGCAGGGTCTTAGAAGACTCGCAGCATGCAGTAGGCAAAATGTACTGTAGTTTGAGAATTAATCAAGGGAAATTCAAGGAAGGACAGTAAAGCAAACCATAATAAGGCAACAATGTTATTTGGACAAGACAGGCTATGTGCTAGGAAGAGGGTGTGTGTGTGTGTGTGTGTGTGTGTGTGTGTGTGTGTGTTCTTTGCATTGCTTTCTGCAGTTATCTCCTGTACAAAAAATTGTACTACAAATCTCCACAAATAGCTTTTGCTCCCAGTGTTTACTTTGTTCAAGAGCTTTGTGGTTCAGATCTTTACACAGGCTGAAACAGGACATTACATTGTTTGACTTTTAAACAAAAATTGCTTCATAGCTTTATAAAATTATCTTGTTAAAAGATACTTTTCCTTAACAATATTGTTGATCAACTGAGATTCTTCCATGGTGGCTGGAAATAGTTTGATTTCTCCACTTACCACTTTTCAATTAGTTTTTTTTACTATTATGAAATAACACATTATTTTGCCACAACTTAGGCACAAAAGCAACTCAAGCCAAGCAATAAATTCAGGGGGCCAAGCACCTTTAAAATTCTACTTAGGCTGCAGTCCTGTGCCCACTTGCCTAGGAGTAAGCACCACTGAACTCAATGAGATCTGTTTCTAACGAAGCCTGATAACGAAGCCTGATAACGAAGCACAACTAATGTTCTAAAATAGTCACAGCCAATTGTCCTAACCTTATTCATATTCAGACAAGAATATACGTGCACGAAAGAAGACTGTGATGGCCAGTAGGGAAACAGAGTCCTAACATGGCAGAATAGACTGTATGATGTTCCAATTGCAAGCGGAGCACCACATTTTTAATGCTTCTGTCCACAAAAAAATAAACACAGCTCTGTGTGAAGATCTATTGCGGAGGGAGCCCCTGGGGAGGCGCAGAGGGGAAGTGAGGAAACATTTGAAGTGCTACCATCACCTTCACCTGCAGTCTGAAGGTGGTACAGTCCACAATATTCTACCATCTCTCTCAACTTCATGCATATAACCAGACTGCATACCAACATTTCGGCATAGCTGAGAGTCGCAACATACATGTTGTTCTCACTACCAACATCCAACTACTTCTGCAATCCTCCTCTTTGTGGACATCAAACTGGCCCTGCCATGAGGCAGAGTGAGAAAGCAGGTGCTGGTAAGTAGGGAGCACGTCACCAGTGGCAGCCTCTGGGACATGCCTCCCGAGTCCCTTGACCAGCCCCTTCAGTTGGAGGACAAAACTATGTGGGCCACACAGCTTGCTCTGCACCCCTTAAGTCAGGCATCCCCAAACTTGCCCCTTCAGCTGTTTTGGGACTACAACTCCCATCATCCCTAGCTAACAGGACCAGCGGTCAGGGATGATGGAATTTGTAGTTCCAAAATAGCTGGAGGGCCGAGTTCGGGGATACCTGCCTTAAGCAGCTCTTTCCAAAAGCTAAGTAGTAGTCCCCTGTTTAATCATTCAAAACAGGAGTGCTTACATACTTTTTTTATAAAAAAAAAAAAACAAGTTATCATCCCAGGTGAGTGTTGTCAAGATTGCTTTAGGGCATCAAACAGAACCAACTTTAGTCCTCTTCAGACATGCTCACATAACTAGGAACAGAACACCCGCAAAACAAGGAATAAAAAAAAGCAGTTCTAATGCCTTTCACTGATATTTCTATACAAAGAAAGCACTCTAAGAAGGAAGGTTATTCCTACTACCTTTAAAGTAATTACTAGCATCATAGTAACGGGATGACAACATGACCCATAAGCCGATAACACTTTTAAAGAAAAGGGGGGGGAAACCCACAGCTGATCTCTACATTCTGTGATCAGAGCTGTTCTTGTTTTGTTTTTTAAATAATTACACTAACCGATTTAGGCCTAATGATGTTTATCCTAAAAAGCAAGGGCAGAATTAAGCACAGCTGATGTGTTGTTAACCATTATTGAAAGTAATCATATATTCTCTGTGGCCAAAGCCTTTTCTGGCAGCAGCCTCTCTGCGGATTTATCATTAACATCTACATCTAATACTCCTAAATAATTCAGAACACCTTTCAGCCTTATGCCCTTGCCTGCCTACCCAGAAACCTCTTTCGCTATTTACATTACATCCAAGTGAAAATACAAAATGTGACTGTTTGTTTGTTTTTACTTCTACTACTATTACTTTGTAGAGGTGCAAGCACTTCTCTCTCTTTTAAACATGGATTACTCCCTGCCCCCACCCCAAAAGGTATTTATTAAATCTCTAAATTTAGAAAATTACCCAGAGTTAGAAGCATGTGGTCTCAGATTCTTATGCAAATTCCCCTTTAATAATCCTAATGCAAGCAACCCTCCAATCAGAAGAATGCTGTCCCATCCCTGATACCTGATGCCAGCTTTCTGGTAATGTAGGCCACTGAAGCAAATCCAGAGAGATTGAGTTGGAAGACGGAGGAGCATCTGAGATTCATTTGGTTACTGTGCTACCTCGCTATCTCTCTCTCTCTCTCTCTCTCTCTCTCCCTCCCTCTCTCTCTCTCGTTGTTGCTTCCACCCAGGAAGAATTTCAAAATGGGTTTTAGCTGAGACATTTCCAGCTGTGTCAAGAGTAAGGAGAAGGGGCAGCGTTTAAGAGAGACCAAAAAGAAAGGACCTAAACTGAAGCGGAACAACGAGGAACATTCATGAAAGCATGAGGTGGCTCTTAGACAGCAGCTGGAAGAAATTTGGACACGCTGACAGAGGAAACTATGACTGGTTAACTAGTGAGCCAGGTGTCCCATTGCTGGAAACACAGCTACAGGTCTGTACACAGCTCTTTCTGCTCCATTCAAGAATTTACAATTTCTTCTCTTAAGAGAGATGACTAAAAGACAGTTTTGATAGAATTTGGACCATGTAATATCAGATAAGCTGACTTTCAAGGGTGCGGAGATGCAATCTTCATTTTATTCTCTGTTCTAGGGCCTCATTTTTCTGTTCAACAACTTGAGAGAAAAGGGCATTATGTAGACAGAGATGCTAAAAGTTTAGTCCAAAACTGATAATGGGTTACAAAATGAGATAATTGTTCTTTCATCTGTCGTTTTCTTTCAAAATGCATCCCTCCTTGTCTCTCCTCCCACCCCAAATCTCTCTCTATCTCCCTTGATCGGGTCTCTGCAAACCCTTCCACAGATGTTAGACTGAAGTGCTGAACTCTTATTCTCTAAGCTGCGCAAATTACTTCACAGAGTGTAGGGAACTGGCAAGGGGAGGGAGCGGGAGACGTCTGTCAGAAATGAAAACACTGCCCTGAATGTAAAGAGGGAGAGTTCATAGAGAATGAAAGAGACTTAAAAGGTCACATTTAGCCCTGGAGTAAATTAATATCCAAGGATAAACATTTAATACAGAAGAAATAACTTTGTCCACACTCCCTATAGAAGGTACTAACCATGCTGAATAAAAAAATAAATCTGTCTTAGACCAGCATGTCTGCAATTAAGTCAATTAGCAGTGCAATCCTATGCATGCCTACTCAGAAGTAAGTCCCACTGAGTAGATCCATTTGTGACAGGACCAAAACAATAGATTGTATATGACAATAAACTGATTTCTGCTGCTATCGCCTCAACCAAAACAGCCCTCAGTTAAATGCAAATATTCAATATGTGGGATTTTCTAGGCTCACTCACATATCCATTTGTTTTTCATTCACCAACACTTGATTCCATTCACTTGGTGGAACTTTTGAAATATATTGGGTCTGAGTTGCCACTAAATGATACAGAACCTCTGCCTGTGGTGATAAATATGTGACAATTCATGAGCATATTCACATCATTTACCTGATGTGAAAGTCAATGGGATTTATGAATGTGCATTTGTGGACTGGACCTCTGTTAAAAGTCACTTCACATTAAATCTTGCAATTTTCATACACAAATCATTCCTGCTTTTGAATGAAACAATTTCCGCTCTACGCACAATTCTGCTTTTAATTATTAATTCCAAGTGGAACTAGCCCCCTACCCACAGTGGTCACACAAGCAGGTTTTTTCCAGAGGTAAAACTAGTTAACAAAGAAATAAAATTGTTTTTCTTACCTCCATAACAGGACTAATACATTCATGAATGTGTAGAACAACTTGCAAAAGCAGAGAGTCCCATGCAGACTTGGGGATAAGCACACTATATAATATGGTATCTGAATTCTTACCCTCTCCCCTCACTGAAAGTGCACCCTACCCATTCATTAGCTTAGGCATTCCAGTTAGAGAAAAGTTTGAATTGCATGTGTTTTTAGTTTGTCGCTTCTGAGTATTACATAATACGTAGAATTATAATTATGTGCCCAGCTAATAGCTCCTAGTCTCTATATATTTCCGTACCTAGGGGTGGTAGAGTAATTCAGTTGCAAATTTGCACTTCCCAAAACAATACATGTACCAAAATAAGTTGTCCTTTGAAATTTGCACTTCTCAGAATTTTGCAATACAGTTCTCCAGTCAAAAATGTGTATGAAACACTGTACCTTAAGGAAACATGTGCATAAAAACACGTGTTCATTAAAATAACACACAGCATGTGTTATGTTAGGGAAAATTCATTGCAAAAATGTGCTTATTAGGAAAACAAATTGAACACAAATGCTGATGAATTTTCTTGAGGGTTTTCTTTTTTAAAAATGCAATGCAGAAAAGTGGTAAACTGAACTTGAGGCTGGAAAAAGGAAAAACTGAGAGAAACAAGAATTGATAGCTAGCCTGTTGCTAACTGTAATTAAGCCCAAGTATGCATTACTGAAATAATAAAATATTATTCCCTTGCCTACCCCTGCCTCCATTTTCCTCCTCTTCCTCTGCTGTTTCCCTGCGCCTGTTTTATATTATAAACTTCTTCCACATATGTTCTTTGTAAAGTACAGAGATGGCACTATATCAATAGATAATATTAGGAAATTGGGCAAATCAGCTTCTTCTACCAAAATGACATGTCTCTTATCGCTGATATATTTTCCCCAAATTGTTTTGTCAACCAAAAAGCATAACCAAAGTATCATAGCTGTCAACTTTCCCCCTTTTTTAAGGGAAATTCCCTTTTTCCGAATAGGATTCCTCGCAAGAAAAGCGAAAAGTTGACAGCTATGCAAAGTATTAGGAGGGATGCCTGATGTAAAATAAAGAAAGCACAAAATGATAAGATTTGTTTCATGAAAGAGAACCTAGGTTAAAAACCCAGGCAATTTTATCTTTTTTAAGAAGTGAAAGATATTTGAGAAAGGTATTGCTTCTCTTAGTGTACATGCACATTTCTTTTTCCACAGCGTTACATATGATTTTGTAGAGTTGTGAAAAATACGAAAGCCTGCAAATGTTCACTAAAATCTATTTACCAGAGTTAAGTGGAATGAGTGTACTTATCGCACTCCACACAGTGATTTCCCCCTCCCCACTTTGTCTGAAAAATATATGATCTGTCTCCAGCCTCCATTATATCAGCCTCCCAAAAGCAACATTTTCAGTCATCAGCACGCTGACTATGATAAAGTTTTCTGCATCTATAAAGCACACAATATTCAAGCACATCTGACGACTCATATTGAAAATCTATGCAACAAATGCTTTCACTGCTCCCGCATTTGGAAATATTGATTCTGCTTTCCCTAGTGAGGTATAAAAAACAGAGGGTAGAAGGCGCACTTAAGAGTCATTTGGAATGCATCCTGTTTGTGATTCAGCCATTAGGCTGCAATTTGTACTAAAATGGAATGGAAGAGAAAAGTCACAGCTTTCCTTTATCTCATCCACCTCTCCCCACTACCACCAACCATATTGCAAAGCCTTTAAGGAAAACTGTAATTGATCTCACAATTCATTGTGCCAGTTATTTACTACTTTTTTTGCAATTTCCTGGTATTACAGTAACCAAAACTACAATGTGCTATAAACATGTATCAGGTGGGGATGCCCATCTCATACTTTTAATTGAAGCCTTTTAAAACTCCCACTTCCTTCACCATGACCCAATGGCCAAAGGTTTCTTCATCACAGCTTTGCTATCTCTGCTCCACTCTTGGTGCATAATAAACTTTTGGCGGGCACCAAACCTTAAATCAATATTAATTTCATTATTCTACTATTTCTACAAATTTCCCAAAAGTGATAATTAAAATAGTGTGATTTTACTTCATTGTATGTGTGTTTTTAACTGAGTCTATAGCACTTTACTCAAAAACAACCATGAGCACTAGTTTTTCCCTCTCTATATTGAGTTCCTAGTGCAATGTGGGAATGTTCATGCTCAGTGCTATTTTTCTAGAAAAAGAGGTGCTAGAACTGTTCTTGAACGCCTCCCTTGTTCTCTTACAATGGCAATGGCACCCACCTGAGAGGTGCCGGAACTGAGTTCCGGCTGGAAAAAAGCCTTGTTCACGCTGACTTGATTTCATGATGCCTAAGTGCAAAAGGCACTCTGATAGCAAGGAGAAGACTTTCCTTCTTAGTGCACATTGTGCATATTTGATACAATATTGCAATAATACTCCAAAAGAAATTACACACAATAAAGATATCTATGTGCTGCCTTGATCTAGGAATGAATGTCCTGAATATATGCTTTGAAAAGGAATGAGCACTCGCGTGTTTACCATGTGCACACACAACAGGAAGCTGTGACTGGCTTCCTATTGCATGCACTGCAGACACAGCTGCATTCATCATAGGTAATATTGTGTATATTTTCTCATATGGAATTGCCAATCAGGCACTGGGCATACCAAATGCTATCAATTGGTTTTTGAAGGCATGACGTTTGTTCGAATGGAATGTGCACTTAGACACAACTTATGTATTCTAGAGTGCTAGCACAGACTTGTGTCTATATATGGGAGGGAAAGCAATGCAAAAGCAGCTGAACTTATATACATGTCATGGGGCTTAGGGGTTGTGGTCTAAGATTATTGTGCAGCAACAAATGCAAGGATAAAAATCAATAGCATCCTTCAGCCTGACTATATATCTTCCCTGGTCTTTCCTTAATCCACCCTCATTCTGTTTATTCCATACAAGATCATCAACAGTTATCCCTCCTGTTTTTTAAGCCACATTGCTATCCTTCAAAATTATTTCTAAATGCCTCTTCCTCTGCGACCTGACTTTCCTCTAAGTTTATGTCACTTACTGTCAGTCTCTCTATGCCTTATTTCATTGGTCACTAAGTTTTCTCAGCAACCACTGCATCACCTCTATGTTCTGCATTCTGATAGTACAGTGGTAGCTTGGGTTACATACGCTTCAGGTTACAGACTCCGCTAACCCAGAAATATTACCTTGGGTTAAGAACTTTGCTTCAGGATGAGAACAGAAATCGTGCAGCGGCGGTGCAGCGGCAGCAGGAGGCCCCATTAGCTAAACTGGTGTTTCAGGTTAAGAACAGTTTCAGGTTAAGAACAGACCTCCAGAACGAATTAAGTTCTTAACCTGAGGTACCACTGTACTAAATACCAGGAGGTATTGCCTATAGGAGGATTGCCGGTTGCTGAGCATTAATGGAAAACCAAAGCAATTTGGGGCCATTTGTACTGGCAAGCATCCTCAATGTGACTCCTCTCAGCCAGAAAGGTTGTTTAGGCGAGTGTGAGCTGGCATTCTGAGGACAGACAGAATTCTATTCTGTTCTGTGGACAGGTACTCCCAACAGTAGGTGTGCATTCACAGAACACTGGCTTCCTTGTCAGACATCAATACACATGTCCTGTACCAGGACTGACTGAGAGGAATAGTGTAGATGACTTGTCATGGTCAGATCACTTCCTGTTGAGATTTAGGCTTTCAGCACGCTTTCCCCCCCAGCAGAGGTGGCAGAGCCATAGCTAGGTGATCTTGCACCCCTGGCAGAACGGTCCAGATTGCACCCCCTAGGCATGGACAAATTAGCTCTTATTTCCACCTCTCCTCCAACCCCAACCCCCTTCTACCCATTCAATTCACCCTCTATTTAAAGCCATTTCTTATGAGGCAATAATCAATATTTATATTTATGGACATATTTTTAGCCAATTTTGCACCCCCCATTGCCTGCACCCCTGGCAGGGGCCCACCACACCACCCCCTAACTACGGCCATGAAGACCTATTAGGATGGTTTGCCCTCAGAGGCTGGTGGATCCAATGGGTTTCTGGATGGCTCTGGGAATGCCAGAGGTTCATCATTTGCCCTTTTGTGTTCTGCACACCTCCAGAAGATAGAAGTGTGGGACATTTTCTGGGTTTGTGGGCAGAAAGATCTTCATAGAAGCAGTTTAAAAAAAAAAATTCAAGAGAGAAATATGGCATGTGCTCAACAGCATTCTCATTTCTCATTGAAAACAAGACCTGGGGGGGCAATTCTATACGCATATTTGTAACTAAGCGCCATTGAACTCAGTGGGACTATGTCTGATTAAATATGCATAGAATTGCCTTGCAGAAATGTTTAACTTGGGATTCAACTATACAGCTGCAAATAAAACATTTAAATGTGTTGTAAAGTGCATTATACAAATGTGACACTAGATGGCGATGGTGAGCTATGGCAAAGTCAATATTTTTTTCAAAACAGTTTTTTTTGTTGTTTTTTAACAAAAAAAAAAGCATTTTCACAGCATTTTTAATATGTGTCTAGATTCCACTTTGGTATGGATTGTGCCTTGCTATTTTTCTTGACCTGCTTTATTTCATTGGCTGTGGTGCAAGATTAAAACTCCCTTTTTAGTAGAATAACCAGTAGCTATTTCTTCATGTCCTCTAGCGCAACCTGGTTTTGTTTCTGTGCTGTAACCTGAGCTGATGATAAAATGAGGTGTTGGCATTCCCAAATGCCTGATAACGTTTTTCTTCTCTTGGTTGCTGTTTCAGAGTCAGCACAAAACAAGCTCAACCAAAGAAGACATTGAACCATTCTTATGCATCATCCTGCCGGCTACCATGATGCTCTTTCTGGCATTCCTGTTGCTCTTCCTTTACAGACGCTGCCGACGTCGTAACCCTCAGGCTCAGATCTTCAGCATTGACCTCCCAGAGTCCCTTCCAGAGCATGAAGTGACTGACTTTCTCTCAGTGCTGCCCTGGAGCAGTGAGCAGAGCTTTCATTACTCCACTCTCCTCCCTGAAACTGCCTTTCTCACTGTATGCTTGCCTCCGTCATACGAGGAGGCTACCATGAAAACCTCAATGGAAGAGGACCACATCCAGCTCTTTCAAGATCCAGTGCCTCCTTACGAAGAGACAAAACAGCAGTAAAACCTATGGAAATAACTATGGCTGCAGTTCTCATGGTTTAAAAGAAGGGGGGGACTCCAAACAAGAGAATAGCTACAATCATAAAGGAACTTTGACCGGTTAATATGCTTAATTATGCCATTTTTAAACGGCACAGAAAACAAAACAAAAAACTCTACAAGATTGCTGTGTAGGAGAAAACAATGAAATTAATGCTGTACCTCAGATTTTTCTGCACTATTTGACATAAGCAAAGGTGTTTTGGAAGGCTAAGTCTGAGCAATGTGGACTGTAGCAGCTGTGGTAAAAAACAATTATGCTGGGGACTTTTTTTACACAGAGAGACACACACACACACCAATAACTGAAAGGGCTTTAACGTTTTTTTAAAAAATTGCACTAACTTGTTGAAGATTTTAACGAATAGTCAAAAGTCAAAATAGAGACTGCAATGACACTTAACATGAATCTGAAAAGTGAGGGCTGAAGATGCCTATTTACCAGTTAATACCATCATTATGTTTGACAGTGGGCTACTATTATGCTACAGGCCTTCCATTGTTCTTCTGACAGCTGTGAAGTCTGAATACAAGTAAAAACGACCCAGAAAGGTCCAGGCCTTCTATGGAAGACAGACTTGTGGCAAGTAATGACACAACAATGCAGCAATGCGATAGGGTCTACAGAGTGTACAGAACGATTTCACGTTGTTTTATACTTTTAATTAAAGAATACACAAGTCATGTAACCATTCAGCTCTGAGTGTATGGTGGACTAAATCTAGCGAAATAAAAAAATAAAGGGTTTGTTTTTTTTTAAATCACCTTTTAGTTTGCTTCTGCTCCCCACCCCATTTCAAACAATGAGTCCTGCACTGGGAGAAAGGCGGAACATAATATATCTCTGTCTGCATAGGGATAGATGGTAAGCACAGAAACATAAACTATATATTTCATCCAATGGTGCTACCATGCCAGATAGCTCCCTTTTTGGCTGAAGAGTAGGATAAAACTCATAAAGAAATGAAAACAAACCTATGTCAAGGATATATCTGAATGTGCAGTCCAGGATGTGTGTGCAGTTATTTAGGGAGTTGGATATGAGGATAGTTCAGCTTTCATTGCCATCAATAGTGAATAGCATATATTCTCTTTTTCCCTTTATAAGAATTTGCAGAATAAAGTCAGTACGTTTTAGCAACCATGCCACTCCCGGTGTTATATTCCCCATCTCTTGGTCACATTACACCCTTATGTATTTGACTTCTTGCCATTTAAATTTTTACCCTTTGTGCCAATCTTCAATGAATCAATCAATAATTTTATTCCTATGCCACCTTTCCACCGTACAAAGCATGCTCAAGGCAGCGTACAACGTGAAAAAATACACAATTACAACATAGCAAAAGTATTCATAAACAAAACACCAGAAAATGCACAACCAATTGGAACAACTTCCATGCAAATCACAATAAGAGCTAAAATAAAGATACAAAAAAAATATCACTAACAGCAATAACCCCCCACCAATCCCTTAAACAATACCACAGCTCAATATTCTTGATGTTTGGGACAAATTAATGTGTGTGAGAGAGTGAGAGAGAAGACAGTCTACACAGCCATATTCATAAATGTGAATATGCAGTAACTAACAAGATAGCTGAATTCATGGCTTTCATAGGTCAATTTGCACAACTAGCAGTGGTATCTAAAGTTAGTTATAGTCAGACCAGATTCACTGAAATTCAATGGGTATGACTTAGTTGAATATCATCCCAGAGCTTTAATGCAGTATTGATTAATGGAAAGTTTTTATTTGATAACGACAACCTCACATGGCCATGTGCATTGAACCAGGGACAAATAATTGCCTGGTGAATTAATTTTTACCTCAGATGACCTATGTGGGTGCTGATGACCTATGTGGGTGCTATATTCACACCCGTTTCAAGTAAACTTGAATCCAGATAGAGAAATCATTTCATAATGGGTCAGTAAATAATGAGTTATTCGGCTTCACTTTATCAATATCAAATCAGCACCGTAAGATTATTCCAACACTGTATCAGCATATGACCTACATGACACAGTTTTTAGCCTTGTTCTTTACTTATTCTTAGTAATTGTTATGGAGCACTTGGAGGTCAATAGGGGGCCAATAGGCCCATCTTATTTAAAATCAAGCTAACTGACAGAGGTTTAACAAATTGGATTATTTGGTAGTGCATTGAAGTAATAAATATTGAGGAAAACTAATACAGTCGGACTTCCACTAATCTGTAATTTTGACAAAGGTTTACTTTCCATTTCTTGACATTCTACTGAACTAAGATGTTTTATGAAAGCCTAACATTCTACAACCATGAAATAAATTGTCATTTGCCTAGCCTCCACCCCTCTCATTTCATTGCATGGAGATCACTAGTGTACTAAGGTGACCTACATGGTCAATAGCAATAGCTAGGGCACCCAGGAGCAATTGTGTCATAGCTCTACGCATCTCACAGTATGATGAGAGTCTCAGATAGTGCCAGACATCCTCCAGAGTGTTAAGGAATACATTGATTTCCATCTCTGTGGGTGGACCATCATATTGGTGCCCCACCCTTGCAAACTGAAATGACCACATCCAGCCCAACTCTGTGTAGAATAATATTTATGCTTATTATTTGCTGGCTGCCAATTCACTTCTGGGCCCAATTCAAAGTGCTCACATTAGTATTTACAGCCCTAAATGACTTAGGCCCCAAGTATCTGAAAGACTTGTCTCCTACCCTACAGATCCTCCTGGGTGTTTTGATCAGCCCTTTTGGTAGTTATACCTCCCTAAGTAGTTTCAGGGGTGGTCTGAGAGAAGGCATTCTCTGTGGCAGCCCTGAACAGACGGCTTTTTAATAACAGAGCTTTTGGCAAGTGCTAAAGATGCATCTCTTCACCCTGGTCTTTTAACACCCGCGATGTGTTTTTTCAAGACCCAGCCTATTCCTGTGATCACAAACTGCTTAACCTGCTTTAATTTTCAAATTTAAATTGTTGTAACTGGCCCCAGGACCTGCTAGTGAAGGGCAGGTAATTAATTCCATAATGATAATGGTAATAAGCCTTATTCATGCTGCTTGGAGGGGGAAATGGTATAAAAGAAAATTCCTGGATGCCAAGATCCAAGTTTGTGGCAAGTACTCATTGGTGAGAGAACTCCATCAGAGAGTTAAAACTACACAGAATGCAGCAAAGTAAAGTGTGGGAATATAGGCTGTTAAAACTTTTAAAATGTATATTTCCAAGCAGTCCTCTTTTTCCCCAGCATAGTAAAAGGACACACATTTAGTAAGATAGAATGGGTGTACTTACAAACTCTCCAAAGGCCAGGCTCATATGCTTTTCCATACATCAGTCTGAAAGGCCGCACAGGCAGTAAATTTTAGTTTTGTTCCGAAGTGGTGAGAGTTCCTAAATTGTTGGCATAGGAACTTAAGAGTGGCCTGTGAGAGCCATGCAGGTTGAACTAGCACAACTAGTTCAGACCTCCTCATCTGCCACAGGTCCTGTGAATCAACAACATGTGATAGTCTACATATGGTAGATTAGAGCACAGGTGATCCTGAGAACTACTAATGGTAGTTCTGCCATCTCCCTCCTGTCTCGGTCTCCCATTTTCAAAGTTGACATGATAGCTGCTATACCACAGTCACTGATACAAGCTCATGCAAGACTACTCAGGATATAAATGATGAAATACAGTTTTCTTTCTGGCCATTAATCATCTTCTTCCTATTCTGTTCTCTCACATTTTATTCTATCAAACTGTGGACACAGCAATAGCAAATCTTATTGCAAAGGAGAACCATTGATCCTTCTTCAGAATCTGTCCATATTGCTTTTTTGATGTAGGAGGAGGGATTTGCTGAAGGGGTGGAGTTTTATTTCTAGATTGGTTTATTCCCAGAGGAAGTCACAGCTGTGGCATGGTGCAATTATTACTGGCAATTCTAATAGTGAGCTTTTGTGCAAGATGAGATGTGAGAGAAGAACCCATTCCATAAAGCTAACATTACTCATCGTCCAGCACAGTTGAGTGTCTTAACAGGGAGGAGGCAATACAGAAGGGTGAAATCAGGGATGCAAAGTAATAACAGAGAACAAGACCAGGTCACAAGTAAGCCTCTTATGAACCTGCTTTCCCCTCCCTTGTTTCCCAATCTCCAGCTATCTCTCAGTCTATTTAATTAACTTTTACATCAGATACACAAAAAGGAATACAAAAGCTGCAGCCTTAATTCTATATAGTGACTTTTTCAGTCTCTCAGATTAAAGCATGCATGTGTCATTTCCTAATAGGAATTTCAAAAAAAACCCAACTTGTTCAGGACAAATTACTTTACAAGAGAACAATGTGCAGAAAAGGTAGTGACCTTGTTATCACAAGTAGCAGCTGAAGCAGTAAACCTTGCCTGGACTATACAACTTAAAAAAATACAGTATTTGTTGTATTTTTTGTCATAACATTTAACAGAAACTTGAAGTAATGTCATTATCAGAATCAGGATAACTGAATAGTTGTGTGATAAATTTAACTGTTCAGAACTCCTTTCTAAGTTCTTGTAGTAGTCCAAGCGTTAGGGCAACAAATCTCTCCAAAAGGTTGCTTGGTCTCCTGGCTTCCACTAGTCTATCATTCACATAAACTAGCCTGAGACAACCAGTGGGAGCTCACATGATTGAATGTCCCTCCATGTTAAAAAAAATCAATCCACCTACATAGAAAACTTGCACAAAGCTAAGGTAGAAGCTTCTCTGTGATATCTACTTTTCTATGGGGTGGGGTTTGTTTTAAGAAGAATTCATTCACACGAGGCCCCCGTCTGCAATTTGAAGTGGCATCGTGTGGACATAGGCATACCACTTCATTAGCTGTTTGTGAGGTCTAAACTCCATGAGACTTTGTTGGTGGGCACTGCCTGGTTAGTGTTGACATGTGACAGGGCCTTCTTAGTGGTGGTTCCCTGTTTGTGGAATGCCCTCCCTCATTACTATCAGGAGAAATTTTAAAACATTACTGTTTATCCAAGTATTTGACGACAAATAAGATACTGCTTCCAGCTGAGATCCCTGAAATCACTGGCTGATATTATTTTTGTAAATGTTTTTGGGATGCTTTTATAATTTTTCTTCCATTCTTTGCTTACTATTGATGGATTTTTCTGCCCTAAGTTCCTTCAGGATGAAGGGTAGGGTATAAATTGAATTAATGATAATGCTGCTTTATTGCTTTGATGATGATGATGATTAACTGCACAATTAAAATCATTACATAATTTATCTCATTAAATATAAATCAGTAGGAAATAAATAAAACCATATAAAAGCACCACAGCCAGCCTCCTCATTCCCAACACAAGATACTGCCACAATGAGCTTACTTGAACCAAAAACCAAAAAAAAAGGCTCTGGGCGGCAGCAAAACACAACTCTCGGGGGAACAAGTTCCATAAGCAGGAAGAAAAAATGAAAATGCCCTATCATGTGAGCCTGTAAGTCAGTCTATCATACTAAATGGAAGATCCATAAACAGAGCCGCTGAGGCCAATCTCAAGACCTCCAGAGGTTCATAAATGCTCCTTCAAGTAGCTCAGTCCTAATGTACCGATCTGGTGTGAAAATCATGGCAGTACCTATCTCGGGCCAGGATTCCACACTATACGCCTTTCATGCAGTGATATTGACTGTGAGGAACAAAACAAAGCAATACATGAGCAACAAGAGGATCGCTGGTGCAGATGTACAGCTGTCTTCTTTGGGGTAAGGTGCTACGCTGGTACAACTGTGCTGTTTCTGTGGAACTGCAAGGAAGTTTAGCACTGCCACGAACAGCAGATGGGAGAAGAGACCTGCTTAATGCCACACCAGTATGTGATATTTCAATTAAGCAGGCAATGATGATTATGCAACAATGTTCCCTTGTTCTCCTCTCCCTCTTCCACCACGTATGGTATCATTATTAGAGATGATCACATTACAGAGCCAGGCCTCATTTATGTGACCTTCATAAACATTTTTTGTCAGAGGTTTAGCCAGTTTAATGCCTGAAATGTGTGTCATATACCTCTGGAGCAACTACAGTTTAAAGAGCATCAAACCCTTTTAGGGGGGGAATAAAAATCCACATTCAAGATATTATCTCTGCATCAACTAATTCTCCCTAAATCTGATTTTCATTCGAGTCTGGGCCCTCATTTATGAAAGCAGATGCAACATAATTGCTTAATATACCAGCGACTTTGTATCCACTGGTTCTAATTCCCTGTCAGTCTTCCTTACCAAAGCATGATCTTTTCCCTCCCCAGCTCCTGGCTGCTGTGTCTGTGCTTGGAAAGCCTTTTATAGTGTTATAAAGGCTTTGCCTATTGGCTTCACTGCACAAGTGGGCGACTGCAAATTTTTACTAGGGTTGCTTTCTGCAGTGTGTGTCATCATTATGCCCACTTCTAGATCTTATTTGTTTACAACTTTAGCGGAAAGGTCGCAACAGAGACAGTTGGTGATTTTGCAATTCCACAAATTAATTTATATTTTCACCTCTCCATTCTTGGGCTATACTTTTCTTACTTATCTGGAGCTACCAGCTTCAATTCAATCATTTCATTTCTAGAAAGCAATACCTGGCTCTGGTCCATTTTTGCTATGGAGAACATTCCTAGCATGTGGAGATGCTGTTCATCCCTAAATGTGTCAGGGAACTATGAATGTCTTTTTTGCTTCTCACCCCCACCCGCAAAAAAACTGCAATTCTGCAGGAGGGGCACTTGTTCCCTTTGCATTTTAAGAGAGGGTGTAGAAAACGTTAACTCTTTGGTCTGCAATCCACAAAACACTTGTCAGTGCTGCTTCTCAGACTGAAAACATTTAATCTGCGGGTCGCTCCGAGAGCAACTCGCGTGCCAGAAGTTTCGCCCGCGTTTCTGCTTCTACGGACCACTTTCCTCACAGAGGAGCCTCAGAATAGGAGAATATGCGGAGGAACACGAGCCAACAAGGCGCCCCCGCGCATTCTATAGTACGGGGGGGGGGGCCACATTTGCGCTCCTAAAGGAGGCGATGCATCTCCTCACAAAGTTGGGAGTGGGAGGAAAAGAGAGCCAAGGCGCGCGAATGCCTTCGGTTTTCAAAGGGCCCTTGTCATCTCGGCCGCCCCCCCCCCCTTTTCCCTCCTCCCGCTTGAGGCATATGACAATCTGCCATTAGCTCACTCCCGCATTCCCCAGAGCTTGGGGGCCAGCCAGCCAGCACAACAAGCAGCATCTGACACCAAGCGGCACTGCAGGGCCAGGAGGAGCGCGCGCCCGTTCCCCGCCCACCGCCGTCGCTAGCAAAACAGCCGCTTTTGCTCCTTGTTCCCCACCCCTCGCGCGCGCGCGCACACCCTCTCACACGTGCGAAGCTGCTCCTTTGAGGGCAGCCAATCCGGACGCCTCTCGTAGGCTGGCTGGAAAGGCGGCCAAGTGCCCCCCCCCATAATGCCGCCAGAGGCTCTTCTCACAACTTTGCAAGGGGGGGAGGTTGTTTGCTCCCCTCCTTCGCAGCATAGTGTCCCAGGCCACCTCCCCTCCCCGCCCTGGGTGTTTCCGACGCCACAGAGAGCGTCGCCTGAAATGTTGTTACACAAGGCGCCGGAGCCTTATGCAAGGAGAGCGAGGAAGAGACGGAAGGTGCCGCCGGCAGACAGAAAGGCAGGAGGCGAGGCGAGAGCGAAGGGGAATATGGGTAGAGGGGATGCGGCGGGGGGATTTGAAAGGGCAACGGGAGAGGGGGGGGGAGATTGCGAAGGTTGCGCTTTGGTTTCTGCTTTAGGGAAGCTGCGCCTTAAAAAATAAAAACAATACTAGGCGCAGCTTCTTGCAATACATTTCCATACTGGGGAAAATGTTTGCACCAGTTGATCTTCTGCATACTCCGTTGAATACAAAGGGACCGGCTCCGAGGGAAGAGATGTGCAGGCGCACATGCAATATGTGGAAGGGAAGCTCTAACGTCGTTCCTTTTCTCCACCCAGGATGCTGAAGACTATAAAACAAGCCCTCTTCTCTACTGGGCTGGAGATGCCCAAATGGACAGCACTGCCAAACCAGGTGACCAGCGTTTATGGTTGTTGTTTTTAATGACTGGAAGGTGACTTTCTGCTTAATCCTTGATCACGTCCAGTAAGTGGAAGGGGAAGAGATTTGTACACATGCATACACACGTCCCTGAGCGGAGTCCTAAACACAAATTGCTTGACTAAATATGTGATCGAGTGGGCAACACCTAAGCAGGGGTTCATTAGGTATGAGAGTTCCCTATTACAGCTGGAAATATCACTTTTGCCAAAAAGTCTAAATTTTGGGTTCAGCAAGACTTCACTGGAAGATGCAAGAACTAATGCAAGTATCCCAGGGAAAATAACATGAAAACATCCAACAGGCATAATTTAATATAGCATTGCCCCCTCCCCTGGGTATTATCCTAAGCCCCTCTGTTGACTCCACATTTTGTCTATGTATTGACAAATGTAGTAGGTGGATGTAAAGGGTTTTTTAATGCACAAGGAGTGCTTTGAAAGCAAAGTTATGAGGTACTGTGGTTGAGTAATGCAACAGTGTAAATGAGCTTGATTAACCTAGTATTATTTTTGAAAATACCGTCAGATTGCTATTTAAATCTATGTCATTGATTAAGGAAAACCTTGCATTACTGAGAGAACCTGGTTTGAACTCTGTTAACATGGCTTCATACTGCAGTCATTTCTGAAGATTTAAATGTTAGGAAATTGTTCATCTCATTCCAGAAAATATGTCTTGAACACCATGCATTTTTTCTTGGTAAAAATAAATATTTACAAATTTACAACTAACACATCTTTAAAATGTTAAATGTTGCAGGTTTAAAAGTTCTTAACATGTTTACTCATCAGTGGCTGAAGGAAATATATGTGTTCAGAAACAAATTTTAATGCTGATCTCTTCTAGGACAAAAGATTGTAGAAGTGAACTTTGGCTTATAATCCTTCTAACTGTGTGGTCTTCAGCCTTTGAAGGTTGAAAACAGTGGGCTAGGAAAGCAAGGAGGGAGAAATGCATGCTAAGGTGCTGTGAGAGGAAAGCTAGCCAGATATTGGGATCCTGTTCTCAAGTGGATCATCCGATTGTGTATTGCAACATTGGTGCTCAATTCCCACAAACACTTCCTTATTGCCAAAGTAAACAGCAAGCTCATGTAACATTTCTCCCAACTTTTTTTTAAAAAAGAAGATCGGCTGGGGTTGGGGAGGGGAAGACCGCTGGGGTGAAGAACAACGTAACCCTCTTCCCTCTGCAGGGGCCTTGCTGTGCATTTAAAAGATCTGAGAACACAATGCAGTAGCTCCCCACCCTCTCTATTCATGAGAAATGGGGTCGTGTGGTGGTGGTGGTGGGGAGCTGAATGTTCAGAAATATTCAGCTGGCACCTGCTCTTGTTTTTTAGGTGCTTTCATGGGATTTTCCAAATTACCATGTTGCTTCTGCTATTTCTTTCACTGGGCGGTGTGGCTGGATGAATTTTAATTTAAGTTTTTATTTGATCATTGTTAGTGGTTTTATAAACCGCCTCAAAGACTCAGTCCCGAAAAGGCAGAGTGCCTATACTTCAAACAAATTTTAGACCAGGGTTCAAATCCCCACTCACCCCATGAAGCTCACTGGGTGACCTTGGTTCAGTCACTGCCTCTCGGCCTAACCTCCCTCACAGGACTGTTGTGGGAAGTAATTAAAGAGCAGGGGAAACCTTGGGGGGAAATGTGGGATATAAGTAAGTAAATATTCTCCAGGATTTGTCATTGGTCCCTTGAAGACATACCAGGAGGGCAACTGTTGCATTAAGGGAGCCCCAACTGTTAAGGGGCAGCTGGGTCTCCTCCAGGCTCCCCGATTACTGCTTCCCTTTTTCTTCAAACCATTGACTGCCATGCAAAACTTCCAGTGGCAACCCAAACAGTCCAGCAGATTGTGGTCTTCCAACAAGATGGATGAAGAAAAAACTCTGTGGCACATTTATTCCTCCTCCTCCTGCCCAAATACACTTAAGGACTGAACCTGGCCTTACCATGTGATACTGCAGCAGAAACGTCTTCAAATACTTACAAAGTTCTTCAGCAGCTGTGCTGGTGGGCCCAGTGCTTTCCTTTATAGTGCTGGGGGTGAAGCGTTTGCAGTCACTGTTGCCGCCACCATCTTCCTTATTTCTCAATGCTGCTAAGCTCTGCGGCATCTCCTGCCCCCAAATATACACATCAGGAGTGAGGCCCTGATTCACTGAGAATAACAAAGTTATTTTATTTATTTACTACTCTTTATATACCATATTTCCTCCAAGGTGGCAAACATAGTTCTCCCCTGCCCATTTCATCCTCACAACCACCCTGGGACCAGACAATACGTTTTTAAAAAGAGAGGACCTGGGACACTCAAAGATGACTTGTTTACCTGGGATTAACAGTGCCTGGGGTTAGTGGTAATTTCCCCACTCAAAAATTGTCTTCTACAAGCTATTTTTCCATCATGGAGAACAGTGAGCTTTCACTATTTAGTTGGGAAAACAGCAGGAAGGCCATTTTTAAAGGGAAACTGCCCAGAGGAGAAAAAGTTAATCAGTTCCTCCTCCTCCTCCTCCCCCCCCCCCATTCAATTGCTCTGGGTGGCAACCACCTATTACTACTATTCATGAAAATAAAAGCAGTATCAAACTGCATCTGCTATATGGAGTCTACTTTGGTCCTAAGCTCTTGATCTGAAGGAGTGTGTATGGGATCAGTTTGCAGAATAGCAATGGGTAAATGACTAGTGAGATAAAATCGAGGAAAGAGATTGGTTTTGTGTGTTTTTGTAACAATTCACAGCCCTTATCACAATACGCATTGTGATAGGCATTTCCTCTATCTAGAGCAGGGGTAGTCAACCTTTTTATACCTACCACCCACTAATGCATCTTTCTTGATGGTAAAATTTCCTTACCGCCCACCAGTGCTCGATGGAAGGAGGATTCAGCTTGTGCCGTAGAACCCCCTACCGCCCAACCTAGAATCCTGAAACGCCCACTAGGTAGGGACCAGGTTGACAACCCTGGTCTAGAGATAGGGAACACACTTTCATTTACTCGTTTTTAGTTGTGGTTCCTACTTTTAAAGAGTTCAATATCTATGCAGAGTTTATTGTATGAAAATTACCAGGTAACAAGTCTTGATTTTTGTTTTCCCCCCCCTTAAGGCTTCTGATTATGAAATTCGACAGTATGAACCAGCCAAATGGGTTTGCACATCTGTTAAAACTGTGGACTGGGATTCAGCTATCAATACTGGTTTTACTAAGCTCTTTAATTATATTAAGGGCAAGAATGAAAAAGGTAAGGTGTGTTTTGCTCTACTTGTGTTTCCCTTGAAATCAGCTTCCCTTTGGCGGGAGACAAACACTAAGCACACATTCTTCATCTTCTTCTTGAAAATATACCTCAGGTGTGTCTTTTTGGTGGGGGAATGTGAGAAACAGTAAAGGAGAAAATCCAAATTTTTAACTAAAAACCCAACATCCCAAAGGAATTTTAGTGTTGGAAAGCACAGGTGATGTCATCTAGTTCAGCCTTTTTTCAGGTTGAGGTTCTGATCACTCTGGTGTGGATGAGAGATGCTCTTGCTTCCTTCATACCCCCTGCAATCTTAGCAATCTATTCCTGTTTTATTCCATCCTTTCTTTTGTAATGTTTTGATAATGTGTTAAGTGTAGCTAGTAATATCTTGCCTCTTGCAGGAGTAAAGATAGACATGACAGCTCCAGTGACATGCTATGTGCAGCCAGGCGCTGGCCCGTTCTGTGAGTCCACAACAACCGTCTCTTTTTACGTGCCACCTCAACACCAGGCAAATCCACCTAAGCCATCAGAGGCAGATGTCTTCATTGAAACGAGGCCAGCAATTACTGTGTTTGTCAGGTAAGCATGTGTGTCTATAACCTGCACCAGGTGTGGAGAAGTACAGCTCCCACTTTCCCTAGCCATTGGCCATGCTGGCTGAACTGTAACTCCCATCAACCCAAGACTACCTCCGTGTGGCCAACACCATTTTTGTAATTTATCTTGGAAAATGTCTGCTAACTTTGACTGCCACCTTGTGGTAACTGTGTCAAGGTTTTATGTGTTTCATGAAGGTGCAGATATGGGAGGTGGAAGAAACTGGAAAGAAAAACTGCTGAAATTAGAAGTTTAATAAACCTTCTTGGATGCTTTAATGGGGAAGATGAGCCATTTTCCCCATTAATATTTTTGCTACACTTCTTACTGCTTTGTGGAGCTGTAAAAATCCAAACTGCCCTTCAGGCGAGCCACACAGTCCTGGTGAAATGTATTTGTGTAAACAATAGCTTTCTCCAGTGCCTTCTCATTTCTTCTTTCCCTTAAAAGTGAGTTCAAAACTGGGGCCTGCATGTTCTTGCTCACATATGTAGTGTCTGTGACATTAAAAGCTGTTTTATATATACTGACAGGCTCTACAAAAACCTTGGAAATCGATGTCTGCATTATGAGGAGGCACTGTGATGGGTGGTTTTGTCTCCACAAATTCATATATATATGAATGAACTGGTGCCTTCATGTCGGTGCTCCATCCTGGCCCAGGTTGCAAAAGAACTGCAGTGATTTTTTTGAGACACTAGTTATTAAAATCATAACCCGCTGTGTAGACAGCTTCCATGTAGCTACGCTGGTTCACACAAATGTTGTGTCCAAGAAATTACTGCCCAAACTCAAGCTCAGTGGCATTGTCACAGGATCTAGCCATGCATGTGAAGTGGCTTGTAGAGTTTCCCATGTTCCCACAATGCAGGCCATATAAGTTACTGCTGTCCCTGCCTGTAGAAGGAGATTGAGCAGTTGGCACACAGCAGCTTTCAAAATGTATAGAGGAGAATGTTGCAGAGCAAGAATCTTTGAATCCCTCTGCAATGAAATGAAAAGGATTCTTGTTTCCTCAACATAAATTTAGTTACATATAAATTAAATCACTGATTTGGACCATCGTAGGTAGAAAAATTTACTAATACTGGTTTATGCGTGTTGATTCCATGTGGCTTGCCTACATTTGTCTATCACGTACACAGGTGTTCTACTTAGAACATAAAACAGTAGTCTCAACACATACAGAATACTTTGTTTTTTTGTTCTCAACAGATCTTTTGGAGGATTTGCCAATGCCAAAAAGAACCAGGATGAAATACTGGCACTTGCTGAAAGTCTGAAGCGGGATGGAAAAACTTTTCAAGAAAAGGTCTATTATACTGCTGGCTATGATAGTCCATTTAAATTGCTGAACAGACACAATGAAGTCTGGCTTATCAGGAAAAGCTAAAACCTCAACAATTCAGATTATAGCCTTAATAACCATAAGTGTCCTTAACTAAATATATTTCCTAATATTTTCCTACTTAGCCCATTGCCTTAATATCTATCAGTGCCAATATAATACTTGTTTCGCAATGTTTATATATAACTATATAATAAAACTTCCAAGTGGTTTACAAAAATGTAAGATGGCTGTATAGGTTGCTATAGTGTGGCTGCATGTGCAGTCATGCATCACAGTGAACATGTGACCAGCCTGGCTCTTTCTGCAGGCAATTTCTCTGTCCTTATAGCTGGCTCAACTCCACTGACGTCAGTATGGGAACATTATAGCTTCTGAACTGCTATGCAGATTCCATATTCCTAAGGCACGGGTAGGAAACAAGACATAAGCAGTTCTCAGTTGATTAGGGTGGCAGAAGGTAGGAATGCACAGGCCCTGATCTCTGATTTTAACTAACGCATGTTGGGCACAAGATTCCTGCATTGCAGAGAATTGGACTAGATTACCCTCGTAGTCCCTTCAGTCTCTCCAATTCTGTGATTATATGTTCCTTTTTACTGCAGCCTTTTAAAAACAGTAGTTAAAGGGCCCATTTCAAAAGGAAGGAAGCCAGGCCTCTTCAGATGTCCTGTAATACAGTTATGGTCTCAATGGCCCAATTACTAGGGCATTAAGGACCTCCACTGTTGCCCCTTCAGTAATCATATTCTGGGGTAGAAAACTGATGCTTTAATGGGGAAAAGGGGCTTACTGTAACCTTTGTAATATTTTAAATAATATTTTGTAATATTTTTATCCATATTACTTCTCAAAGTTACAGGAATCATTTAAAACCTTTACCATTTTGATATCTAAACTGAGACTAATTTAGATCACACTGACATTAGTTTTAAGTTTTTGCCTTTGGGCACTTGAAAGGAGGGGGAAATGGCCCTCCAACCAATTATGTGCCTGCCTTAATGTTCCTTCTCACATTATAGATACATCAAGAGATCTTTCATAGAAACCTATGTGCCATGTTGCCACAGTGAAGATGCAGCGTAGGCCAGCTGGAGGGTGGTGCTGGAATAGCCACTTACATGGGCATATTTTCGTGGGGAAGACAACATGTGGTGCCCGTTCTCCAATACTTTATATTAAATGGACAAACTGTGTAATTTCCAGCAGATTAAAATATTCCGTTATTAGGCTTTTGAGGGCTTTTCGCCTTTGGAATTTTGTAAGGTGCTATATAATAATTTTTAAGTTGTATAAAGTGTGACTTTTGTAAAACCAAAATGTTAAATCAAATAATTGACACTGAAAACTTCTGACGCTGATGTTGCCAAACTGTAGTGCTGCTCCTAGCAAATAGATCACACACGTGAAGACGTATCAAAAATAATATGAAGGGGTAGTGTTTACTTGCACATTTAAGTTTTAAGCTCTGAAATGTCGCTAGCCAGAAAAGCCTTGTGCTTGTATTGAACACACAGATGAGCTTGACAGTGGACTTGAAACCTTTTGACAGGCTGTCAATCTTTAGAAAGATATAGCATCTATGGGAACGTGTGAATTAACAGGAAAGGCTGAATGTTGTTACTTTCCTATACACTTAGCTTTAAAAAAATTTTTTGCCAGTTAATGTATCTGCTAATGCGAGATGCTAATAGTCTGTGCAATCTATTTACACCAGCAGCTGTGACAGATGAATGGAAAACACAATGGATGTTTTCTTAGCACCTGCTCTAACAGAAACCAGCAGCTTTGTTCAGCTGCAGAGAGAAATGCTACAAAGCTGCCTATTTCAGTGGTAATTATATAAATAATGTGTCCCATTGTCGCCAATAAAATTTGTCATTAATAAATACAACTAATTTTTAAAAAAATAGTTTCCTTTGTTTTGAGGATATCATAATGGTGTATTTTTCCAGCATCCATAAACATGAGGCTTTGGGAAGCAAAAAGTGTTCATTTATCAATTCCCCCTTACTTTGTAACAATTTACATGTTTTAGAATGTAGAGGACACAACATGAGTTGGAGGAGAGAAGAGGGGCGACTGTGTAGTTCCCTGAAAACAACCATTAGACACACTTAGAGCTGGATTCAACAAATGCAGCACACTAGGAGAAGCCCCTGCTAGCTCAATGGGGTCGTCCTCATTCCCCCATGCCTCCCCCAATCCACTCTGGAGGATCAGCAGAACCCCCAGAGGAGTATATGGGGTGCGAAGATGGGGGCAGGATCCTCCTGTCTGGCAAATAGAAATGCTTGTGTTGATGGAACGATGAGAAGAGTATGACGTTGAATTCCTCCCTGAGCAAGGAGAGCAGAAAAAACGTATTGCTGTGCAGCTTAGGAAGCAGAGGCTCAGTTATGGAACTAGATAGGGCATGATCCACGAAATCTAATAGCTGTGATCCAGTGGCCTCAGTTTACACACAGGGAAATACCATTCCTTTTTGAGAGAGTCTAACTTTTGGCACACCTAATGAGAAATCACCATATTTGCACAAAGAGCTTCTCTTGAATAGAAAACTATGTTAGGGGCTTTGGATTTTGACCAGCAGGCTCAATCCCATCTATGCCTCCTTGTGGTTGATCAATTCTTACCCCCTTTAGTAAGACCATAAGCATGTGTTCCGACCTACCTATTCCTCATGTTCAAGCCTGCCACAAACCCTTGCTCTGGCAGGCTAGCGTTCAGTATAACAGCACCCCCAGATTTTCAAGTGTTGCATTATTAACTCTAGCCACAAGATGACAAATGGCAGCCTTGTTTATTGATGCAGTCACAGGATTGTCCCCATCCCCTCCTCGAGTTGAGTGAAGGCCACTAAAATTTATAGAACTAACAAAGAACAGAGATGGAGAGAAAAAGAGCCAAGTGTTTTTCATCAAAATAAATTATCTACATAGAGGAGGGTTGTTTTTTTCTTTAAAAAATGTAAAAATGTAAAAAGTCCAACACTGGTAGGGCAAAGGCTACCTCAAGAACTTGTATTATGTACAAACATTATAAAAACAGAAGACTAGCAACTTATTCAAAATTCATTTTCCAAAAAACCCAACAATCCTGTGATCAAAATCACAGCTGATATTTTAGCTATCAGTTATATTCTTTACAAATAAGAAAGTTATATATATATATCTCTATATATTTAAACACACTGGTAAAGACTCAATAAAATTAAGCAAAGTCTCCTAAATTGTTAAGTTTATTTTCCCATATCAAGGAGATGCTGACTGTAGACAAAAAAGTAAAACTAATTGTAGTGTATTCTTTGGTAACCAAAAGTTAGCAAGTGTTTCAATATTCCAAGTGATATGTTGCTTAAAACTTTCCCATTTTGACAAATATAAGAAAAACTGGTAATTCCCAGTTTAATTGAAAAGAAAAGGGTACCATTTGCAGTTATATACTATAAGCTCTCAAATCGAGAAGTTAATGGCCATTTGCTTATTATTATTATTATGCAGCACCCCATCCCAGATTTACCTACATCTTCTTTACAAATCGGTAGCCATTTATTTTAGGTCTTCTATAGGACATCATAACTTCCATTCAAAGAAACAAATTCACCTATGAGGTTTTTTTTCTTAAGAACCCAATAGATGGACTGTAATATACCCACACAGCAGTCACTTCTGTATTACAATAGTGCTTCTTTCCTATTGCGTTTTTTAAAAAACAGTAATTCAGAATCTGGTCAGCCTGTTTGTTATGCTATCATGACATGGTTAGACCAGCAGAGGACCCCCTACACAAACTAGAAGAAACAGTGGGACAACAGCCAACACGGCTAACTACTAGGCCACATATTCTATCGTTCCCTGCTCAAAAGAGATTACTAGGTTTCATAAATATAACACTTTGAAAGCTGCTGCCACCCTGTACCACAGAAGCTCCCCATTTTCTCTGTAGGCTTACTTTAATTTTCTACACTCTTAAAAAAAAAAAAATCACACACAACCCAGAATCTGAAAATATTAGTTTCTGTTTTTTTCTAAAGGATTTTAATGCTTTAATGGACTGATCTGACTTAGTTCCAGTTAAACTAAAAGTCACATCCATTTAAACTAAAAATCGCATCCCTTCGAGCCACATAGAGGTATCAGTACTGTAGCATCAATTACCACATTCTAAATACTTGGCGAAGTAAATTGTACTGATTAGGGCTTCCTGCTAAGTCTGGATCATTTTGTATACCTTATGAAACCTGTGACATCATAGTGCCTTCTTAATCCTCACCCTTTTTTCAGTTGTTGGCATACATATTTCATTAAAATAATTTTGTATCAACCAGTTATCAAGTCTGGGCGAGTTGTACTGTTCTCACTGGAGCCCACATCTTCATTAATGTCCATTTCATCACTGTCAAACACATCAAATTGTTCCTCATCTAAAGACCTACAAGTTCTGCTTTCTGCAGGTTCAAATGGTTCCACATCTCCCTCGCTGATAACAGTCATAGGGCTACTCTGGATCCTGTTTCGAACATTGTATTTGCTACTTGCAGCAGATGGTGGGGTTCGAGACCTGCCGTACCTGGCGCTGGAAAAGGACAGACTTCTTGGCATCAGGCCTTCGCTCTTGGCCCATTCTTCCTGGGCCCGTCTGCTCTTGGTAGGAGAACAACTTGTGCTACTGTCAGTGGGCTCCCAGGAAGAATCTGCCTTGGCTCTTTGAAACCTTGGGTCTGTGTTTTTTAGCATCTCTGCTGCTGACATGCGAGAACTGGTATCTGAACGGCTCCCTTTTTTAAGCAGTAGTGCCTTGAAGTTGTCATTGCTGGTGCTACTTTTGCGAATATTTCTTTGAATTGATCCTGCCTGTTTAAGGGAAGCCAGATTTGGAGAAGCACCAGTGGGTGTAACAGGGGGTGATGGTGAATGATTTCGGGTATGATCATCCTCAGAGTCTTTGCGGCCAAGGACTTTCCTTTTGGATCTATGATTTTAATGTAGAAGAAAAACATAAAATCAGTATTAGCCTCTCACTTCAATGCTTTTCCTATTTCACATATGAATATTGTAACAAGCAAGCAGATGAATATAAGCTATTACAGAAATGAGTAGGAAGATACTGGAAACAGGAATGGTGACATTCTGATAACAGGAATCTTGTTCTGAACTATATTCTCCAGTACAGAACTGAATTAATCCAATTTACTTGCAAGTTACAATATTTCTTTTCTCATTAAAATTTTGCAAAGCAAATATTTGAATCTTGCCAAATTGTATTTTCTTAATTAAAACAGCTTTCCAATATAGTAGCGTCCTCCAAATTAATATATTCTAGCTACACTTGTCAAGGTGTTCCAAATGAAATTGCCAAAGGGCATGAAATTAATGAAGCCTAAATGAAATCCACATGCTCTGTGGGGAGCTAGGAACATAAGAAGCATTTTACTGTATCAAAAGTAATTAGCACATAGGACATACTATGAAGCTTCATCTAAAAGCAGTTGCATTGACCTGCAAAGAAGGGAAAGGACATCCCTTAAAAACAACAAATTAATTTGTATACAGGGGAAATCAGAAAGTGTATAGGATAAAACAAGGAGTTGTTAAGTGATTAACAAAGATGGTAAAGTACATGTAGTATTCCTTTCAAGTTAACACCAATCATATATTAATGCCGCCCAAACACTCCCAACACATTTAAAAATGGTACTGATAACAAAATAATATCACTTTTGAAGAAAGCCTTATGCAGATTCACAGTTCAGAAGAAAAGACTGAGCAGTATGTTCACTTGTCAGTCTCTGGGAAGAAACCTCAACCCAAGAGTCTTGGACTCTACTCTTGTGTGCCCCTTTGCCTATCCAGAGGGAGAACATAAATGGGCTGGACTGTTCTATATTTATTTAAATGCTATATATGTAACTGACTATGCAGTAAGTTTTTTTTAAAAGGGGGGGTTGCAGAGATACTGCATACAAACAAATACTGGAAAGTGGGTAAAATAAACATGCCTAAACTATTTGATGATACACATAGATATGCGTGCCTATACTGAAAATGAGTTTCCAGTAAAGTCTAGCATAGCAGTAGCCAAAATGCCCTCCAGATGTTGGAATCCAATTCCCATTATCCCTTATCATTGGCCATGTTGGATGGGGGATGCTATGTTCATTACCCCTGGTTGGGGTACCGATAAAATCATTTTCAAACTGAAAATGGCCAAGCCAAAGCTGGGATTTCAAGAAAAATTAGGGGAAGGGAAGGACCACCTTCTCCATGTTTATTTCAGTTCACTGAGAATGAGATCAGCTTGTTGGTTTAAGATCACAAAAGGACTACAGCTCAGTGGTAGAGCATTTGCTTTGCATGCAGAATGTTCCAGGTGCAAATGTTGGCATCTCCAGCTAGGCCTGAGAAGGACTCCTTACTGGAACCCTGGAGAGCCACTGCCAAAGTAGACAACACAGAGCTAGATGGAACAAATATCTGACTCTGTGTGAAGCGGCTTCCTATGTTCCCAAAATGCAGAAGAAAAACGAGAGCTATACGAATGTGGACTAGCAGATAAATTTGAAAATTTTGGGGTCAGCAGAAGATATCTAGTACTATGTAACTAGTAAAAACATGTTTTCAGGACTTATTCTTATGTACATTTCACACAAAATACACAGTTTGTATAATTGTGCAATACAGACCAAGCCCCTTGCGAAAAACAAAGAACACCATCCATAGAAAATTAGATGTCCTTAAACACAATTGAAAACTATGGGACATAACTAGATTATAAAATTATGCCCACATTATTTTATTCTATGATTCTCTCCAGTCATAATTGGAAGTTTCATACGACATTCACAGCTGAAGTTTGCACTGTGACACACAATAGCATGAAAAGTAAACACCAACTTGGGGTGTTATCAGTTAATGCATGTCAGTATCCATGGGATGTATCCTCACTCAGTATCTAATTTGAAAGTGGCTGTGCAATCACATCTCAGGTGTTTCCAGAGGATGTTTGCCAGTTTTGTAGTCAACATGCTCAGGGCTTATTTGTTCTTTTACAAGGAAGACTGGGGAGGAAAGGTGAGAGAAGAATGTAAACACTCTTCCCCTACTCACAAATGCAATCTGTGTGTCACATATACACACTGTTCTTTTCCCACACAAAGATGAATGTTTCTGTGTATAATTGAATCCAAGAGTTATTTAGGTGTATCCATGGACTTGCTATGTGTGGAGGGAATTGTATCTTTTCTCTAAATATAGCAGACTCCTGTGCCATATTGCAATTCACTTCCTTTCAGTGCCTTTTGGAACTAGTTGAGTGGTGTCTTCAGTCTTGGCTTATATATGTTTAGTAATGGGAAATATGTAGGGTAGTGGGAAACACGTTACTCTGAAATGCACAATTGTTTGCCATGAAAGGATATCATCCTAGAAGCAAAACTTTTCTACCCTGCAATATTTAACACAACAATATATAAACTGTACAATATATAAACATGATCCAAAGTTCCCAACACAGAACATTCCTCTACTCACATAACATAATGAGAACGTATTTGTGCCACTTTCAATTACACTCCCCAAAGATGTTCCAATTCCGTAGGGGGGGGAAATCACCACAAGGTGGCACCAGTAACACACATTAGATATTCTAAGTCAAGATAAGTCACTTTCTTTTTAGGGCATTTCCTGTCTGCCCCCTTTAGCTAAAGGTATCTTAAAGTTTTTTAAAAAATGGGTTGCATTCTGAAGATCTGTAATCAAAGATACTGTCTAAAGAACTATAATTATTTGTAGAGAATCATTTGCATTTATTTAGCCCTGTGAAATATGTAATATTTGCTCATCCGTTGAACTTCCTTCCTTCCTTTAATCAGGAGAGAATGATTGGGGTTAGTCTGTATTGCACATTTGAAATGACAGATCCGTGTGTCACAGAAATAGCTCATCTTCAACTGGATTATGGCAATCTATAATCCAGCTACTGTCATATGTTTTGCCATATGACGGATAGATCATGTTTACTTGCCAGTTTAAGCCAAGCTTGCCATGAAGTATTAGAGTTGAGCCTCTGTCCCAAACTGCACCATATAATCAGCAGAGAAGAGGGGGGGAAAGAATGGAGGGTAGAGGAAATGAAAACAAAAAGATACACAAAGAAAGCAATAGTATATGTTAAATTGCAGATTTGAGAGAAACAGTACAATACAAACAAGGGATCACTTGACATTCACAGAAGGGCCAGAGGCTGACAATTTTACCAAACTTGATTTTGCTGCCAGCAAAGTTTAGTTTCAGAATTAGTTGATTGCAAAGCAATGAAAGGTGCATATATGAATAATCTATTTTAACTACGTATTACCAGAAACTAAAGTGAATTTCTTTGAAAAATAAAATAATAATCGTTAGCATTACATATTATGTAAGATATATTTAAAACTCTTAAGGGACAATGGATAAAGCAACACAAATAAGGGAATTCAACAATACCTGTGAATGGCTGCAAACAGATCCTCAGTAGTCCTTGGTCTGGCTGGCACTGCCAGCACCTCACTCTCTTCTCCATAACCAGGGCTTTGCAGTAAAAAGCTGCTTGCTGCATCTGATTCAAACCCCTCAGCTAAAATGCAATAAGTAAGAAAATTATGTGGGATTATAAACTCGCAATATCTGAAGAGTTAAGTAGCCAACAGGGCAATAAAGTCTGTAAATTTCCCTAAAAATACACAACACAGCCATGCTTCTGCCTTTTTACTGACGGCAACAACAAAATTATTTTGAGTAACTACATTCTGTGCAAAGCTATTTATTTGCTTACAAGGAACATAACACTGACATTTCTGGATTCCCTAATCCCCACCCCATGGCCATCATTACTGTCTCAGTTTAAAAATCAACACAACAGAGATTTGGTTGAGAAATCCCCCTTGACAATTGTTCCCCTTAAATAAAGAAGGCAGTGCAGATTCTTTACACACCATTAGCCCAAGTTCTATTATTTCCCTTAGGATCTGCATGCATTTGCACTGACAGTGTTACACTGATGCCAATGCTGCAGCCCTCCCTATCCCACTCCCAAATAGGTCTAGTCACTAAATATACTGGATGAAAACAGAAAACAGACTCACCACTTTCATCCCCTTGAGATGCATGCCCGTCTCCTCTAGAGACACTGTCTCCAATTCTGTTGGAACTGCTTCGTTCGCACAAGCAAGGCTGCTCCTCCTGCTTGGGCTGCAGCGCAGAAACGCTGACTTCCAGTGTCTCACAGGAGGTGGGACCTGCAGCTCCTCCTTCTGGAACCAGGCTGCCAGAGTCCATTTCATAGGAGCAGAGTCCATCTGTAGGATAATCCTCAGCCTGACTGTACTGTGCAATGGCAGCACCTCCTGGAGCGATTCTGACTGTTTCACCCACTCCAGCTATTTTTTCTGCTGTAACATCGGGTTGTGGGGGTGGCACAATCAGGAACAGTTTGGGTTTCTTTGAAACAGGTGGCGGCTTCTTGTTTGGCGATACACCCTGAGGCTTGTTGAGACATCCTGGCTGTCCCTCAAGAGATGAGCTTGCAAGATCAGAGCAAAAACCCTGTGCTGCTTCTTCAACACTGGCTGGTGGTAAATCACTGGCAAAGGAATTAGCTAGACTGCCTGCATTTCCAGGCAATGTACTACTCGAAAGTTCATAGTTACCACAGAGTCCTGGATAAGATCTCTGATTAGGACTGTAAACAAAGGTATTGTCAAAAGCACCATGGGGTTTCACTTCACCTTCTTCCAGGCTGTCACAGTGTCCTACTGATACACCTGGTTTTATAGGCAGCTGTCCTGAAAGCACATCAGTTGATTTTTCCTGAGAATTTATGTCAGAAGCAGATTCAACTGGCTGTTCAACCTCTGACACCACAGTTTTCTTCACGGACCTCAGCTGTACCATTTGCAGTGCTTGGGTGGTTACTAGAGGCATTGAAGGCCTGGCGGGATCCTCCTTTTTCAAGGATGCTCTCTTTATTGTACTGTGAGAAGAACCTTCCTGATTATATTTCTTGAAAGAACATGGTACATTTTTGTATGCACCTTTTGTGAGTCTGGGGTCCAAGGGGGGTGCTGGTGGAGGAACTGAAGTAGGGACAGGAGGTGGAAGGGGAGGAGATGGAACAGGCGGTGACGAGGGAGAGAAATGATCCAACGAAGGTTCTTGCGGTAGGTAATTAAACCATGGGATACTTTGAGAAAACGACATGTTTATAACCGCTTCTGGTGGAGGCGGTGGGAAGTTGGGAGATCCAGGGGGAGGCGGCAGATCCATAACATCTGTTGAGGGAGGTGGTGGTGGTGGAAGAAGGTACTCAGATGAGTCTGGAGACGAAACCAGAGGGAAGCTTGGGCCAGAGTCAGATTTCTTCACACTCCCACTCCCTTCAGCAGATGTATTAGAAGAGAGGGATGTGGAGGAGGAAGACACTGAAACTGAAGACAGAAGGGATGACTTTCTTTCAGGCACTTTAGGTTTCATCTTGGGTTTCCCGTTTCCTGTTGACATAGATTTCAGAATGACAGGCACTGGTGTAACTGCTGTGGGTGTGTTGGATTGGCTAGAATACCCACTAGATGGTGATGTAACCCTATGTGGCTTTTCTGGAGAAGTGGTCTTTGGTTTGGCCAACCCGCTGGGCACCTGTGGTGTAGAAGCCCTTGACCCATCGTTAAGGCGGCTGACGTTATAATCATTTAGCCTGGGTCCAGCATTAGCCGAATGAACTACTGGGGATTTTAGCTGATCCTCCGGCATCCCAGGACAATCGCTGTAGTAGCCCCACTGGTCAGCATACTCTGACCTGATGCTGCTCGTCTCGCTCTGGGAGGGTGTGACCGTACAGATGGAGTACATGTTCAGGCCTGTTCCAGACATCATGCTGCTACTGGCGCTCACCGAGCTCTGACTACGAGAGCGTAGCACCCAAGGGTCATCATAATCACTGCAGGGGCTTTGAGATGGTGAGCTGCCATTTTTGCACTTGAGGTTCAACTGTAGGGAGTGTTGGAGGCTAGCAATCAACATGTCATCCAATACCTGCCCATTGGACTGAGTTTTCTTCTTGGGGATCCTTCTAAGAGAGTCTGTTCGGGATGGCGGCAGAGGCGGTTTCTTTGCCTTTTTAAAGGATATGCTTCGTGAGAGGGATTTGTCGCTGTAATTCGACAAGTCTCCCAGAGATTTCTTCTCAGTGCCATCAAACACATTAATGACACTGTGCCTGGGGTTTCCAAAGCCGTTATTGCTATTGCAAGTTTTGCCAGACTTGAGTCCCGAGTCCATGTGCATGGAAGTGTAATAGCCATCATGGTCCAGAGAATATAAAGAGCTTGAGTCTTCTTTGGCAGAGACTCTTTCAAGGCTGCTGGTACTCAAGTTGCTCACAGGCGTGGAGCAGCCTGGAGTGGCACAGTTTAGTTTGTGTAACAACACCTCTTCCTTTCCAGAGCGCTTCAAACCACAGTGCTCTGTGCTGTTCTGAACCTGGCTCTGTGTTTTGTCAACAGAGTAATTTGATTCACTCCTACTGTCACTGTCCTGAGAGTGGGTTGGAAAACTGAGATTATTCCTACTGCTGTAGGTCACACTTTGAGGGGCATTTTCCACAGCTCCTGCACCGGTGAGAGAGACTCCTGAATCTCCAAGACTGAGCACCATTGCAGCATTCGATGAAACAGCAGTGTCTGAGGAACGCGAGTGATGTGTTGAACTGGTCTCGCTCCAGGTCCCACTAGAGGAATGCTGTTGATCTTTTGTGCCTACCATGCTGTTGACAACAAGATTGTCTCTAGGTTTTGTATATGAAGAAGGGTGGGTGATTTTACTATCCATCGCTCCCGCACTCTGTGTGGTGTGAATCACAATAACCTCTGAAGAGGATGATAGGGTTGCATTTGGTATAATGCTGGTTGAATACATACTGTGTGGAGAGACCATGCATGCTAGACTTTCTGTTTGGTCACTCTCAGAGCCCTTTACCTCTTGGGACTTTGGCCTTTGAAGCATACCTGTCCTACTGTTGTTCCTCATGTGGTCTATGCTATCATCCACTTGCAGTTTGCTTATCTGGTGTGACAGTGCTCCACCTTCTGTTGACTTAGACAGGCTATGTCTACGTTCCAGGAACTGTAGGGACACCCTTGCCCCAGACCGAGGTAGACTATGAAAACCCAGGTCATTGTTTAGGCGGGAGGCAAACACAACCCCAGCGGAATCACTCATCACAGACATGTTTCCAGAAGAACTGGACAACTGTGACATCTGGGCTGCAATTCCTTGACCTTTCTGGGCACGTATTCGCCTCACTGAAGGTGGCACCACTTTGACTTCCTCCGTCTGACAGCCGGAGTCCTTGGTGTCAGACTGCTGCATGGAAGAGTGATAGCTATCAAGCCTTCCTAGTGTGGAATAGTGGTCAGGGACGCATAATGAATGGCCACGGAAGTCGTTTTTACCAGTGCCAACTGTTGGAAGTTAAAATAAAACAATTATTATACACATCAAGATTTCACATTTAAGCTCCTGTGTTCATTAACAAAACATGTATCAAAAAGTTGTTTCCTTGGATTTTTCAAATATGCTTCATTGTTTCAAATATAAATAAGAACCTGAGTCTTTTTACAGTCAAACTAGGACTACTCTCCAGTCACGTCACTCAGATAAAAAACAAACAAAACCCCTGATAGACAAGAATAGCTGTTATTACCTAACCAACAGGCTAAAGGCCAACTGGGAACAATCAATACTATCCTACTAGGCTGCCTGCACACTTCACTTTAAATAATAGCAGCTGCAGCTATTGTAGCACTCAGCAGACCATAATTTAAGTCACAACGTACAGGAACTTATTTATGTTACATATATATAATATATTACCCTATCCCCAGTGTGAAAAATGAAGAAAATAAAGAACAAGCAAAGCGTGTCTCAGTCCTTGTTCTTTGCAAACTATGTCTTGACTGCTGCACCTTCCATTCAAAAGCACCATGGGATTCCAGGAAATTCAAGCAATTCCATACAAACTCTTTTTCTATATTATTATCTACCTGAATCATGAAATGTTTATTTTTGGGACCTTGCACTATACCACAGGAGAAAAATAAAGTGCTAACAATTGCTTTTTAAAACCACTGACCTCTTTAAAGGAAAAAATTGAAATATGTTTAAACACATTAAATGAAGAAATTCTAAAGGCCTGCCCAAGTTTCTAAGAACTATTTCATCTATGTATGAATACTTAGCATAGCAACATCTACATTGTTCTTTGAGGAAGAACAAAAGGCAGGGAGAATAGTGTTGCTCACCTACTGAAGCAGTGTCTACTGCCTAATTAGACAATGGCTTCTGTCTGCGATGCAGGTGGAGGGAGACAAAGCACAAGGCAAGGTACAGACAGAATTGCAAGAGAGTCATCTCACAGCAAATCCAACTCTCATTCTTTCAAGTTGACCAGTGACAGGAGGAGGACTTGCAAATCTAATATTAAATTAACAAAATTATTTTCAAACTTCCTGTCTTCTGGCTGCCCCTTCCCCAATGGCAAGACCATAGTTAAAGGGTTTGTCCACATTTGAGCATTATTTAGCTGTGAGTCCCCCATTCAAAGCAGTCTACACTCGCCCATATTTGAATTTTTATGGCTGTCCCTGCCTTCTGATTTGCTGATTTTATAATGCCAATTAACTACTGACAGGCACACTTCCTGTGTGTGTTTTTTTCAAATACTCCACATTTTTAAAATGTGGGTTGCTTGAAGTTTTCTGGTTTCATGCAAATCTAAGTGTTATGTCCAAAAGGGGACTTGTGGTTTGTTTCTCCCAAACAAACCATGAGCCAAACCATGGCTTAGCTCCCAGTAGCAAAGCAACATTAGGAACGGGGAAGGTGCAAATTGACCAAGATTTTTGTCCTGTGCACCAGCATGCTATACGCTAAATCTTAACTATGGTTTAAAATGATGAAAGAACCAGGTCAGTGATATCGGCTGAAGAATGCTCTTATTCCTGCCGAAGAAAACAAGTTATTATGGAATCATGCCGAAGTACATACAAACAGTTCACATGGAATGCTGATTTCATCATTGCCAGTGGTGAACTGAGAGTCAAACCATGAACCGACATTCTCTTGCTGTTGTCCATTGCTGAAGGAGATCGGGAGTAGTGAGCTGTCTTTCAAGGAATGTTGTTTGCCACCATTATTTTTATTTTTATTATTACCGCAACAAGCTTGAAAGTCACTGACTTGAATGCACTTGAGATCACCGCATTGTATACTTAAATATATATCTGCACTGAAATTCTATCAAAATAGCATTTTCTTCTGTCCAAATTATGCTACAATGATGTAAAAAAGAGGTGGGGGAAAGTTTGGTATCTGAAATGCTGCAGGTCCGCCATTGACAAATGCAGCCATTTTGGAATGCTTGCTTCTGAGCAGCTCTTGCGGGTTTTTTATGGCATGTCAGATAAGGAGCTCCCTTCCCAGAGCCTTTCAATTCTCTTAATTGTTGAATGCAAGTGGACTGTGAAGAGTAAGGTCATTCTTCCCCATAAAATTTAATAGCTGTTTAAGTCATATTCACTTCTTGTTTTTCTTGGCATACAACAAAACACTGGCATCGGAGAGAATGGAGGATGGAGGGAAAGTTAAGGACAATGCCATTTATGAAACATTAACCTGCTTTCAAATAAAATCAAACCTTTACACATGTTTTTGTGCATTTTGCCTGCTTTTAAAGTTTTCCAAAAAGCATAAATTGAAGCCCTGCTTCAGCGAAGTCAGTGTGGTTTTAGCTAGAACTTCAAGGCAGCTAGAATTTGACCTTTAGACTTTTTTTTCTACCACAATGGGCTCAAGTGAGAAATTACATTATGTCCCTTCAATGCTGGCAAGCAGCTTGATAATTCTCAAAAGCAGAGTTTTATCAAAATGACTATAGGCACAAAGGCCAATCAAGTAAGAAAGATAGGAATTGTAAGAGAGGTTTATTTATTCTATATCGATCAGCATGAGTCAATGTTAGCTGTAACTGAAAATAAACACCTTCTCGGGGTGATGTTCTAATGTAATCAGTTTCCTGAATATGATACAAATTCAGATTTTTCCAACAACAAAAGTTGTCAGTCCATAAGTTAAGTTTCAGTTACTAAATTCCAAGTTATCATTGTAACTACTGCTTAAATATGTACTTAGACTAATGTATTTATTTGTGGCATTTTTTCACTACTCTTCTCGAAGAGACTCAAAGCACTTTAAAATATATATTGTAGCATAATGTTTTTTAAAAAAGCATTTCTGGCATAAATGGATACTTTTAATATTCTACTCATGTTTCTCTTATTCACAGAACTGTATGTGAAATCCCGAGAACTTGTCAGGGGAATTTTGAGTTTCATATTGACAGATTATGAAACCGGAGATTCATCTCAAATTCTTTAACAGAAAAATTAAATGCCAAATTATGTAAGATATTATTAATTAGGAAAGTATAATAAGATATCTAGTGTTGAAGAGCAATCCTCCTCAAGAAGAAGCCAAATTGCAAACTGCCAGTTTCCCTTCAGTTCTTGGCTGCAATACTGGGCCTTACCCTGCCCTTTAATGCTAGGGCAAGTAGCCCAAACAGTGTTGTGCTCCTTCCATGTTGAAGGATAGGAAAACACCATGTAGATATCATTTACTTGCTTTAAATTACAGGATAAAGTCCAACAGTGCAGTCCATAATAGGCTATCAGGAGCAGTGGGGATTCACCCACCCTCCCAGTACCCTTTAAAACAAGGAGATAAGTTACACTAGCCAGAAAAACTCAGCACAGAGCTATGATGGTTATATTGCAGACTGTCTCTTCTGAATGTGAGTAAGCAAGCATGCAAGCACAAGAGAGGGAGCCAAGGGTGGTAGCTGCCTATATAATGAAGTTTGGGGTCAGGAAAAAGACTACTGGGTTCTTCAAATACCAAAGGTCAGGTGGGTAGAGGTTTTAGAGGAGAAGGAGCAACCAGAGGCTTGCCTGCACTAATTTGTAGGCCAGTGGAGCTCGCCTACACCAAAGCTACAGAAGGAACACAGGACATCATGGCTGGAAAAAATGTATAGGAAGTTCCTTTAAGTCCCACAACCCAATGGAACTGCCATCAAGTTGCATGCAACTGGCATGACTCCATGCCAAATGAGGGCAGAATTTCACCGGCACCATTGCAGACACCAATAAAACTTCTAAGGCATATGATGAACACTGTAACTTGCACTGTGCGTGGGCTTTTCTGTGTGTCAAGTAATTTCTGCATAGCAATTCAGTATGTCAGCACAAGCCTTCCTAAATGTGGGTTTGTGGTGCCATGGTGTAAAATCAAAGCTTCCATGTTGGGAGATGGCCACAAATACATGGATTTCAAAACAGCCATGTCACAGCTACTTGAATTACAGGGAGCCTAGAATGTCTACTAAGCGTTCAAGTGAACAAGTGGGAAGATAATTGTCTCAAGTTGGCTATGAAGAGAATGAAAGCTATCTACACTTTTGTTGTTGTTAGGAAAGGGGAAAAAATTGAAGTGACAGAATACAGACAAGGCTCTAGCCTAAAAAGGGCCTTAGCTTATGCCCATTACATTCATGTTTGCCAAGAAGGAATGGCCGGAGATGAAACTTATTTATGGTTAAGTTCTTTGGTCAAACAAATGACAAACCCAGAAGACCTCAAATATGATAACTGCTGTAGTGAATATTTATGTTCCAAATATGGATTCTCCTATAGCATTTCACAAATGTTTGACCATTTGACTGATAAGACTTATGATCAGATGGTAAGTGGGGAAGTTTTTAATGAGATTCTGGAACCAATTTTAGACAGCAGTACTCCTCCTAGTAAAATCCAATCTTCAGTGAAAAATGAAGGAAATGTGAGACTGACATGCTCAAATTTAATTGTAAGAAATATCTTTAAGACCAAGGGAATAAAAACAACTGAAAACAACTCTAAAATTCTTATAGATTTTTACTCTCCCAGTACATAATTTCAGAAAATTGCAGCTTTGCATGGCATTCAGTAAATTCAGTTTGTTTGTTTGTTTGTTTGTTTGTTTGTTTGTTTGTTTGTTTAAAAAGACAGAACTTTAATTTCCAGGTGGGCAAATTGATCGGTTTAAGCATACACTATTTATTCTTTCCTAGTGGTCAGGCATACATTCATTTTAACTTTTAATAGGCTATCAGACTGTATTGACTTCATGAGCGTGGGGTAAATGTTATGAGTTTAGTCACAGTAAGCAAGATAATTATTAATTGTAATGGAATACAGTTCTGATGAGCCATACCTAGCTCTCTTTGGATGTTGTCAGGGACTCCTGTAATAGTCTTTCTCCTTTTCACTTTCTTCGGCCGCCTTACCACAGTATCTGTGTAAATTAGAGACCTCCGTATGCTGGCTTGGCGGTCAAAATTCTCCCCTGATGTACAGTAGAACAAGCAAAGCACCATTACTTTCAAGCACGCTGACATCATGCACTTTCTTCCACTTGCTTATTATAGAAATGAAGAAAAGGCATTAATATATGATGTTAGCTCAGTCATACAGAGTGGATATACATAGAAGGAAAAGATACAGCAAACTGTCACTTTAAGGCTTTAAAATGAAAGGGATTACATGCTCCTATCAAATACATTTGTCTGATCAGACTGAATCTTCATCTAATCTAAACATATCAGTGAGCCATTAATGTCAACGTTGGACATTTATAATTACATTATCTCCCAGCTTACCTTCTTATGAACTTTGAGGAATGGGGGAGAGAGAATTTATGCTCTTGTTTTTGAGAAATGTACTGAATAAGTATTTCTTCATTTTCTTATGGCATGGCATGGCTAATGACTTCAACGACAATCCTAAATATGCTTAATTGGAGGTTTAATTTAAATTAATGGACATGAGGCAGATATGAAGCTAATGGAAGTGGATATAAGGTGTGGAGGTCAGTTTGGATAAGTGGGTTCCTGGAATGATGTCAGAGGTTTGAGGCCTCATTGCTTATTTATTTACTTAAAAATTGTATATCACTATTCATAAAAACATCAGAACATCAGGGACTGTGGTTCTCTTTTTTCCACTGTTGTAAGCTGTTAATTTGGAAAATGACAAATCATTTAATATTTAAACATATTTTCTTAATTGATTGCAGAAGTGCGGTAGCATGGAAAAGTTTTCAGGAGGTATTTCAAAAGTTAGAACAGAATATGCCTGAGGAACCTCTATTGGCAGAACTGGGATGACAACACAAAAAGTTTGGTTTCTTGCTGCTGTTAAACAGCAGGGTGGACATACACTAAGAACATCCCTAGACTGCCTCTTTTGTTCAACACCTAACGTAGGCCCTTATATGTGTGTTTTAGTTTTTTGAAACTCCCAGACTCTAAGCATAAGTAAAGTAAGATGATGCCTCTGCATCCAAAACTTTTTATACTGACAGTCATAAGAAATCTGGCTACTTTCCCCTGCATTTGAAACTTCAGAGGAACTGATTGCAGATTATTTATTATATGACTACGATGAAGTTTTATAATATCTGAATGCCTTAGGTATTTTTAAAATCAACAAACAATTTGAACTGAAACAGTGTTTCAGGAAACACTGCTGTATTTTGCAGTGAACTTATAATGATAGCAGTGTTGTGAACAGCCTTGGAACAGTGGGAGAAAAATTAAAATATTAAATAACAAACATGACTGAGTCTAGACAATGTTCTGACTTTCAGGTTAGCCAAAATTTAATGTCTGTTACCTCTGAAAATTTACTATATTTAAATACAACATTATATTGGGGGGGGGGGGGAGACAGAGACAGACTGATGCAGATGGAAACAGCTCCATCATACTGTGAACCCCTGACACAGGTCTCACTGTCTCTTTTTGGTTGGTGCCAAAGAGCCATGCCAAATGCCAGTAACATTTATTGAACATAAATTCTCAATATAGACTTCAGTTTCACAGAACTGCACCCTGGCTATATTTAGTCTTTAAAGTAATTTTGGCATGTAAGCAGTATATGAATTAATTATAATAATCATCATCATCATCATCATGATAATAATCTATCATTGGGTGATACTGCATTTTCGCAATTGACTGAACCCACCTGGATGTCAACAAATTTAAAAGTTTATGTGGTGCATGCAAAACAAGAAAGCCTTATAGTTGACCATTTGCTGTATCATATCTGGACCCAGCAGCATTTCTACAGGTTGAACAGCTTCAAACAAATTCACTTCTTTCAATGAATTAATAACCTGGCCATTTCCATTTGTTTAAAATTTATATCTTGCTTCTTCTGTCATTTGAGATGCTTTACAAATTAGTTAAAACATACAAGTGATTTTAAAATCTCATTTTATTTTCTCCTCCTTAACAAACTTAACATTCCTAATATTCTTCTCAAACCTATAAATCCTTAGGGCGGTAAATTTAGAAGTGTCTTTAGGAAAAGCTCTATTTCACTATACTTCTTTCTGGAAAAAAGGTAGGTATTTGAATTCTTCCGAATTCTATTTTAAACATCTAGATAGCCAAGTTATTTCTCATTGAACAGTGCATTTGGTATTTGCTAGACATTGCTGTGCGCATCATATGTAACGTCCTAGAAGTCTTGGACCAGAACGCTTCCATTAGATTGTATGGCATAAGGAAAATGACTTTTAAAAATTATACAACAATGCACGTGGACATATCTAGATTACAGGAACAAAGACTAGAAGAGAAATGTTCCATCCCTAGTTGCCAAATGAAAAGAACTGGTTTTCCCTGAATAATCATATTTGGGTTTAACGATACAATGTGCTTGTTAAGTGAAACCTTTGAAACTCTAATAGTAGATGAGGTTAGTGCAGAGAACTGGGAGTTATAAAATTAAGAGTTTCAGACCAATGGCCTGCTATTAGGCATGCCAGGGGGTTAATTATTTAATTATTACGCTGAACTGCAGCCCTCCTATGTCACATTGGAAAATCTACTGAAGCTCCTCTGAGTAGCTCACCATGTAGCTTAGAACCTGAGAGATAAGAACTAGGCCTTGTAGGGAAAAGGATCAAAAGCCCCATCATGCACATGGAAATAGTGGCAAAGTTGTCTATTTTGTACCAAAATTTGTATCAGTGAAGGCACAAAGTCAACTTGTACAGAATTTTTTTTTTTAAGTCAGCATATTTATAGGTATTATTCTTTACCAACCGGTAATTAGTTGGTAAGGAAGTAATATTGTTTCACGTAGTAAGGATACTTTTTACCGCTCTTCTGCTTCACCAGAGTTCTGACTCAGCTTGCATATGTGATAAAAAAGTTATCCTCACCATTTAGCAGGTTGCTACAGGTAAGTGGTTTACCAAGTTTCTGCGTACATACTTTGCGAAGTTACCACTTGGTAAACAACTGTCTGTATTCATCCAAAATCAAATAAAACCTGTTAGGAAACTTGTGTGCAAAAACTGGTTGAAAGTTTTAGTTTTTAAAAATAAACCTGTATTTAATTTTTGCTTGTTTGTTTTTTGCTGTGTTTGTTTTTTTAAAAAACAACCTTTTCAGTAGCCTTCTCTGGCCACAATTCAATTTATGCAACTTGCCTAAATTTATCTTGTTCATCAAGGAACAGCCCAATGAAGTCAATGGTACGTAAGTCTGTGTTTCAGTAATTTGCAGAATGAAGCCCTTTATCTTTTATTTATGACTTTGATGCGCACCAGCTCCTATTATCTTCCTTTGTATCTGGGTAAGACCCACACCCGACGACGCCACCTGTTCCTGGATTAACAATTAGAGCATGGTGTTCAATAGATTGGCAGCATATGCTTTTTAAAGACTAAAACTTTGAGTCTTTCCCTTCCAGAGCAAGCTCAGCTCCTGATGACCCAAGAAACTAATTCCACTCCCAAACATGGATAGCCAGTCAGCAGCTTTTCAGATTAATGCAATGCCCCAGCACCTTCAGGTTACTCGCCAGATTTACAGTACTACAATCTGTCCGACTGAAAGAGCGCTGCCAAATGAAACCAAAGCAGGTCTCATCTGTTGTGCAGCCAAGTGAAAGGTTGTGGGCTGTGTTCATTATTAATTAATCTTTTTAAAAAGGAGCTTGATTTATTAAAAAGCACATCTAGGGTTAATATTTTATTTCAGACACATCAATATTTTATTGTGGTGAATAGCCCAATCTACTACTGCTGGTTTAGACAGCCAAAAATATTACCTTGCCATTTCAAAAAAATGAGAGGGGAGAAGAAAGTATACAAATACATGATTTCTAGCGCTTACATCAATTTAAAGATATGGTTAGAACTAAAATGTATTTTCCCCCTTTTCCTCTCCCAACAAAGTACATATCAAAGAGGATATTTCACTGCAAATCTTGTCTTACAGATATTCATTCAAAAGGAAGTCACACTGTGTTCAATTGAGCTCACAATGCAACCTCAGTTTCTAAAGTGTAAAGCAATATGGCTCAGCTTCAGTATAGCCATTGAATTGCCCACCTTTAACCCATCTCATGACCAACCTTTTGTTTTTACATACTTTGAGAGTTAAACAAGATTAAACTGCATACTTTTCTAAATATACTACGCTCTTATGATTAAGCATACTGATTATTTCTCTGTCTTTTAACATCTATGCAATTGAAAGGCAGCAACTTGGACTGGGAGGAACCCCAGTTTATTCATTTGTGTAATGAATTAAATGCGCAAAACCATTTCTCTTTTAAGTTGTGGCAATCAATAATATCTTTTCATTTTGCATTTCTAATTACTTTCACGAGCTTCTTATTTATCCCAGACAACTGTTTTATACTGAAAATCTTGCTAAAATAAGATGGATGCCAGCGCTAAGTGGTTATTAGCAATCACATAGGGGAAAGGCGTGCCCAAGTTAAGTGATTATTAATGAAATAAAGTCAGCTGCCTTAACAATGTAATCAAAAATATCTAATTGAAAGCCTAAAGCACAATGGAAGTCTATGCAGCTTAACTGAAGTTAACTTCTTGTGCCTCAGACCAGCTGGAATGTGGCAATGCGGTTGTAATTTAGTAATTGTGCCATGGCCCTTGGGGTCCTTTTTGCACCAGTGAAGAACAACCATGCTGCAGGAGAAAGACAAATCTTCTTTGTTAATGGAACAGGAGTACAGTTCTGCATTTCACTTTCCTCCTCCAGTGGATAACTGAAGTACAGTCATTGTACAAAAGAGGCGGATATTCACATACTGTAAGTGGATCCTATCTAAGGCTTTCTGAAACCTTTTAAGCTTAGTATAGCAGCAAACCATTTCTAATATGAACATTTCATCTTTGAAGCTAACACAGCGCATTTCGTTGTGACCGAGAAAGAGGTTAACATAGGTTTCATCTCAAAGGTCCTGAAGAATATTCCATACAACAATTTTTTTTGCCACAGATGAGCATGTGAATCTGCTGGCTTGGGCAAGTTTCTCAATATTATTCATAGTTTGAAAAGCAGAGAGATCCTAAAATCATAAGAGAAAGTTATTGTAGAAAACATATTGGGTTTTGTGCTCTTTTGAAATCTCAGTATATATTTGACCATGCCACAATAATCCTTTTGTTGGGGACCCACTAAGCTTAAGATCTAAGGCTGAATGTGTGCTCTTACCGATATTCTTCATAATTCCTGCAAAGAACCCTGCTCTTGAAAAGTGGGGTAGTAATTTAACCAGTACTTTCAATCTAATCAGCCTCTCATTTTAAGTTTCATCAGTATTTCAAATAAATTTTGAACAACGGTTTGCAAAACGTATTTTCAGACAAAATAAAAACCAATAACGAACTGAGATCCCTTGCTCTTTCTCACCACACAGAAACAAAATTAAAAGCCTACCAGTTACGTTAATGGGTATAACATCAGTTTGGACTGCTTGAGCCTGCTGTCGCATTTTCTCCTCCGGGGTTGGCAATGGAAGTGATTTGGTCCAATTTGTTTGAGTGTTGATATCAGAGAATTCATTTGAAACTGGCGTTTTGGGTCTCTTGATGCTAATAAGCTTCTCCTCCTCAGGAGAAGGGGTCGAACACTATTAAAAAAAAGTACACTGTAAATTCAGTGCAAATATATTTATCTTACTTCTTTATCTTTCAAATATAAATTAAAGCATTCAAAATAGTTGTGATGCTTTTGCCTTGGCTACATCTAGCAAAATATGAATTAGACCTTGTTCCAATTTGTACATGAGGAAAGGTTTGTACATCCTCTTTAGCAGTAATTACAAATACTGAACTGATTTCATCCAACATCCAATAAGGTTTTTTTAAAAAATCCATAAACGTATAACCCAATTAAGCACATGTTAAGGAATTGAATTCAATGTGACAAGCAATCCTATGCACACTTACCTGGGAGTAAGTACTACTGACTACAGAATACTTATGAGTAAACATGCATAAAATCTAATTATTAAACTTTTACATAACTCTTTTTCTCATTGGAAAAAAAGGGACATTATGCAGAACCATATACTAAATTTACGTATAAAACATAGGAAGTAATACTGGTCTCTTAATGGTATACCAAGAACTCTACTATTTTCAGTAGGAATTTTAACAGTGCTATAAAATACAGTGCTTCTAGTTGTCCAAACACTTTAAAAATATGCTCTAGGGCTACTTTGATGGGATTTTTAAAAATCCCAAATATGAAAGAACGGATTTACAAATCTTGTAAAATATTTACAACTGAAATGTCAGAAGAGCTTCTTCAATGCAATGACCAAATCTTAGGGAAAATGGCCCCTCTTTTGGTATCCCTGACCTTAGTATTAGGATAAGAAACCTTCTGTGCCATCTTCTTCCTTTGTACAAAGGGGAAATTTGCAAGTGTGACTCCACCAAATCAGTTTTTAAAAGGTCTGAGTCACAGAGATAGAAATGCAAACCAAAATGATGGTTCATTAGTGTGTGGCTTTTGTTTATCTTACTATTACACATGGAAAAAGGCTTACTCTAGGCTCAGGTGCCAAGGGAGTAATACTTCAAGCATGGTGCTGTGTGATAAGCCCCAGTAACCTACTTTTTATCTGGTTGGTTGACATTGTCAAAATGAATAACTGTCATGTTATGTTGACCCAGTGTATTGTATTAGGAAACCCAGCTGCCATTAGCCAGTCACCAGGGGCTCTTCGAACATGACAAGAGACAGAGACATAAATGTATACATATAGTATACATTTATGTTATATAAACTTTCCTTCTTTTTCAAGGAAACTGCAAATAAAGCATATTTTAAAAGCAATTGTGAGGCATGAGGCAAAACAAATCACACACATAGGCAGACAGGGAAATTTATATCTGAATCCTTGTTATACAAAACAAACAAAATTCACAATTTCGACACATGGGAAAATAAATCAGCTGATCCAATGGCCAATAAATAATAGACCATTTAAATCAGGCATAGGCAAACTAGGCCCTCCAGACGTTTTGGGACTTCAACTCCCATCATCCCTAGCTAACAGGACCAGTGGTCTGGGATGATGGAAGTTGTAGTCCCAAACCATCTGGAGGGCCGGGTTCGCCTATGCCTGATTTAAATAGTCAGATCAGCTACTCTGACAAAACACTGTCCATATGTTGGTCAAGTTTTAGTGCATACAAACATTTTGATACAACCCAAGCAGCAATTGTTTCCTTCTCTTGTGCACAGCTGGATGCTCTCCAGATGTTTTGGTCTAGAACTCCCATAAGCCCCAACCAAATGGCTGTGCTGACTGGGGCTGATGAGAGTTGTAGACCAAAACATCTGAAGGACACCAGGTTGGCAAAGCCTGCTTTAATGCATTAAAAAATCCTCCAGGTCCTGGGATTGCTTGGTGGGGGGAAACTACTCACACCTGGCCCTGTTCTCAGCCCTGATGGAAAACAACCTTTTAAAAGTATCTCAGCGAAGGGTGAAATTAATTACAGAATCATAAAATTGTAGATGTTTATGGTTGGAGCAGCTGAGCTAGGGCTTTGACACTATCTACCAGTCAACATCCTGAAAACATTGGCTCTGGAATTTCTAAGACCTATGCATTTCTGAAAGGTGTGCATGTGCAATATACTTGTACCTTGGTTCTCAAACATAATCCGTTCCGGAAGTCCATTCAACTTCCAAAAGTGTTTGAAAACCAAGGTGTAGCTTCCGATTGGCTGCGGGAGCTTTCAGCACTCAAGAGGAAGCCACGTCGGATGTTCGACTTCCAAAAAATGTTCGAAAACTGAAACACTTACTTCCGGGTTTTTGGCGTTCAGGAGCCAAAACGTACAAGTACCAAGGCGCTTGAGAACCAAGGTATGGCTGTACTAACTTCTTGCAATGGATGCATCCCACGATGCGCCCCCCCCCCCCAGCCACAGTCCCTACTTTTGCCCCAGAGAGTTCCTGTGTTCTGGCTGTATTCCCCAACAAACAGCTGGGAATGAAGAATCCGCTCTTTGAATATTGTTATAGGTCTTTGGGTATCAGAGTTTTTGGGTGCTTGGATTTATATCAAAATAGCTAGGTGAGCCTGTGAATGGCCTAGTCATTAAGAAGCAAAAACAGAATGATGACTCATCAAGAAAGTCATGGAGAGGGGTGAACCCCCCAGTCTGAACTCTGGGTAGTTAGCAAAAGACAATGCGAGAGTGGTGAGGAGGAAGTTTCACAACTGCAGTGGGCGGTGATGTAAGCTGAAGGGAAAATAGCTGCATTTAGAAAGCAGTTTGAAAGCTGGAAAGTGTGGGTCAGAGCAGAATGGGGTGGGCAGTTTGAATCCAACGTTACACCCATGGGAGGAACAGGACCCACTTTGGAGTGTAATCCTGGGAGTCCCTCCATTGTAGGTTCAGGTTGTAAATGAACCATATATCATAAAGACACCACAGTCTCTGCTGTAACCCCTGGAATCTTGCACTGCTGTGAAGACTGGGGTGGTGTGTAACAATATGTTCTTAAATGACTATTTCAAAGGCAGGCACAAGTCCCAAAGGAAATAACAACTCTTCAGAATAAGCAGCAACCTGAATTCATTGCTCCAACAAAGCCTATAATAAAGAAACCAAATAGTATGCAGATTTGTGGTGGTTTAAAACTCAGTCCAAAGATTAGTGTTAGAAGGAAAGGAATGAGAATGAGAATGAATAGGAAGTGAAATTAATATTATTCTTATGTATTACAAAGAGTAGCACAGTTTGGTTTTCATGCTTAGTTGTATTACTAAATATTATTTTTCCCAGTGTTATACTGAGATGGTTGGATTGCTCAATAAATATAATAGCAGTTATTCAAAGTTTCAGGTTTCATTTCAGTAAACTGATCTTTTAAGATTGTCACCTGAGATTTCTGGTTTTCTACATGATCTCTGAACAGAACACAGTGGAACAAAAACATTATTTGTTTTCAGTAGAGGAAAGCATATAGTAAGGATTGGAAAAGGAATGTTCAGAAATGAGATTAGTGGCATTTTGGTTGCTGAAGCCAGTAAACAGGGATTATCATCCACTTCCCACTCATCAAATGATAAATCTCATTATCAGAATGGGGAAAACTTGCATCCCCATCTAGACCCTGGATGCCATTCATCCAAATGCTGTGTTTACTTTTCAAAAAAGTTTACATTTGCAACCATTGAAAAAGTTGATGGAGTCTTGAGGGGCAGACAAAAATGGAGGGGGGGCTGGATTAGGCTCTTGAACTAGAAAGTAGCCACCCCGTGTCATAAAACGTGTGAGTTAAGAGGAACCTAACAGACACTCACATTCACTCTCGGATTCAATGCGAAGTTGTTTTGTTTTCCATTTCATATATATATCAATATATAGTTTGTTTGATTTGGAATAAATTATTGTAAAACAGCACAACAATCCAAATTACAGGAACATTTAAACAGTTTGTAAAGTTAGTAACTATTCACAGAGAACAGAAAACATTAACAAAGTATGAGCAGCAAAAAAGGAGTTAGTCCATTAAATATACAAACTGAGGGTTCTAGATTGACAACTACTGAGATAAGGATAGAAGTACACAATGTTAGTGCAAGATTTATCTTGAAAAAGTGAAACCAACAATAGGTGAAAATTTAAAAATAGGATTTGAGAATATTCTAGCATCACAATAACATCAAGCTGTATATATACATAACAGCTGGATGATCCCATTTTGGAGCCAGATACCTTGATCTTCCATGGAATCAAACAACAGCAGGCACTAAGGCAAGACTGAGGGAGGCAGTCTAACAGACTAGACTGTTGAATGAGAGAAAAAAGAAAGTGAATGAGTGGCAAAGAAAAGAGAATGAAAAACACACACACATGAAAAGACACAACAGACACAGTAAACATAGCAACAAGATAAACATAATTTCAGAAAGCAGAGAGGAGTTGCTATCCGAAGACATCAATTTTCCATGCAAGGAAAACATGCTTAAGTGATGAAGAGAGAGAGAAAATATCATACTAGTTTGACGTGTTTTAATCAAAGGGTTTTTTAATAATAATAATAATAATAAAACAAAAACAAAAACCAGCCAATTCTGTGGACTCACAATAGGGAAATATGCTTCAGTACAGGATGTCAGAAATGCTGCCTTGAATTAGGGCCATTTATCACATTAAAAAGATGGCTCCACCCCAAACTGTCCCCACAGAAGTATCTGTGGGCAGTATGAACCAAATTACAGGAATATGCATGAAGTCAGTCATATTAACCATCTGATCTGATTTCCAGAAAATTTCTAGGGTCCCAAGTAGATGTACTTCATACCATCTGCATCCTGATCTGGAGTTGCAAAGGGACTGCACATTAGACTTTTACATCAAATGCTCATTTCTCCCTTCCTTTGAAGTTCTGGGGCAACAAGAACCCTGAAAGACCCCCTTCTGGGACCATCTCAGGAAGGAGCCACAGAGAAGGAAGGAACCTCCCTTCTCCCACTCTTGAGGCTAACACTTCTCCTAAATATATTATTGCTGTTTTTTGAACAAATATTCTCAGATACCAAGTTACTTCTCTGCAAAACCTCCCTCAGCTTCAGGCTTCCCACCTTCTCCACAATATTAGTTCTAGAGGGACCATAACAACAGCCTCACCCAACAGTACATCTCACTGTGTCTTTCACTGAGGACTGATATCCACCAGTACATACCATATCAAAATAAAGAAAAGTGGAATATCACTCTAATTTTTATGGGAAGGCAGTTTTCAAGGAAAATTAGGTAGTATTTCACTATAAATTAGCCCTCAGCAGTTCTATAAACTCCTCATAATGCCACTTATTGAGTCAATTTTAATATTTCACTGATTGTGCAAATAACACATATATAATAATTTCTCCTACACAGGAACAAAATTGCAGGACTGTTAAGAAATACTGACTCGCTGAGGACATTGCACTATATTTTCTGTTATAAATACTAAAAAAATCATAGTCCAAAAACTAGCTAAGATAATTTTTTTGGATTTAAACCAACGTAGCTCTAAATACATTTACTTGAAAGAAATAATACCATCTCAAGATCTTCATGCATGAATCCCACCCTCTCAAGGTGGGATATTGAAGTGCACACATTCATGGTTGAAGACCAACAGGGAAGGAGTGGAGTGAGGAGGCTATTGGAAAATGTATCACATCTGTGTTTGTTAATTTTTTAAGTATCATTATGCAGCCTTTAACTTCAAGATTAAATGAGCTAGAAGGGTGCAAACCACAACAACTTCCCATCCAAACAGTGCTGTCTTTACTGTTCAAGGATTTCAGTATCTTTGCAATAACCCTTTAAGGTAGGTAAGTATTATTATATATTGTACACACATGTATGAGAACACGGCCAGTGGTTGAGTGGTTGAGCACATACATATGCTATGAGTTCATAGCTGATCCTGAGAAAGGAAAGAAGATGGTGGATAAGGAGTTGATAGCTGTGAAACACAGTGCACATAACAGATTCCTGTACAAGGGGCAAGTATTACTCAAGTGGATACTATACAGAAATCACAATGAAGAAACAAATGCACAATTAGAACAGAGGGAAGGATTCAGCTAATGAGTTCTGTCAGGGGAAGCTCACACAAGGACTTTTGCCTGCACACTCTGGTTTTCCTCCCTCTCAGGTCCCTGAAATTGGTGCAGGGGCAGGAGAACCCCCAGAATAAGGCATGGGGAAAGGAGAGAGAGTGGGGAACGCTCCATCTGGCAAGCTGCAATGCTTGCACCGACAAAACATCTGACATAGTGCAACGTTTATTTCCTTCCAGAGAACCTAATTGCACTAAGTCCACTTTGAACACATCAAGCTTGCTTGGATTACCTGAAATAAAATGTAAGGTGAACTCTGAACACTTTAAAAAACAAAAAAAACCAAAGCTAGTGTTCACAAAGTGATAATGGCTTTATTTTCTATTTGCTCATGAAAGCAGCAAACACTAATATAACCGGTTTCAAAATCTGTACTTCTGCCTGCCAGAGATGTTTGCATTGCAATTTTCTTCTTTGAGTTGAACCACACTATAGGTGGTGTTTTTAAAAACAGCATAGCTTTAAAGGCCCATATTTTCTAAATATTTTGCACAGTTCTATTTTGCACTTCTATAGTTTTATGTTGATTTAATTTTGGCTTATATGTGCATTATACTACATTATTTCCTAGCGTGCTTGGTACCTCACCTTTTGTTCAATTTCTTCATAGTCATCGTGGTGACTTCCGCAGATTGCACTGGAAGAAGATGAGAAAGTTGGGCCCTGAGAATAGTATTGAGAACTTCGATAGCCATCCCTTCGCAGCTTGTCACATTCTATACATCATGGAAAGGAAAAAAAATAAAAAATAAACATTAGTGTTTTGGTTGCTAGATACCAAGGTAGGCAGCTTGCAGGCAACATGTGGTACCCAAACTCAATTCATGCAACCCCTAAAACCTCCTATGGCTGCACTATTCCTGGCCTTTTAAAGTATTTTCTCCTCCTTTCAAAGGAGCAATATTATATTCAAATTTTAAAACTTTATTTCTGATTGTATGGTTTGGGGAAAGAAGTTCCATTCCCAACTCCCACTGTCTCGAAACAAACTGACTGGATGCTAGCTCATGGCAGAAGCCTAAGTCAGAAAGGAATTAGATTTGCCTGCTTTCCAGAACAGTAGTTGTATTCATCTGTTCCCTGCATCTGTATGCTTATTTGAGATTAACCCATTCAAACCCAGTGAGCTTCCTTCTGAGTAAATCTGCATAGGAGTTGGCATTCTAATTTGAGGTAGCCGTGATGAAAAATGAAGCAGGGTATTCTATATCCTGCTTTCCACTTTCAACTTTAGTACATGCATCTTCAGAAAGGGTCATACCTCAAGTTCCCAAATTCATAGGTCCTAAATTCAATTCATGGTACATATCTCCAAGTAGAGCTGGGAATATCCCTAATCTGAAACCTTGGTGAACCATTGCCATTCAGTAAACACTGAGCTACATGGTCTGACTCCATGAAAGGCAGTTCCTTATGCTCCTATCTTCAGCTCTGTCTCCACCTATCATATAGGTATGTGGCCCCTGGCCAACTGCCCCTCCCTGGTGGAAAATGGGCCTCAACAAACCAACATATGCAGACTAAAGCAAAAGGGTGAAATTGTGCCAGTGTCAAATTTATTCATTTGTATACAACTTCATCCACCCACCAATGTTTGGGACACATTCAGCTAAAAAGGTGACAAAGTTCCCAAGAGAACTGGCACAAAGTGGTGTGAGACCAAAACACACAACCAGCTACCACAGCCTTATATTCTTTGCCAAAAGGAAAAAGAAAAAATGTGACCATAATTCTGCTTCAAGAATAGAAAAGGACTTTTGTCCAAAGTAAATCCCATAAATCAACTAATGGCTGGGATAGCTCAGTTAGTAGAACAGGAAACTGTGTATCTCAAGGTTGTGGGTTTGAGCCTCATGTTGGGCAAAGGATTCCTACAGTGCAGGATGTTGGAATAGATGACTTCATAGTCCCTTCCAACTCTACAGATCTATGGTTCTATGATTATGTTTTGCTATTTTAATAAATCCTGTCTTTTTTCCAGTCCTGAGGATGAATGAATGTATTTTATCTCCCCGACAACATCTTCAAATCTAACTCTGGATTCAGAGTTTCCACCAGGCACACACTTTCAGGTCCTGCTGCGCTCCAGAGGCTTTGAGTTCCTTTTGCTGAAGCCAGGAGAGTCTTGCTCTCCAGGCTTCAGCGAAAGGAACCTGAGGCTATCTGGAGAGTGAGAGGGGTCGGTGCGCACCGACCCCTCTCGCTCTCCAGATAGCCACCTGAAGCCTCCAGAGCGCGGTGGGAGTTCCTGCTGCGCTCCGGAGGCTTTGGTTTCCTTTTGCTGAAGGGTAGGTGCCCCTTCAGCTAAGGCGCAGCGCCCCTTCAGCTAAGCAGGAGGAGAAATGGAAGGGGCTCCATTTCTCCTGCCGCTTCACTGAAGGGGCACTGCGCAGAGAGGGGGAGAATTTTTTTTCTTCTTCACCCCCTCTAAAACAAGGTGCGTCCTATGGTCGGGTGTGTCCTATAGAGCGAAAAATATGGTAAGTCTTAAAGTGTGACCTCTCCATTGTTACCCATGCATCTCTCTACTCCAAAATGTAATTATCTATAGTTTCTAGACTATAAAGTAGTCCTAGATTCAAAACTATCAAACGTTAATATATTGCATGTCATCAGTAGACATTTATATCACTTTGTGAAAAAGAGACTTAAGGAAACACAGTACGAACCCAAACTCTGTTTTTCTTTGAACAATTTAGAAGGTAAAACGATATTTACTTTACACAGGGTAACAGGGAATGTGCTATACTAAAAGGCACGTGTGCATTTACTTATTTCAAAACAGAAGTTGTCAAAATTGATGGAGAGAAATGGACAAACTGTGGTCTAGATTGACAGATGGCTGTCTACTGAACCATTTAGGTGGAAGATTGCTAGAAACACGAGATATAGGGAGAGAGGAACACTACCGATAGGGGTCTTATTCACCAGTCTGGTAGACCCCCATAAAATGCTTTAAATCTGAGTAGGGATGTTGCTCACTACACAATCACCATCTGCTAAGCAGCTTTGGCAAAGACTACTAAGCTAACCTCCTTCCATGGGGTGAAGAAAACTAACATTTCCCCCCAATGGAGAACAAAACACTTATCAAAATAACAATCCTCGGCCTTCTTCAGAATAAATAGGAATTGCTGAGAAACTGATTAAACTGAAATAATAGTTCCATGAAACTTCCAAACAACATGCCCTGAATTTAAAATTAGATAAAAATCCTTATCATTACTGTAGCTGTTTCCCAAGCCCTGTCTTCTTCCTTAATTGATATTCAATGAAATACAGCTAAAGAGCAACAGACGCTGGAACATAAGGGAAAAATGAAATCTTCAAGATGTGGATGAACATGCTAAGCTGCCTAGTCCAACTGTTACTTTTACCTTTCCAGAAAATCTGTCATGAGCACAGAGTGAAAAAATATATTAAGCATCAATTTTCAAGAAATTAAATTTTATCTGTAAAATACAGATCATATCATGAAGCCACCATGATTCATACATACACATATTCTGAATAGTTTAAACAAGGTTTTTATATATTTATAAAATATATAAAAGTGTACTAAGGTGCACTACTTTTATTAAAAAAAAACCTTGTGAATGAAATAATTTTTTTCTTGTTTTAATTCATAATATTTAATCTGAATTACACATCCAGCAGTATGAGCCAGTTCTTCCATTCACACTTGCAGAAAGGTATCAACTAAATGGAACAAGTACAAAGAAGAATAAAGATGATATGTAAAGTAATCCTATGAGGAAATAACTCAGAATATACTCTTGATCTTAGTCTCCTCCCTTAATTGCTGTATTGTTTTAACAAAATTATTACTTTGTGGATTTTAGTAATGGATGCTGATATTTTAATGTTTAATTGATTTTTATACATCATAAACTGCTTAGAAACCCATTTTGGCATTAAGTAATTAATGGAATGCACATTGTGATATTTCCTCTACAAAAGCACACAACTACCATATAAGAATATCAATATTATATTTCAAAATAAATTTTCTGTAAGAAATGGCTGAATAGAAGTATATCCTGGAAACAGATATATCCTTTGGCTTTCCAGAAAGTTTTGCTCTTACAAGAACCTGAAGTCTAACAAACTCAGACCCAATATTTCTGTAATTACATTTATTCAGCAACTCTATTACCTAGTTCCATAGCTTTCCCCAAAAGCAAGAAATCACTGGTGAAGAAAAACAAATTAAAACATGCTATACATCTATATCTACAAACCGAAAGCTCTTTTTTTGTTGAGATCAGGAATAGAATTCCATGTAACAAAGAGAGTTTTTAATTACAGTGCTCTGAATAGAGTATAATGCCAAACTTCATGATTAAATTCAGAAGTGCAAGATTATGGCAGATAACCAGGTTTTTGTTTTCTCATCTCCTGAAATCATGTTACATGGTTACTTATCTCTTAAAACGATACAGAAAACTTGAGACGTTCTTGCAAAAAAGTCAGCAGGTTTCTAGACTTCAAAGTAATCTTTTGTTAAATAAAGACAGCATATAGCAAGTGATACAGAATATCTTAGCAAAAAGAATCTTTTACAAGATTACGATTATTATAATAAAGGATGCCAGAGGCTGTATGGCCACCTAACAAAAGCAAAAAGGCAGCTATTAAAAGTCATACTGACTTTCTTTTCTTAAGGTATGATTTCTGCTTGTCTAAATTCAGGCTAACTGAGAAAATTCACTAGCCCTTACAAAACACTTGATATATTACATTTATTATCTGTATACTAGTTAAGTATAAAGGTAAAGTTAAAGGGACCCCTGACCATTAGGTCCAGTCGTGGCCAACTCTGGGGTTGCAGCGCTCATCTCGCTTTATTGGCTGAGGGAGCAGGCGTACAGCTTCCAGGTCATGTAGCCAGCATGACTAAGCTGCTTCTGGCGAACCAGAGCAGCGCACGGAAATGCCGTTTACCTTCCCGCCGGAGCGGTACCTATTTATCTACTTGCACTTTTACGTGCTTTCGAACTGCTAGGTTGGCAGGAGCAGAGACCGAGCAATGGGAGCTCACCCCATTGCAGAGATTCGAACCACCGACCATCTGATCGGCAAGTCCTAGGCTCTGTGGTTATCCCACAGCGGCAGCTGCGTCCCTAGTTAAGTATGTTAGAGCATAATCTAAGGTATTCTTTTAGGTCCTCTTTATGCACACCTGTAGCCATGTAGTGCCTTGTGGGTTGTAGCACATTTTGTGCCTTGTGAGTTGTAGCAATCATGTATGTGGGAAAATTAGAAACGACACATGATCCGGCCCTGTGCATGTGACTGCACCGATCAGACCAAGTTACATCACTGCTGGTTGTGGGTGTCTGCGAAGCAGGTATGTGGTGCTACACCTATGCAACATTTGATTTGGCACACCTTAGCTGCACTGGTTCAAGGGCTCCTGAACACCTACACACACACACACACACACTTAAACTTTTTTGTGTTATGCAGCAGATCACAGGATTCCCTTTCAAACAACCCTCTCTATTGCAGAGCTTAGAAGCTGTTGCCTTTAAAAATCTGCATGTTGGCATCATTAAAAACAAAACAAAGACAAAGCAGGGCAAAAACAAAACAGACAGGACCTTTCTGTAGCATAAAGATCATGGAGATATTATTTAGGTTTCCAAGAACAACTCAAAGAATAACATTTTGACAAGCCTAACACAGTATTCAACTAAGTGCTACTGAGAGTAGACCTATCAAACTTAATGAACATCACTATGCTAGGGCCATTAATTTCAGTGGGGCTACTCTGAGTAAAATTTAGTTGAATACAGTCGTACCTCTAGTTGCAAACAGGATCTGTTCTGGGGTGCCGTTTGCACCCCAAAAAGTCCGCAACTAGAGCAGCGCTTCTGTGCAAGCGCAGAGTGCGTGCTATAGAGCGCTTCTGCGCATGTGTGAAGCACGCAGAACGCGTCTGCACATGCACGAAGCGTGCAGAACGCTTCTGCGCGTGTGACGAAACCCGGAAGTATACACTTCCGGGTTTGCTGTGTTCGCAAGCCAAAAAGACGCAACATGAACCTAACACAACACAAGGTATGACTGTACTATCCCTAGTGTGTTGCTCACCCTCCCCCACCCCGAAGGAGGAGGCTACTTATTAAAGAACTGGGTAGTTTTTGGAAAGACATTTGGGCAGATTCAGTTCCTTCCAGAATTTTATATGTGTAAAGGCGGCATATATGTCCATGGTCTGAATATTTCATTTATACATTGTCCTTCATATAAAACCAAGCAGTTTACTATTTTATTTCTCTGAAAACCACAAATCACATTTCTTCCCCTTTATCTCAATAAAGAAACAATTTCACTAGAATTCCAGACTGGTGTAAGTCCAGAACTAAAAAGCCAGCTGGCACTTAGTAATTTCTGCTGGCACACTGATAAGCAAAGCAGATGGATCTGTATGGAACTGATTCCAAGTGGCCGGATGGGGGGGCAGCATCCAGACTAGAAAAAAAGAAAAAGGTAGAACAGCATATAGGAGCTGTCATTGTTCTGGCAGATGTCCGGAAGTAGGTAAAGAATGAAAACCTACTGGCAAGCATTTGTATGCCTGAAATGATCAGTTTCGCTAAATTCAGGTTGACTTCTTGGCTTAACTGTTCATGAGACTCAGGAGAAAGAAATTAGAAGCAGAGGCTATCTTTCATACAACAGTCATTCTAGCACAAGATCTCAGTGGAATTTCAAAGCTTGTTTTGCTCACCAGGGACATTGCTAACAAGACCCGGGGGCCCAAGTCTACATGAAATAAATTTGCAAATGCTAATTCAGACCATCTTTCAGGTAAAGGTAAAGGTAAAGGTACCCCTGACCGTTAGGTCCAATTGCGGACTACTCTGGGGTTGTGGCGCTCATCTCACTTTACTGGCCGAGGGAGCTGGCATTTGTCTGCAGACAGCTTCTGGGTCATGTGGCCAGCATGACTAAGTCACTTCTGGCAAACCAGAGCAGCGCACGGAAATGCCGTTTACCTTGCCGCCAGAGCGGTACCTATTTATCTACTTGCACTTTGATGTGCTTTTGAACTGCTAGGTGGGCAGGAGCTGGGACCGAACAACGGGAGCTAACACCGTAGAGGGATTCAATCCACCAACCTTCTGATCAGCAAGCCCTAGGCTCAGTGGTTTGGACCACAGCACCACCCGTGTCTTTCAGGTTGAAAGAAGCAAATACTGGCTCTTGCCCAACTTCAAATACCATCTGGGGACATAATGGAACAGCTCAGAAAACGCACTTCACACCTTATTTCATGTTCCAAGATGCCCACCAAAAGATGATGGTCTCACATATTGCCTGAAGGAGAGAAAAAGTGCACATATGCAGTTGTACGACTGATGTGACACCGTTTACCTTGACATCTGACTTAGACTGGAATTATCCGACCTGCCTCTCTTGACTTTAAACCTAGCTAGAGCCAGCAGCTAAGGGTATGGTGGTGGTGAGGAAAGAACAAGTAGATTGTAGCAGAACATAAATGCACATGCACCCGGTAGTCTTCAGGACCTCTCATCTGTCGAAGTCTACACCTATCAGTACTCTGCTAAAATATATTTAAATTCTTCTATGTTTTATCATTTGAATTGATATGACCTGCCAGCAGCTTGTGTTCTGTTCCTAATGGGACTGTTGTTGCATAGAATCTGCCTAGCTACAAGCATCTCGACCGCATTGTATCCTACTGATCCATATGACGGGTTGGAAATTAATTATGACATTTGAAAGTGACATTTAGAATCTATCAACAATGCATACTATGGAAGAATAGACCAGCTGGCAACACAACTAGATTCTGCAGCTATCCGTATCATAACAGGACTTTAAAACACAATTCTCACTTAGATCCTGATGAAGGTTCTATTTTTGTATCACAGTCTAAATAAGGCAAGCATCAGCCATTGAGCCACACAAGAAGGCATTTGACTTGGAACAGGACCCATTTCTGCAGATAAAAACCCCTTATATCATCTGCAAAAAGGAGTTATCACAAGGACTGTTCCATGTCAAGCTTAGTTTTAAAAAGATGCTAGAGAGAAACACCACGGCAGCTTTTGGACTGTTGCTGAAAAACAGCCAGCATGGACTATAAAGCAGGTTCATGAACTTTATCAATAATACAGTTCAGTGTAGTTTTGGAAATGGAAACCCTTTTACTTTTTTTTACTGAGTCAGGAATTCCAACAGATGTACTGCCAGAGCAGATTAACTGAAATATGTTTGGTTTAACGGAATTTAGCTGATTTTGCCAATTTTGTCCTTCTGTGTGTGTGTGTGTGTGTGTGTGTGTGTGTACCTAAGAGGTTTACATAAAAACAATAAAAATGCAACAACATTTAATAAAATTTACCGGGGGGAAAACCCTTTTAAAAAATGAAACAAAACGTTGCAAATAAAACAGAGGAGCATACAAACAAAACCATTAGAGTCAAGAGTTCGGGAAAGCTGGAGTAGGCAAGTACGTTTTTAAGAGATGCTTAGTCTTCTTCCATCATTACATTCCCAAAGGCAACAGGAAATTAGTTGTCCACAGAACAGTTTACATGCAAATGGCATAACTCAACTACAGTGGTACCCTGGGTTACATATGCTTCAGGTTACAGACTCCGCTAACCCAGAAATAGTGCTTCAGGTTAAGAACTTTGCTTCAGGATGAGAACAGAAATCGTGCTCTGGCGGCACGGCAGCAGCAGGAGGCCCCATTAGCTAAAGTGGTGCTTCAGGTTAAGAACAGTTTCAGGTTAAGAACAGACCTCCGGAACGAATTAAGTACTTAACCCGAGGTACCACTATATATATATATATATATATATATATATATATATATTCTGCAAACTAACTGACTTTGATGTACATGTGAGAACCAAGCATGCAGCCAGGACTCTGCTACATGGCTAAGAAGAAATTCACCTTTTTGGTTATCAGAGTTCCTGCTGTTTCCAAAATAGCTCTTTGTACCACTATCACAATCTTTCAGATGTAATATCTCTTCATCTCTGTTCAAACATAGAGGGTTTATCACAGAGGTTTATCACAGAGTGCTGTCCATTTGAGACTAAAACTGTCAAGCATTATTCAATAGATTCCAATGAAAGCAACTGCTTACACACTGGCCACCTTTTTGGCCCAAATGTATTCAAGTGAAGAGAAAGTGGCAGCCAATAGCAGATTCCTTTTTCAAATCACATCACACAGGAAGACACTCCTCTAGAATTATCTGCAACAGAATTGTTAGGTTGGTCCTGCTCAGAACAATTTAAGAAGGATATTGACAAGCCCAAACATGATGATCAAGGGTCTAGAAACCAAACCTTATGAGGAAAGGTTGAGAGAGTTGGCTATGTTTAGCCTGGAAAAGAGGAGACTGAGAGGAGATATGATGGCCTTCTTCAAATATCTAAAGGGCTGTCACAAAGGAAGATGGAGCAAGTTTGTCTTCTCCTGTTCCGGAGGATAGGACTTGAACTAACAGATTCAAGTTACAAGAAAGGAAATTCTGACTAAATATCAGAAAGAGCTTTCTGACAATAAGAGCTGGCAGCAGGACAGAATCCCTCGGAAGGTGGTGGACTCTCCTTCATTGGATATTTTTAAGTAGAGGTTGGGTGGTCATCTGTCATGGATGCTTTAGTTGAGATTCTTGCATAGCAAGATGCAAGCATAGCAACATATATGACCCTGGGATCCCTTCCAACTCTACAGTTCTGTGATTCTATGAAATGACTTGGACAGAAAGCCATAAATAGTTTTGTGGGTATTTTCTTTTTCAAAATCTATTTCGGTTAACAGCAAAAGGGTCAGGCATAGGCCTTTCTTTTCTGTCTTTCAGCTTGCAAAATGTAGAGATAAGCAGGCATGACTGAAGCAATTGCGATTTATCATCCACAAGTGTACTAAGATTACATCCCCGTAGAAATCCAAATTAGCCCAAGACAAATGGAGATAATCACATTGAGCGCTCCCTAGTGACAGCCTGTTAACAAATATCATTTGTAATGCCTGTTTCAGCTTCATGCCACTGGAAAGCCTATTGGATTCCCTGAGTCATGCTGATAGCATCTTTTCAACCACTTTCCTTGAATTTTCTCCTTTAGAGAATGGTGAGAGAATAAGATAAAGGATGTGCTTAAATATGGTAATGTATTATACTTTCAACTTGGATTTCCAAGGTGTTCCTTCTCTTCTCTAATCTTTGGATTTTTTTTTATTTTAAGCATTCAATCAGCTTGTCTGCGACGCTGAACAAGGGATGAAAATCACACAGCAGCTGTGTTGTTGAAACAAAACAAATGCATGCACATTTAAACCAACACATTCTAAATATTCTTTGTAGAAAAAGGAACAGTAGACAGGAGCCAGAAATGCACTGCATACAAGACTAAACAAAACCGTGCCATTTCTCTTGACAGAAGTAAGAGCCTCAAGTAAGCTGCTACAACTAGCAGCTTATCCCATTCTACCACTAGGGTCCAACATCTTACTGAGGTTTTCCTCAAAGATCATTTCAGACCACAGATGCTCTTTTCATGTATAACTAGTTTGTGCAATACTGCTCTGCTTACTTGAGACTCCTAGCCATTCTCTCCAAGCATGTACTTTTGTAAGCAACTATTATCATGTGAGGTGAGAGAATACAGAGCACAGACATTTCCACTTAGGAAATTTTTCCATACTATAATTATGCAGAAGCGGATGACTGTGAGCAAGCAGAGGTTACAGCAAAGCAAACTGGAGACACTATGAACTGGGAGGTTATCTCCTGTACACGACAGTTTACAGCTAGTCCTAGATGGAGTGGCACTCCATTTTAAAGACCAGTCCCACTCTCTTGAACGCCGCATGAGGGCCAGAACACATTTTCTCAGCTTTGTCTGGTACATTAACGGCAGTCTTTTCTGAAGAAACCTCCATGTGGCTCTATGTGGGGCTGTCTTTGAAGATGACTTTGAAACTTCATCTGGTTCAAAATGCACCTGTCAGAGTCCTGACAAGGGCATGTCATTTGGACCATGTAACACCATTATTATACCAGTTGCACCGATTGCCAGTGCCCTCTTGAGCCCAATTCAAAATGTTAATTTTATAAACTAAACAGTTTTTGAAGGGCCACCTGTATCCATATTATCTGGTTCACAAGTTAATTTTAGCAACCAAGGCCAACTTAGGGAAGTGAGTTTGCCAGGAATGACACAGGAGACCTTTTCTATGGTGGTCCCATGGCTCTAGAACCCATTAACAAAAGGTGAAAAAGGTGAAAAATGAGCATAATATTTTAGCTGCAGTTCATTCATTTTCAGCTTTGGATTCTTGTTATAAAAAAAAGTGTGCCTAGACATTCCGTTATTGCGCCCATAACTTCGGTTTAAGGTGCCATTTAGCACCTAGCTTTCAAATCTCAGTTTCTAATACTGTGCACATCACAACTATTGAATCTAGTTAATTTTTTTTCTTACATACTTCACAGCCAGCAGAATGCTTTTGGACTAAATGCACAACTATAGTTCAATAGATTCCATTTCTCAGCATGGAACCAGCAACTATTATGTATAAATATATTCTTTAAGATTTTCATTGCATAGGACTCCTTGCAATTCTTCAGAAGAGCATTTGAAAGACAGACATTTTCCAAAGCCAAGTGCGTATGAACTGTGTATGGCTTCAAATAGTTAAAAACCATAAAGAATAAATGGGTATAGCTACCAGCGCTAGCAAACAGTCTTGATTTTATTTTCTCCCTTGGAAACAAGGCAGCCTAGCTTAACCATGCTGCCTCTTGCCTATCTTTTATTTCATTATTCTGAATTGATATAAATTTCACATCTCAGCATCAACATAAATCAAGGGCTAAAACTGTTACTCATATTAAATGGTCCCCTTTTGCTTAACAGGCCATTAATTGAACATATGATTAATACATAAAACAAGTAATCTTCTCAGCAGAAATTAACCACCAGCGAGGGATGACCCATATTTCTCATCAACATATTGATCCAATGAATCATAGGAAAAACAAAGCCTGAGCAATAAGATGTTATTCTCTGTATAAGATTAGGGAAACATGTAGGAAGGTCTGCTGATTTATCTTTTAATTTGTTTATTTTACATGCTAACCAGATGTCTTCTGGGATTTAATTCAAACACTTAAAGCATTGCTTCCTAAGCTATGTCTGGAACCAGGACAGTATAGAAACGCATCTCCAACCTTAGTCTACAAAACCAATGCGCCAATAAGCTGGGATAACTAATGAATCACCACAGAAACTGGGGCCCTTCAGCAACAAAAGCAATGGTATATATGAACGCACTGATGATGGAGAATCAATATTTACTGAAAACAAAAGAGCCTGCAAATTTTACATATATAGGTCTGAAACCGACCTCTGGTGCATTTTTATTAAATGGGAAATTGCAGCAAATTTAAAATTAAAACCTTATGCAAGCAGGAACAAGCATAAAAGCTAGCTATTATCTTGTATTTTACACTGTTTCTATGGTTATTGATCAGCCATCTTGCCTCAAAGGGAAGCTGTCATTGGCAACCTCTCCCCCTCTATGTGGCCCAATTGAACATACCTCCGTATCACCCAAAACGTATGGTTTAAAATAAAAAAACCCAAAGGTTAAATGCAATTATACTTTTTATGAGTTATTGGATTAACCTAGCTTGAGTTATTTTTACTAATATATTTCAGACATTTTTGAGAAGAAAGGACAGAAGCAGTATGCACTCTGACAAATATATATTTACTGACCTAATATATTTGTTCAGCACTTTACACCTGAACTCTAAAATCAGAATATTTCAAAGTCAAAAGTTTAAACTGCTTTGTTTGATTCCACATGTTCCATATATCAGAGATTGTCCTGAAACTTGTAATCAGCTGGATGGGTTCAATCTCATTTCTAGGATGGCTCTTCATGCTTTCTTTTCCAGCCTCCTCTTCAGCTACAGTTGGAACTTGTGATGATATTATTGTGTCTGGCTGAAACCAACTAGAGCTGCACGTTGCATAAATAAGTTTTATGGAGACCACGTTACAGCAGGAAGAGTATAATCATCTGAAACACTGGTGTGATATTTTCTTCCCTCTTTGACTTGTTTAGTTCCCTGATAAAAGTACAAGAGGTCACAGGGATGCGAAAGCAGGCAGACGCAAGCAGGCACATAGTTTTACTGCTAAAGAAAAAAATCTGTAATGATATGGTGTGTTATTATTGTCAACTTCCTACCTCTTAGTACCGACTTCAGGTTCAGCTTGGCTTGGCGGTGCAGATCCTCTACACAGGGTGGCCTTGAGGTGGGTAGAAACACATTCTCTTGTTGATGCCAGGGTGCAGTGTAATGGACTGTCCATCTGCTCTCTTCATCTAGATTGGAGACAGCTGTAAATAAGAGAGAGTCAAATTAGAAAGGAATGCTGCTATTAACCTGAAGTTATGCTCTACAACAGGAGTGGGGGAGAATTTTGCTCTGTCGGATCAGATATCAGCCCCCTCCCCATGGCCTATCTTTAGCAGATGGGTAGGATAACACACCTGTCAATCATCTGATGTCATAATGAGGAGAGGTGATTGACAGGCGGGCTCTCCTACCCCGCCTGTCAAAGGTTGTCTGTTGTTGGGGGTGGGGGGAAGAGAAGAATAAGTGACTTCAAAGCACCACACAAGGATTGCAAATAACCCTGCTCATCAACAGGCTTTGATTCCTCGTTCAGCTATGGGCAGAAACTTTAGTGCTCTATTTTTCTGCAGAAAATTTTACATTACGTAAGTTCATTAGTAACAATGAATGGGTGTCAACTGCAGATTCATTATTAGGCAGTTTCCAAGTTTTTAGCTTTGTATCTCACATACAAGAAAAATAAACATGAAAATTAAGATCACTCTCTGAAGCATCAGGAAAAAATCATGGAGCAACTTACTCTAATTTCACGTCAAAGTTTTCCAGAAACAATTCCATTTCTAATTTTCTCTGAAAGCTTTTATCACTGGATAAAAGACACTGGACCATACTGAAAGCTCTACAAAATATAAAGATCTCAGCATGACACATAGTAGGACTTCCAATGCTGAATGCATGGGAGGGAGGATCACATGGGAGACAGTGGTCCTTCAGATATCCTGATCCCAATCCATTTAGGGATGTATAGATGAGAACCAGAACTCTGAACTTTATTGTAATCAGAAACAAACTAGAAGCCAGTGCAGATGGAAGAGAAGTGGAATGAAATGATCTGTAAAGTAATAAATCAGTATTATAATTGCTTTTTGCACCAACTGAAGTTTCTGAATACAATGGTACTTCAGGTTACAGACGCTTCAGGTTACAGACTCCGCTAACCAAGAAATAGTACCTCAGGTTAAGAACTTTGCTTCAGGATGAGAACAGAAATCGTGCTGTGATGGCATGGCGGCAGCGGGAGGCTCCATTAGCTAAAGTGGTGCCTCAGGTTAAGAACAGTTTCAGGTTAAGAACAGACCTCTGGAACGAATTAAGTTCTTAACCCGAGGTACCACTGTAATTTCCAAAGCCCATTTAGACTTTGTTAACAGTAATCCAATTTTTATGACAACAGCATAGCAATGACACTTCAGTTCAGGTCAGCCCAACTTTTCATACCAAGTAGGCCACAAGAGTTCTTCAACAGGGAACCCATGGACCATACGCTGCCTTGTATCATGGGGGTGGGGGAGGCCAAAATTTGATGCCCAGATCCACTCATTGCACTGCCTTCCCAAAGCAAGTTAAAAGGTGCCAGGCTCTGGGAAGGAGGTGCATGGCTCTCCTGCCCACCAGTGGAGAAGCAGCAGTGGCAGCTTCTGGCGCGATCTTGCCCACACCTCACAATATCTTGCTGTGCATTGCCACATGACCCAAGGAAGGGATGCTTTGGTGGAAGCAGGGTAGGGTTACACTTTCCTGTTTCACCTCAGGTGGCGAAATGTGAAACATCACCCCAGATAATTACTATAGGTTTTGTTTCTTATCTGTATAATGGGTTCTTACTTGTGGCCTGCTTATACAAAAAAGGTGTATAGTGGGTAACTGTATGATAAAGGTATGAGGAAAGACTTAGAAGAGAAACGAAAAGGATGCTGCTAATACTGTAATTTGAGTAGAAAATTAATTAACTGGGGCATTTTGAGTACCACACTGAGAAAAGTGCGGTGTGGTACTCAAAATGCCCCAGTTAATTAATTTAAATAGGTCTCCCACTTAGTTGGAATACCACCCGCAATTTCTAAATCTAAATGCAGTAAGTAACCTGGGTTGAATTCCTAATGTTGCATTATTATATTTATATAGCAAACTGCAAAAACAGAACAGTGGCATTTTTGCTGCTTCAGATGACATTTGGGTTTCTTGTAGAAGTTCTTCCTTTCTACCCTCATATTGTCCCATACCACCTAACAGAAATACCTGGAAATACCTATGCCAAATTAAAGCACACATATGCTTTAAATACCTATGCCAAATTAAAGCACACATCACCATGGTCATTTTTTAGTAGCATTTTGGCTTTTTCTGTGGTGGCCATAAAGGAAAGTGATAAGTGTGTCAAGGAGGGGAGATCTGTATTATCCCCCAGGCAGTATTTGGCCTTCAGCCCACATGTTGTTCTCTTTGCTCTTAGCTCTCCCAAGCACAAACCTTACATCTTTGCTCCCCCACCCCAAGCACTTGTTAAGTTTATGTGAACTTACCTAAGACCGTAGTCACTACCTCACTCCCTTGCCTGATTTTCATTGCCTCTTAGTTGCTCATTACTGAGACCATATCCCTTTATTGCCCTGAATTAAGAGATTTTTCAACTTTATTATTTGCCTTGTTAAAACAGCACTACCTCTGCAAAGTCCAAACTGCTCAAAAAAACCAGCAATGCCCTCAACATTTAGATATCAGGTAAGGGGGACTTAACCACATGTAGGATATCTCAAGATGAGAGGCACTTGCGAGACTGAGTCAATGTCTCCTGCTACTGCACACAATGGTCACAGAACATGCTCCTACACAATAAGAGTTCTGTATGCTAAAGAAGTATGCAGGTAAATACAAAAACATTTTATAATGGGGGGGAAATCATTGCCTTTTGCCACAGTGAGCCAACTGTATGTACTAGTTCTTATGTATTATTTAAGCCTGCTATATACATGCTATATCTAAGTCCCTCCTTTATGAAGAGCATGAACATGACATTGTTGCCCTTGGAACTCATCAAGCACATCCTCAGCAGGATGCGCTTGAGGAACTCTTATGGGCACCTACATTCATTACACTGAAAATGATCAGGAACATTTCATGCGGTAAGGTAGATAATGCTGACATGATACAGGACTGTCTTTGCTGTCCTTCCTAATCAGAGGTCAAAGTCTAAAGATAATGAACAGAAAATGCAATCATTCTCAGCCTTCCAGAAAAAATTAAAGCTGTATTAAACTACTGCCAGGGATGAAATAACTTACAGGGAAGGTGACAGATGCTACATGCAGAATTATCTTGAGCCCCCACCCCCACCCCCGCCAAATAAGTACCTAGGACTCTAGGCTCCTAACTCCAAATTTTGTTTTGGGCAAGAGGAAGAGTATCGTTGTTAACAGAAAATATGCATGCAGACTGGTAGCAACTTAAAGAAAGATCAGCTTGCTGTTCAAAACTGTTCCAATAATCATTCTGGGTGTTTGTAGAAAAAATGTTTTGTTGCAAGTTTGCGCCAGTGCAATAAAGCAAAGGATTCAGACAGAGGTTTCTGCCTGTAGCTGGCTCTGAATGTCCACAATAGTTGGTGGAGCCGAGGGCTCAACAAGATTTTAGCTGGATAAACATTACAGCACACAAATCTACTACCTGCATCAAGTTACCTAAAAAAAAGCTTTAAGCTCTGCAATGATTTTATTGCATGAAAGGGGCCCCTACTTTTCTCAGGAAGACCAAAGAAAATTAGCAGACTCGGGATTCAAAAGTTTACAACAACAAAAAGTGCAGGTGCTCAGCAGTTTCCTTTAAAGAAACTGCTTCTACACCCTCCAAAGTATGGCAAAGTAAAAATGCTATGCAATTCAATAAATTAAAGCACATTACTTAAAATTTGTGCAACATGATTTAGCTTTTCTGCAAAATATCTAAACAGATTTAAAAGCCACATTTACTTACTCTTTTTCTTGAAAAATTTGATTAACGATTTGAGCTTTGTATTGATAAACACCACCATTTCAGAAAAGCCTGCTGTGTTCCTGCAGTTTGGATCCCATAGAAAGCAAGGGTACAATGCAAGAAACTAATTTCCAGAGCTTCCCCAACAGTCCTTGCAACCCCTACTAACTTTTTGCCTCCTGCTTCCACCCCTCCCCCCTTTTGTTTCTTCTTTAAGAGCAAGCTCAGAGTTGCAGGGAACGTCCTAGCGATTAGAAACCATTAACAGTCCTTGAACCTGAAAGCTTCCTTCTGAAACATAATGCGGGTGTCTGCAACAGCCAGTTACAACATAGAGAGCGCGGGGGGGGGGGGGAGAGCCAATCTTTGTTCATGTTTGCATGGAAGCAAGATGGAGATTTCTGCTTCAGCATTCATTCATTCATTCATGCGTGCATGTCTCCCTCTCTGTCCCCTCCCCCTAGCAAATAATCAACAGTTTCCCCCTCCCTTTCCTACCACGCCAGGTTGTACTCCACAAAGAAAGATGAGTAATTTTAAGTGATTTCCCTTGCCATTACTCTCAAAGGATCTTCAAAATCCTCTACAGGACACAATATGAAGTGGATGCTTTCATGGCCATGCTTTGTATAACCCTCTCCGAAGAATATACAGAATTTAACTTGCCTGGGAAAGTGAGACTTTCAACTATTGCTTTCCAAACCTGCCCCCCTCTTTCCCAACATTTATGCTTAGCAAGCTCTTAAGGACTGCATCTTAATTGTTCCCAACATGCAGGGACGGGGGTTTCCTTCACATCACCTTGCTTTTGAGTCATACATCTCCCCCCCCCCTTTCCCACCATTAACTACAAATTTGGTGGCAAAGAAGGGTTACACACACCTTCTTTCTTTCTTTCTTTCTTTCTTTCTTTCTTTCGCATGCTTTGTTAAAGCTAACTTAAAGGAAGCTACAAAAAAGTACTTTAATTACTAAGCCTATATGGCTTAACACGTTACCTAGACGTGTAAGTAAAAAAAAAATCTCTTTCACGGGCTAGGCAAAGAGCCTTTGTAATGAAAACATCTATCTCCTTCCATTAGAAATGATTTACAATATTTGGAGAGAAAAATGCTAACTACAGCATCAATGTGCTCAGCAGGGCATGCCTGCAACAGAATGCTGAGGCTCAAGAAGTCAGTCTGCCCTTTCAAAGGAAGGCTAAGCAATGTCTTGGCTTGACATTGAAAGGAAGGAATTCTCACTTCTCCAAAGAAACCCCAACAGCAGGGGCCTGCCTGCCCAGTCTTTTCCAAAGGAGGCCACATAGGTTCAGATCTATGGAGTAGCACATGCAGAAGGAGGTGCTCTTGGGAAACATTCCCAGCCTCAGTGGATTTTTCAAAAATCACTGGTACACAGAACAAAAAATAAATGCATAAACCTTTTCTACAAGAGGACATCTAGGAGAAATAAAAATAGTTCTGTTTGACAATGTTGTGTGTTCTGAAGGGTCTGAAAATTGAACACAGTTTTGGCATTTAATGTCACAAACTACTTTTAGCATAAATTAATGGGAAGTTAGCTTCAGGAAGTGCACTCCTCAAAACCCACTGACTACCAAGGAGTATAAAAATGCTAAGGTTGCAGTTATATACCTACTAACTGAGAAGACTCAATTGGGACTTCCATCTGAATGTATAGGATTGCGACATAAAATTTCAAATCCAAGATCATTTGCACACATTTATTTGATTGCCTGGAAAGGATTTCATCTGGTTGAGCATCACTGTAGAAGTCAAACAATATAAAAGCACACAGATTCATTGGCCCCTGTCACTAGTCTATGCAGCACAAAAAACGGGAACTTCATGCAGGTCTGAATATGTTTTTACCTTAAATAAATGTAACATTCCATTAACTCAAAGACACGTATCAAAACATACAAAACAAACAGGATTATAATATTGTTAAACAGTAAATAATAGGTTCTAGTCAAACTTAAATGATATCAGTCAAAATAATGATAAAAAACATATACAGTGGTACCTCGGGTTAAGTACTTAATTCGTTCCAGAGGTCTGTTCTTAACCTGAAACTGTTCTTAACCTGAAGCACCGCTTTAGCTAATGAGGCCTCCTGCTGCTGCCTCGCTGCTGCCGTGCGATTTCTGTTCTCATCCTGAAGCAAAGTTCTTAACCTGAAGCATTATTTCTGGGTTAGCGGAGTCTGTAACCTGAAGTGTATGTAACCTGAAGCGTATGTAACCCGAGGTACCACTGTATATAAAAACAGCTGTATTTGTCTTTCCTCATTTATACAGAAGATTACCATCTAATCTTTGGCATGCAACTCCCTCTGTGCTGAAGGAATACTTCATGAATAGTTTTTTCTATGCTGGTTTCAGAAGCACTATCATGAAGCAAGAAGACTAATATTTGCATTAAATGAGGCTGAATCGCCTATGCGCCTTGTTTGCTAAATCACAGGTAGAAGATTAAGAAAAAGAAGTTGTACACTTAAGCCACATTGTTCTAACAATGTGCTCTGAAGGAATGGACTTAGACCAGAGTTCAAATCCTTGACTTCTTAGTTGTAGGAACACACTTGTTGAGTTGGGGGGCAATTCATCTCCATGTGCAATTTTCATTATCAACAGGCATAATAGCAACCTTTCTTACACGCTGCTTTGGAAAATGAATGCAATAAAGCCACAAATTTGATTGTTGTTTTTTTACAATATTTGCTAGAGAGAAAAGTATGTGACCCAGCACTAGATCGGATTACGTGCATAGCTGAGCAAATGGTCAGGAGGAAGAAGATCCTCTTGTCCTCAACTCTCTATCCTGCTATCAAGAAAACAGCAACCCAGTAATATAAATAATTCCAAGATGGTGCTGTGGGGGAGAAACCCTTGAAAGGGGCCAAAGGGTTTGGGGAATGTGAACAAAACACACTGAATCTTTGAAGGTATGCTCACCATAATACTCTCCTATCAGTAAAATTAACCATTTGAGATGAGATGTTAGAACAGACTGTTCCTATTCAGCTGTACAGATGTTGTCATTACCAAAACCTATTTCAGCTGTTAATTACAAATGCAATGCTGCTAGTTTTAAGGATTTGTACATGTTACATAGAACTGCTTGACACTTCAGGAGAGGCATAAGTGGTCAGTTTTATGTGGTGTGCCTGCAGCATGCATTCCACCCATCCTCCCAGCCCATTGTATTGCCCTCTTTGAATATACGTTTCCAGTTGACCTGGTCCATGACAATCAGAATCACATTAAAGGATTTTAGCCATGAAACAACTGGAAACATCCTTCCGCCCTCCTCAAATTAAGCTACAAAGACTCCTTAGGAATCGTTCTTGCACCATGTAAAGAATTTGAAAACTTTAATACTATCTATTGCTGCTGTTCAAAACATGATTCTGAATATGGTTTTAAAAAGTAACATGAATGACATTTTAGAATGCAATTTTACAGGAAGAGTTCAAGGGTGAAGACATTAACCAACTGTTCCTGAGTTATCTATTCATCACTAATCAACCAGTCTAGCCCCAGTGATTCTGAAATTAAGTTCTATTAACGTAACTGCTGGATTCAACCTTTTCTAAATTTCATGGAAGGCTGTTCCAAGGTTTAGTCAATGCTATATCAAAATATATACATACTATGAAGTCAAGAAAGTTGCATAACTGGCCAATCCCAAAACACCAGTGGTAGAAATCTCAGAAAATCTATGCTCCCAGATCCATTGGGGGGGGGGAATAAGGAGGTGTGTTCAAACATTAGAAGTCTAAAAGAAAAAGTCCTCCCCATGCCAAAAAAAGAAGACACTGATAACAGACAGACATCTGTGCTTTTTCAGTGTGTCTGGCAAATGGAAAAACAGATCTACAAATTAAGGCTGAGAGCCAGTGTAGTGAAGTGTAGGAAGGTCACACGAGTGAAATCAGCACTCAACCATGAGGTCTGCTAGGTGACCTTGGGCCAGTCACTATTTCACAGACAAACCTACCTCACATGTTTCTGACGAAGATACAATCAGAACTATTTGCAGCACCATGACCTCCTAAATAAAAAAATCACATGTATACTTATCTGAGAGTCAGACTCACTGAACTTACTGGGGCTTTCGATTTTGCTATATATTTAAAAGATTTTATGCTGCGTGTACATAAAAATGATTAGGTCTTCGAAAGGCTCTTTACAAAGCAAAAGCATTTGCCAGGTTGAGGGACTAAAAACAGGCACATTTCACTTGGCATAGGTGCATTTATGTCCATAGATTCCCTAAACACATGGAATGATACAGCAAAAGAAAACTATTTAAGGGTATGATCCTAGGAAACACTGAACCCCTTCTCACATGCGGGAGGTTGCCAACTTTTAGTACTTTCAAGAGCTCTCTTTCAAAGTCTTTAGAAATTACACTTCCTTCCATTAGTTCTGTAGCAAGAACCTTAAAAAAGGGTACAAAAAAGTCATCGAGCCCTGCACACTTACGCTCAGATTCAATTAACTCAATCAACCTGCTTTACTGGGATATTGCCATCAAATGGTTCTTCTACAGGAAGGAATGATAAATAATTTATAAATTATGAGGCATTCTTCTCTCCTTTCAAACCAGCCAGGCTCAGCCATCCCCTGGCATTTTCCTCGAGAACAAAAGTGACTTCCCACCACAAAGACAGTCCCGAGAGGCAATGAATTCAGCTGCCCTCCCATCTTGAACTCAGCTCACTCACAATGGTCTCTTTCAACTCTGCAATCTCAGCCTTCCTGAATCTTGATACTTCTCTGGTTACTAAGAAGTGATAATTAAACTAAGGATCCAGAAAGGAATAAGGAAAAAAAAGTCCTATTTTACTCTTAACAGCTGTAAAGGAAAGGAAAAGACCAGTGCACCACTTAATCCAAAGCGAGAATTATGCATAAAGTGGGGCTTTACAAAGATTATTAAGTAGGTAACGGCAGCTCCCTCATTATCCATGCACACAGGAGACTAGAAGACTCTAGGAAGGAGGTTGGGAACTGAGGAGCAGAAAGGAGACTGTGAAGAAACAATGAAGCATTAAAAAGGGGGGGGGGGGAGACAGAACTTATTATGACAATCTTGTTTAGACCACAACATAATAAATATTGATTAGCTCTTTCCCCTATTTTCTAATTCATTATATCTCTACCATTAAGAGCTACCCCCACAAGCACCACCAGAACAAGGAACAGGGTTTTGTGGAGTTCAGATGCTAATAAGGATCTCAGTTTTGTGTTTGACCAACCCAAGCCTTTGGGATAAGAAATGGAACAAACAAACAAACAAACAAACAAACAAACAAACCCTTGTCCCATCCACCACTGAGCCATGCAGAAAAAAACAAATGCATTTTGGCTCAAATGTGGAAATAATTTAGATGTCATAAACTTTAAATCTGCCCTACATTCAGTAAATGTTAGCTTACCAAACATACAGAGTATCTTGTATAAATTCCAAGCCTTCATAGTAACTTTGTAAGTTTCAGGACCAGTTCACATCATCAACGAATCAAATCTCCCCATCTAATTTGGAATCAAATTAATTTGAAGAATATCTGCTGGATGTTCAAATTAATCCAGTTTTAAATTGTGCCAAGTCTGAATCAGCACAGAGCTCTCTCTGTTGTGAACCTGTGCCACCTGCCAAAAGCCTTTGCTTGCCATGACCATCCTCTCTGAGATTCCTTCATCTTTTTCCATACTTATCAGAGTGGCAGGGGTTTGTATTCATAGTAGTCTTCAGGTTGTAACTGCTACTTCAAGCATAGCCGACAGTATCCAAGGTAACCCTACTGTTTGGGCAGGAACTTTAATTTTTTTCACCACCCAGTTTATTAAAGCTTTTAATTAAGTTATTATTACAATTTTGTGCAACGAAGCTGTCTTAGTTCCATAGTCAGCTGAAATCCTGATTAAAAACAGGTCAAGAAAGGAGGTTATCCAATAATGCCTAGAATTGTGCAGCAACCATATTCCCAATTTGTTTTCCTAAGAAGGAACATAGGTTGAGATTGTCCACTGGGAAAGATGAAGAGTTCACTCGCTGCCTCCTTAACTGCAGGATGGACATTTTCCTACTCATGACACCATTACTTGTGTCCCCCTGAATTTGGACACACTTTCTGCCTTGGCTTAATTAGTTGGAACACATGTTTGTGCTTACTCCCAATAGCAATGTCAGGATTCATAGAGCAAAACAACTGAAACTGGTCAAAGTAGCTGATCCAAAAGCCAATAGTATCTTTAGGCTGGATTGTGGTCACCTAGCAAGTCAGATTTAGTAAGGGTTTTCTGTAGTGCTAAAAGTTCTTTTGCCTAGGGCAGAGTAGAGGAAACCTGCAGCCCTCCAAGTATAGCCTTGCACCCATTTTAGGCATTTTATTAGAACTTTTAGATTTTTTTTTTCAAATTTTATGCTGACTTTGCTGCTCTTTCAGTTTCAGTAGCTACTTTTTATTTTAGAATATGTAAACTGTTCTACAAGCCTGCAATCTAAAGGTCGGGTTATCAAATTATGGTAATTAAATTTTCAAAATGTGAAAGGTTACGCAAATGAATGTGGATTTGTATCTCATTGGATTCTGATAATGAAAGAAGGGGATATAAATAATAAATTACTATTCTATAGTGGCCAAATTTAGTATGAATAACTGTTACAGGGTATTTGCATTTCAACTGAATGAAACAATTCCGTTTCCATGGCATAACCATGCATTCAATTAATATTCATGACTGTAAGTTTGTCATGATCTTGAGTACTGTATTAACTTAAAAAAGAAAACCCAACATATTTACAAAGTGAAACTATTGGAAATCCTGAGCTTTTATGCAAATGCTTCACGCAAAAATCTTGCCAAGCAATGATGAGTGCTTTTTTACAAATAAGCTGAAGGACAAGTTAGCTAAAATACAGCAGGTGATAGCACATTGTGCATGCAAAGTAGTTTCAGAGTGGTTCCGCTTTCATGTCAATAGGACAAATAACTGCACGAATCAGCAATTATTAGAAAAGAATTTGGGTTTATATGTACTTTTCTCATACAAAAATAGATTTTAATTAAATGCTATTCAAAGTAGCCAATTAATTAATATGTCTAGTTTGAACAGAAAACATCTGAGTCAGCAGCACATGGAAAAGCCAGCTATGTTACTAAGAAATCTACTGTAAGGTCAAAGGGAGAAATGACCTTAGAAGAAGAAAATTTGATTACAGTATAAAGAAGTCAATAAAACAATCAATACAAATGAATTACTAACTCCCTTAGGTAAAATTAACCAGTAACAGCCCAGAATTGTGGGCTCCCTGTAACTGATGTGTGAAAAGCTGGTGCTCCTTTTCCTTATTCACAGCATCAGTGTGAATAGCATTCTAAAGCACAAAGACATAAGTTTTCCAATTACAAAATGAACTCACTGGGTGAGCTCTATTGCAAATTACTGTCTCCTTAACACTATCCAGAATCACAAGTGGAAAAAGCAGAGATGGCTAGATAGCTCCACCACTATCCATCACATATATCAGGCATAGGCAAACTCAGCCCTCCAGATGTTTTGGGACTACAACTCCCATCATCCCTAGCTAACAGGACCAGTGGTCAGGGGTGATGGGAATTGTAGTCTCAAAACATCTGGAGAGCTGAGTTTGCCTATTCCTGACATATATGCTGCCTTCCCATGTATTGAAGGGTATCAGGGAGCCTGCTGCTTCTGTGGAGGTTTCCCAAACAGATTAAAACCCTGCTGAGAGACCAGCTCCATCAGATGCTTCCTTCAACTCTCATCTAGAACAGCCATTCAATCAGGCTATAATAGAAGGAAAGGCAGGAGTTCAAGGCCTCTCCATTCGACCAGCAACTTCTGGCTCCTCTTCACCCTGAAGTCTTTTTATTCCAGCAGGTCAACATTACAAGAGCTTAGCAACTAAAAACTTACACTCAAATTGATTCTTCTGTAATTCCTAACACAGCTTTTATGCTCATATATCCTCATTTTATCCCATTGGCATCACAACAAACATGATATTGCAGGGGCACTGAGCCACATATTTAACTCCTTTAGTAGTACAGTAAGCCTGCAACTTAAGTGAGGGCTACGTTCCAGGGATCATGCCTAAAGCCAAAATCGTGTATAATCAAAAGAACATGGGGACAAATGGTGGATGGAATTGCTAAAGACTTTCCCCCTAGATACCCACCCCCTTTCTGTCCCCTTTCTATTTTATTTTTTTAAAAATTGCCAAGCATGTAAAGCTGAATGAGCACAAGTTAAATGCATGTAAGTTACAGGCTTACTGTATTACAACTGTAAAAATCTTGGAGAATCTACTTTCCTTATTTGTCCAATTAACAAATTCTTTGAATTGTACACAGTTTTTACAGTCACTACAGTGACATTCCTTAGAGCCACTAAAAGTAGCTTTAAGCCTGGGGCACTTCAGTTGATGGGTTCCTGAAATCAATAACATTTTGAGCAAGTATAGCACTGAGTTCCAGACACATCCCAATTACTTTTAAGTAGAGATTTGTGTGTTTGGTAATCCCACCCAATCAATAAGCCCCCCATTTTTTAAAGCCATTGGGACTGCAATTTCTGAATACAAAGACCCCTGCCCTGTCACTTCTATAATTTTAGACACCTCACAATTTTATCCTCAGTGATACTACTTAACATGGAAGAAAAATATTTTGTATTAGAACACCCTGTACCCTTGACTGATCTCTTGATGCTTCCAGATAAAGGCCTTTTTCCAGATAGGTCTGTTTTTTTATTGGCTGTAAACTTTAATGAACCTTCCACCCTATCATAAAACTTTCCATTTTAATTTGGACTTGGATGGATCTGTTTCCTGTTCACACTGGCAGACAGATCATGATAGGGTCCAGAAAAAGAAGATGCGTCACTTCTACTCTTCTCCCTTTTCTCTCACCAGACTATTCCTTTTTCCTGAGCTTAGACACAGGGTTTTTTTTAAGCACTTTGCAAACCCCCCCCCCTTTTACTTAATTTTTAATTTTATTATCTTCAGCTTTGGTCCCCTGGAAGTTCAGCTGGTAGAAGCATCATACTTCTGATGTTGTGGAAAAATAAATTCACATATTTTTTTCCTTCTTAAATTCTATACTGATGCTGCTTGCCATTACAAGCAGTAGAGTTAAGCAATGTAATGCATTTTTCTGAGCATGGAAAGATGGTACTGAAGGAGGTGCCCAGTTTTCCACAGGGTAGTGTCACACATGACAAGAAGCAGACACTCAGTCGTTAGGAACGAGAGAAGAGGCATGCCAAAGTTCAGCAGCTGCCTATTTGCAGCACTTGTTTTTCTTAGTAATGAACCAAATAAAAGATGCTGGTTGGTTACAACTGGTGGCAACCATTTATGCTCAGCATTTGGGATGTTGAACATTAAGATTGCCAGTTTTAGGGTTACATAAGCAACCTGCTTTGAGATTGTGGACATTTTTCAGCTTCCTCTATACAGACAAAGAACAATGATTAGGCATGCGATCACCCATCTTTTCCTTGAATGTGAATACTTGGGATTCTGTGTTGTGCACTGATTGACTAACAGCTAAAGAAGTGTTCTAATCCCTATTGCAACATGTACCTCCTTACCCTCAAATGCTAGGACACTGCTCTTAGTTGTATCCTCTACAAATTCAAAATATTGTGAGGCTCACCTTAATACTGCTTCACCCAAGCAAATCAGGAACCCAAATATTTCACTGGCAGCATTTCAATGTTATATATTTGTCTGCTGTGAATAGCTAAAATCTGTTTTATTAGCAACAAAAAAATGAAATAAAATGGTCTAGAAATATTGCCATTGATCAGGGAAGAACAGAAAACTATATGGAAGCCTTGATTCACCCATGGCGCTTTGTGAGACATTGTGCTGAAACAAAATGATTTTAAGAACTGTCAAAAGAAGCTAACATATGAATTAGGTATAATAGACATTTTTATTTAGTCAAAAAATCAAAACAGATGGTTGGGGGTGGAAGAAAAACATAATTAGATGCCTCCCAAAGCAGTAGAGCCTTGGAATACCTGCAAGAAGGCAAAATGCTGCCATCTGCAGGAAACAGAAACAGTACTCTCCAGTTTATCTTTCTGCCTCTACTGACAAAGGTAAACAATATTATGCTCCCTTCACTAGAAGAATCTGTAACTATGATGTGAGTTACAGCACTGAAGTGATACTCATACTAGCCTAATTTTAGTTACAGCTACTTTTGGTGGCGAGAAAAGAATACATACCATACTACTTCCTTCCTGGTGGCCTGGAGGAATCAGTAAAGTTTTATTTGCATCTCTGGTCAACCATGGTTTGTAATAACATCTGGACTGACAAGCTGTGGGTAACATGAACTAGTGTCAGTTTAAAACCAACCATCTTCAAACCATGGTTTCTGATGCTGAACTGTTTTGAACTAACCATGAAGGATTCAACTAATAAGCTCTGGCAGAACAATCACGTTATTGTGACGTTGAATTGCTCTCAGTATAATTAACATCAACCACAGACCTGGTCTATCTGGCAAACTATGTTTAATTAAAAGCAGAACAGCTTCTAAACTGCCTCTTCCCAGCTATACAAGGAGATAGCGAGGACGGGAAGCCTCCAAGCCTATGAAGGGGCTAGGTTCATTCATGACTTCCCAAATCAGGAGCAGCCAACAAGGGGCCCTCCAGATGTTGCTGTACTACAATTATCATGATCCCTGACCACTGATCATGCTGGCTAGGGCTGAGTTCAACACCTGAAGCACATTGGCTACCCCTGTGCTGAACCAAAGGTTTTTGTGATGTCCACAGTCTGTGCTGCTGCTCTAGAATTGTTTTAAAATTAAAACTGGAGAAACTCAGGAACATAGAACACAAAAAAAAGATATCTGCAGTCATATCTGACTTACAAATTTAGCCATCTAAGTAATATAATAAATAAGGAAGGTTTCTTTGGAGTATGGCAAGAATAACTTAGTGAGATAATATAGGTTCCCCAGTCAGAGAACTCCAGCCATCAAACACACATGTCGCTTCAGTTGTCTAGCTTTATTCTTAAATCGTTTTCAATGTTAGGAACAAAGAGCACAGGAAACACAGATGGGTCATGTTAGGATGACACACACATTTTCCATGGTCCCTACACTCTGTTCTCTGAAGATACAATTGCTCTTTCGTTTCCCCAGCTCTCATAATGAATTTGCTTCAGTACATTCACAGAGGTCTCCCATATGGTTAAGACGCATGCAAGAATTAATATGCAATTAATAAGATGGTTTCATCATCTGCTTTTGTTCAAGGAAGCAGCTGGTCCACATATCAGATGCTAATTAGACAAATTAAGATTAACCACTTTTGTTCTGTGATGAACTGATAGCTTACTGTAGCCAATCCTTTTAAGTCTTCTAAAAGGGTGTCAATGAGAAGGGTGTTGTGAGAAATGTTTTGACTTCGAAAGTTCCTGGCTAATTATTATTTTTTAGAGCAAATAAGGGATTACTACACTACACAAAACATACAGTACTGTAGGTAGTGTTAAGATTACCATTTTGCTAGTAAATCACTTCTCTAAGTGGCGCTACTATCAGGGAAAGTGGTTTCTGCTATAGTTGTCGAAACTGCCTTGTTTTTGTCAAATGGTTTGGTAAAGAAAGAAAGTCGGGTGCTCTTAGCTGTTCTACCTGAAACATTCACAGTTCTGAAAATCCTGCTGCTGGTTGTGTGCAGTCAGTTAGTGAAAAGCTTCCCCAAACTTTTTTTTGAAGTCACAACAAAACATCAATCAGCATCTATGAGGTTTGTTTTGGCTTCCCCTCTGTGTCATGGCCAAAGGCAACCTCATATATGCATTAAGGTCTATCATGCAGAAGCAGAGAGGTGCTCCTAGTAACAGTTCCAAAATTGTGGAATTCTATGCTCTTGGAGATTCACTCAAATCCAGACTTGAAGAGCTGCAATAGTTGTTTTTGTTAATAGCATTGCCTTTTGGTGCTGATTTTATGCTTCATTCATCATAAATGGATCAAAGCACCTTCTCCCTCATCAGCACTTCCTGACCAACACATAGTAATAATCACTGTCAGAGCTGATAGCACTAACCAAATCCTCATGCGCAGCAATTGCAGAGTAAATGGGAGAGTGCACACATTTGCTGCCAAGTTGAGTTGACAGCTTCAATGAATTGGGGCCATCATGTATTTATGTCTGACCAGTGAGATCCAGGATGAGGAGGACTGGAATTCAGTTCCTTGAAGTAGAATTCCAAACAGACATTACAACCTGCACTGATTCCATGTTGATTAAACTAAACAGATTACAATGCTCTGGCTTAGATGATCTGGAACAAGCTGCTATAAACCTTTGGCTGGCTGCCCTTTCTTCTCTTCTCGTGTGAAAGACGAAAGACTGAAAGCTTTTGCTTTCAGTTTTGACTAAACCACGGTCCACATTCTGTGCAAACTCAGGAAACCATGTTTTACTCTAGTTAGTTAACAAAGTAGGATATGCATACACTCTTTCAGCAGTTTCCGTTGCCATTGAGTCTAGTCAGTTGTTATTCTTTTGTAATAAATTCTTTTATAATAATTCTTTTATAATAAAAGTAGCAAAATGCCCATCATAATTAACGACTAGGATAAAGTTATTGGATTGCAGGGAGGAGACAAACCTTCATTTCCCTGCCATTAGAGGGTTCCTGGAACAGGCTAATGGTAAGCTGTGTTCCAAAGAATGGAACAACGTGCACTGAGGGAATAAGTATATCACCCTGTCTGAGCCACTGCATTAGGGAAAAGAAGGGGAATAGCTGTCCTTTCACTGCTTCCCACAGGAAGACACTCACAACTAACAAGAACAGTTTCTATCTCACACTTGCCATTCCAGCAAGAGAGCACCCTCTAGAACAGCCTTTACCAATCTTGGGTCCCCAGATGCTGTTGCACTCTACCTCCTGTTTTCCCTGACATTTGTTATCCTGACTGGAAATTAGAAGAGTTGTAGCCCAACAATATATGGGGGACACAGGCCTGGTAATGGTTCTGGAGCATAGGAGGGAGGATGCATCACATTGAAAGCATACAAAACCAAACAAGCAATGTAAAGCTAGAATGTCTAACTTTTCATTGCATTATAGTGCAATGGTTTAACCTTTCACTGCATAGCCTTTTAAATAAAATAAATATGATTTATTTACAAAAATGCCAGTTACCACTTCTGCCCAGAATATTCCCGAACTGCATATGAGCATCCTTGCATTTATTCCATTTTCTCAACATACTTCATTTGAAGGGATTAATAAAAAATGTTTTTGATCAAATAACATGACAAAGAAGGAAGGACACTGCAGGGCAACACGAAATAAGAAATAAAGAGGTTTCTGATACTGCATTTAAAACGGTACTAATAAAAGTAAAATGTTTTCTCAGTTAAAAAAAAGGTTTCCCTTGCTCTATTAATTCACTTCCTTACAAAACTATTGAAGCAGTTAATCTAGTTTACCTGCAACAACTGACTGATCAAGCTCTGGAATCTCCTAATTCGACAATAAATGGCATACATTCTATTAGAAAGACCTTGCCTAAGAGAGCTGCGTAAATCTATACTGAACAAATACCGGCGACAAACATATGCCTCTATGAAATGAAATACTGTTTGACTATGTACTACGGCTGGCCATCTGCCAGCAGTCAATCTAGGTTGCTAGGTTTGTGTGTCACGGTGGACGTGCAAGTAATGATGAAAACAATATTAGCAGGGCACTTTGCCGGCCTACTGCTTCCATTCTGTTCTGCCCTCACTGCTGGACTGTGGCAGTACACTGCCTACCTATAAGGAATGAATCCTCAACCCAAACAGGAGGAGAATGCAACATAGTCATGCTATGTGCGACCAATAGCTTCATGTATTTAGGCAATCATGTATTGGCTGAAAGTACTGGAAATCTGTTTTGATAGGTTTTTCATTTTATGTACAAGACTCACACTCTACAACCCTGTTCCTTATTAGACAGCCTTAAAAATACATCGACCCACCAAGCTTCTCAAACAAGCTGACTGATACCTGGCCAACTCCACTTATTGTTATGAACTACTGATCCTCTCCCAACTTTTCTATCACTAAGATCCAGCCACCAGGTTTTTTAAAATAAAGCATGCAGTACATAGCTTTCTCACCCACCATCATCCCTAACAAATACTTGTATGCATAAAGAAAATATGGCCATAGGGAATGCAAAACCAGTAGCCACAGGCGACAACAGATGCACAGGGACTGCTTGCGACCCTGAGGTCAAAGGGGAATGGCCATTCCTACAATTAACATTGCCTTCAAGCATTCTCAAAGTCCATACTGACCTACTCTGTCCATTTTTCTGTCTAATTTGCACCTGCTACTGGGCCTAGAATGAGAATAAGCACAGTTATTTTTGTTTTATGTTTGGGACATTTGGGAGTTCGGGGGTTTGTTTTGGGTTTTTGTTTTTTTCTTAATTAAGGAAAGCTTTCAGTAGTTTCTGTTCTTCAGTGCTTAGAAACAAAGCCAAAATGAAAGAGAGAGAATAAGAATCCTGCCAGGATATTCACATATTGCATCCAGAAATCACTTAGGCTGCTCATAGATCTTACTTTATACTTCACAGTTCTGTTCATTAAAACAATGTTAGCAAATTTCATTGGGAAAGCAACCATCTTTTCCCAAAGGAAATCACTTTATAATTTGTTTCTGCAATAACAAATTGAATCTGTTCTTCAGATGTGGATTGGTATATACTATTTTAAGATTTTAAATCAGGGAAGAGGGTAGTTCAACCTACTGAAAGTTTGCAGAAATTCCAAAAACATGCTGAGGAATGGGGGATAACTTTTCCACACAATATTTAATGGGGAAACATTAATATATGAACTAGTGGTTTGATCATTTTAAAGCAAAACTATTCAACTTGTTCAGTGACATCATTAAAACAAAAACAACAATATTTATAATAAAACAATATTTATAATAAAACATGCCTATTTAAGCATTTGAATTAATCTAAACACTGGACAATTAAATATATGACAGTTATAATTCTAGTGAAAGGTTACCGTATTTTGGCTCATAATAAGGGTATACAACAACTGTAATTGCATTTAAAGTACCTGAATGTTAAATGAGAACAGTTAAAGGTCAAAGAAATCAGTAATGCTGTGCTTTTTTTAGTTTCAAACTTTTTTTAGTTTTTAGTGTCAAACTTTCCTATGAAATGCTTCCTTGGTCACCTGATTTTAGAAGCATAATTTCAAAGGCTGTTACTATCTACCATCCCCTCAAAAGGAGAACCAAGAGCAGCGGTGTGTGTGTGTGTGTGTGTGTGCGCGCGCGCGCAAGCAAGCAAGCAAGCAAAACAAGATAAGGCACTATATTATTTAAGTAACTGACAACCAACTACATAATATCAGAATGAATGGAAAGGAGAAAATAAAATCCAGCCGCTGGTGAATTAACTTACTCATTGTAAAAAATAAAATACAAAGCTAATGGCACAATCTCAAAAGGAAAGTTCCCTTTACAATATACATAGTGTTTGTTTTTCCTCTCTCTCTCACTTTTCTAAGCAGGTGAGGGTCCCTGCTTGGGTAGGCAAAGTGAAAAGTGAGAAACAATGATGCTTAACAGAACCTAGCTTCAAACAAATGCAAGATTAGAAAACTTTATTTTCAAAAGGGCCATTATGACTCCAGTATTATTTTCCCTACTGGAAATACAGGATACCCTCATGGCACCATTACATAAACACTGAGTGGGAGTAGCACTGATTTAGTCATTCAACATTTTAATACAAACACATTTCCATTTAACTACAATGTGCTGTAGAGGAATAAAAATATGGATATGTTAAGATGAAGCAGACTTTCTACAATGGTGAAATCACAACATTTTATCACAGACTTTGTCTTCACTCTAGAAGGCATTCTATTTATGACTTTAAACAATACATCTCTTGAAATTTATTTGATTGTATACTGCCAAAGGGGGAAAAAAACACTTTATCTATATCCAGAACAAAGATTATAAACACCCTGCTTTAACTGTTTTAGTAAAAGACACGATGCAATCTTACTTGGCCACAAGGTACCGTTGTCTTTGCTCAGCCATTTTTTCCTGAAGTGCTCATGGATCTTAGTGTGACTGATCTCCCTTTTGTTGGAAAACAGTGGAAGAAGTTCTTCATCGTCATCACAGCTGGCCTGCCATTTACTTCTGTGCAGGCAACCAACTACTGGATCAGAAGGCAGGCAGTGTACATAGGCAATCATTTTAAGATACAGCTCCAAACAATATCCCTGGTACTTGTGATGATAACCTATCTATAAACGTTTCCGGTAAAAAGAGGCACTACAGATCTTGCCCTTTCTGGTGCACTACAGATCTTTCCCTTCTCACTGGGCTAGTTTGGTCTAAATGGACCAATCCAATTAATGAGCTATTTAGCATAAAATCATCTGAACTGATTTGCGTAAGCAGGTGCCATTTCAGCCCCAGATCCAGGCTTCAATTGGGACCCGAAGATATCCACCAGACCTGTAAAAACATCCACCCAAGGCGGATTTTAGACTGGCCTCTTTATTTTCCAGCTGAACTCTGATGCTTCTCTTAAGCTTTATCCCAGATTATTTGTTACTCTTTGGACAACAGGTACAACCACACAGATGGCCGTATCTTAAAAGCTTATTTAAAGCTAAGTTACAATGTTCACTGCAGTACAGAGAGCTACAATATCAGAACATTGCAGAAGTGTGCTGCAACTTATTTTCTTACTACAGAGAAAGGTGGGAAAAGAGAGAAAACTAACATTAAAAAATGTGTTTGTGTGGACTGGAACACAGTTATTAAAAATGGAATGAGGTGAGAGACATGAAAGTATTTAACAATACTTATTAGGGTTTCATTAAAAAACCCCCAAAAACCCCCACTAAGTTGATTCTAGTTAAATTTACTGGCGAATAGAGTTGTAAAACATTTTATAAATACTGAGCAAATGAATCCTTTAGCACCTTCTGGAGGTAGGCATTATCCCTATTAAAAAATGAGACAGAAAGACTCAAAAGAGGTTTAGCATGTTGTCTACGGTTTAAGTGTAAAAGCCAGGATTAGACGATACTCCCAGGGATTCCAAGACAAAATCCATAGCAAAGTTGTAAGTTTCCTGAGCATGCCAATAAGAATATTCAGTATTCCATTTCCTAATAAAAGGGTGAATATTTCCTATATTCAGAATTGCATTATCTCTAAATCATAATTCCATAGCAGATAAAACAGTAACCATTACTCACACCTTCAAATAATATCCACTGGATTAGTGGAGGGGCTGTATTAGATGGTGCCCACTAATCCATCACTAAACTGCCACACAGGCCCAGTTGACAAATAACACTAAGCTATAGTTTGTTTAATAAACCAAGAGTTCTTCCACTGACAATCAAACAAACTGTGCCTTGTTTCTCTCAAACTTGGCTTTTCCCCCAACTTCTCTTGCCTCGTGCCTATGTACTTTGACCACCTCACCCCAGACACTCACCAAACAGACCACAGTTAAGGAAGAGTGCTGGACTCAGACCACAGTTAAAAGAAACCAGGGTTCATAAGTCAACAACAAACCATGGTTTGAGATTGTGGGGTTTTTTAGCAGTAAGGAAATCATAGTTAAGATGCTGGGCAGTGTTCACACATGACACAAAGCCATGGTTTGATAAACTATAGCTTAAATAATCGATGATTTATCATTTATCTAAATGAGGGGCTGTAGCTGGCATACCAGCACTCTTGGCTACCAAGTCTACCAGGGCTTCCACAGTCAGTGGTGAATCCAGAAGCACACACAAACTATGGACCTGGTCTTTTAAAAAGAGTGCTACCCCTTGCAGCACCAATTGTAACAACAACAACAACAAGAATTTTATTATTTCTCAGCCACTCTGGGCGGCTACCTACAGAACAGTAAAAACACGGTAAAACATCAAACATTAAAAACTTCCCTAAACAGGACTGCCTTCAGATGTCATCTAAAAGTCAGATAGCTGTTTATTTTCTTGACATCTGATGGGAGGGTGTTCCACAGGGCAGGCGCCACTACCGAGAAGGCTCTCTGCCTGGTTTCCTGTAACTTTGCTTCTCGCAGTGAGGGAACCGCCAAAAGGTCCTCGGAGCTAGACCTCAGTGTCCGGGCCGAACAATGAGGGTGGAGACGCTCCTTCAGGTATACTGGGCCAAGGGCTTTAAACGTCAGCACCAACAGTTTGATTTGGGCTCGGAAACACACTGGGAGCCAATTAAGATCCTTTAGGACCGGTGTTATATGGTCCCAATTGTAATTCTTCATTCCCAACTACTCCTAACCTTCCCATGCTGAGTGGGTAGAAATTCTGGTGATAACGTCAAAAAGTATACATCTAAATACGTACAGGAGCCTGCCTGCTACTGTGAACTCTGCATTATCAAGGTTCTCAACTGTGAGGAAACTTTTAAGAACATAGGATATTTTATTTCTATACCATCCTTCATCCCACAATGATTCCAGGGGAGGTTACATAATAAAATAAGCAGTTCAATAAGCATTTATTCTATAACACGTTATAAAATTAAAATTACCAACATAACTTCACTTAGGATCTGATCCTACAACACACATTATGGTACATTGCAGCTGGCCGTGCCACCTCAATCCCATCTATTTTAACTATAATGTTCTGCAACAACATCCCAAGAAAGGGGGCAGACTTTCTGATGTATCCAATGCTATAGCTTAGAGGCTAGAGAGAACCCCAGAATTATCACCTCCCACCCCCCGAAGATGGCCTTAACTATGATTGAAAGGATAAAGGAAGAATAGAGCATTGGGAATAAATATTAACAGAGCTATCCTGCAGTCATAAGACCAGTTGTTCTGGAAGCTGAGAACACATATATGTCTTTTTGACCTTAAGAATTAAGTGTGCCTCAGTTCTTTAATCCAGAAAAAAAATGCTGCTTAATCAAAACTCTCCAAGAAAACGAAGATAAATTCAACCAAAAAGACCCTGGGATGAAGGATGGTATAAGGAAGAAATAAAATATCTCTATGTTCTTAAAAGTTTCCTCACAGTTGAGAACCTTGATAATGCAGAGTTCACAGTAGCAGGCAGGCTCCTGAACGTATTTAGATGTACACTTTACATTAGGCAGTTTCCTAATGCTACTAAAAATAGTACAATGTCATTTAAGTTTTGATTCCCATCTTTTTTACTGTGTGCTCCTTTTTGTGTTTTCATCAAATTTAGACTGCAATGTTACATGTCTTTCAGAGCTATGGCTTGTCCCACTTTTTAAAACTGAGATCACATGTCCTGAGCCCTTGGGATATAGTGGGCTATAAATTAAAAGTAAACAAATACATTCTTCAATGTTGCTGATGTTGAAACAAAAGCCATTATGTGTGTAATATTAGAGGATTTCAGTCCATCCCATGCAGCTGCTGAGGCATCTGAAAAACATGGGACCAAAGATGTACTGCCAAAAATAAAAAAGAAATGTCTCTAATCTACAGCAACAATGGAATGACAAAGCTGCTAAGGCTGGTACATCCTAGCACTATGAGAGCAAAGCATTCTTTACATCAGTGAAAAGCAGCAAAATTTACAGTTTGCTTTAACTAGCAATTCAGATACAGTTCAGACAAGTTTAGCAATGTTAGCCTGCCAATTCAGATACATTACAATCCTGGATTACCATTGGTAACCAAAAGCATGCATCACCTCCTTTTTCACCAGCCTTCCACTATCCCTTTAACAATTTAAAAGAGCCAAAGGGAGATGCTCTGTTTGACATGAACTGTAACAACAATCTTTATTTTTTCTATTTGTTTTTATTTGTTTCATCATTATTATTATTATTATTATATTTTATTATTTGTACCACGACCATCCTACTGGGTTGCCCCAGCGATTCTGGGCAGCTTTCAACAAATATAAAAGCATAATAAAACATCAAACATCAAAAACTTCCTGATGCCTTCAGATGCCTTGTAAAAGTTGTATAGTTATTTATCTCCTTGATATCTGATGGGAGGGTGTTCCACAGGGTGCATGCCACTACCGAGAAGGCCCTCTGCCTGGTTCCCTGCAAAATCACAGAACTGTAGAGTTGGAAGGGACCCTGATGATAATCTAGTCCAACTCCCTGCAATGCAGGAATGTAAAGCTATTCCATATGAGAACTGAACCTGCAACCTTGACATTATCAGCACCACACTCAGACTTCACTTCTCGCAGTAAGAAACTGCCAGAAGGTCCTCAGAGCTATATCTACCCCCAAAGCCAAACTCTGTTTAAGAAATGTAGTGTTCTTCAAATATTAAGGTCTTATGACACTGAATGGAAACACAAGTGATCGAGGAACAGGTTGCAATGTTGTTCCTTTCCAAGGTTTATCTTGGGAGAGGTAAAACAGAAGAATTGTTGGTGTATGTGCAAGTGTACAATGAAGGACATATCCATACGAGATCTCTGGATGGGTTTCCGGTTCCGCAGCCCCCATGACAGCGGAAGATCATTGGCGAAGGAAAAACAAGGATGATTGAGGATAATCATCCTTGCAAATTCGCCCCAGGGATGAGGGGGGAGGGAGCTTCACTCACAGTTCGTCTCGGTACCTGGCTCTCGCTCTGGTATGGAATGCGAGAGGCAGAGAGGCGCCGAGTACAAAAGCACTTCACCTGCCGAAAACCCTCCAACGCCACCATTAGGAAGCAGAGGTTCTCCTGTTCATTAGAGCTTAATTGGACTAAAGTACAGGCACGTTCTAGAAGACAGGAGATCACAAACTGTGGAACAAACCAACTGCAAGGACTTTAAGGTTTGAACTTGAGATAAGACTTCATTCGGTGAAAAAGATGGTGGGGAGAGGAGAGACTACGGTTTCTTTATTTAAAGTTTTCTTCTCTACATTTATGATTCAGCAGTCCTCCTCTGAATGTTAGTTCAAATTATATTTGTACAAGTGAGGATGGAAGAAATAGGATTATAAACACAGAATATAAAATCAAACAGAACTGCGTGTGTAAAAAAAGGAAAAAAGGAGGAAAGCTCTATTTTGCAAAAGGTTTATGATGGAAATTTAGAGCTGACTCTTCCGCATCCTTCATTATTTATGAAGTGAACTGAATAATGCTTAAGAGGACTTGGAATTTAATTTAATTGGAAGTATAACTGCTCATATATTTTCAGCTGGAAGGAAGAATGAAAGGAGTCTGTGAACTGCCAAAGAACTGATAAGGTTTTTACTGAGTCGTCTGCAGTTTGACAGACCACTCTTCTTCCCAGGCTGAGAGGAAAAATGGTGACAACTGTTTATTTACTGGGGCACAGTGACTTTTGCAGCTCTTGCTAAAGTTCTCAGTGTAAAACAACAACCACGGGACAGAGCAATGGAGAAATTTCTGGAACAACAATGGGATATCAGCTCTGCCCAAAGCATAACAGCAACAATCAGGGAAAGGAAAGACATCTTACAAGGACAGGAAGAAACAAAACGAACAGAATAATTGCCACACACAGGAACAACAAGGATATAGTCTGAGTTCCTCACAAGAAAATAATTAAACCATCAAATCTAGCACGCGGGGAGGCCACTGTAACTAAATTATATACAGTGGTACCTTGGGTTACATACGCTTCAGGTTACAGACCCCGCTAACCCAGAAATAGTACCTCGGGTTAAGAACTTTGCTTCAGGATGAGAACAGAAATTGTGTGGAGGGCACCACATTATCAGTGTGACATGTTTTGGACCCTACAGGTTCTTCTTCAAAGAAATACAGATTCAGAGTTAGCAAAAGAAAAGCTGCAGTAGCACATCTAAATGTTGAATCTGTATTTCTTTCCCTGAAGAAGAACCAGTAGGGTCCAAAATGCATTGGACTAACAAAGGTCTCTCTTTTGTCTACCACATTGCTTTTTCCTTCTACTTCCAGTTCTTTTCTATTTACAGCTCTGTTTTGAATTTGCCAAGTGGAACAATTTATCATCTTACTTTGGACAGCAAAGGTGAACAAAACTATTTACAGCTTAATGAAATCTGTATCTTAGTTCTCCTGCTGGCACATTGCCTATATGGTACAGGGGTCACCAGTTAAAGTACAGATACTGTAGTTAAAACCCAGTGACTTCCTACAAATAACCATCACCATACCATCTCGTCTTAACTACACAGCAATGTAATCAATATAAAAGGAGCTAACTGGTTCCGCTTGGAAGGCATGCTGCGTAATATATTTCAAATAAGGAAGTTTAAATTAAACTACAATGATAACCAACAAAAACCTGCAAAAAGATCAAGGCACTCGAGAGGTCGAATGCAGCACAGCAGTGTAGCATATCATGATTTGCTATGAATTATAGCATTTATCTGTCATTTCTGCAATTCCTCTCTTAAGTCGATGCACACTGTGAGGCTTTATGACAAATTGCAGTTCTGAGCAGTGGTCCCTAGCATTTAGAGGCAATGGTTTTAGGGCAGTAACTATGTAATTGTGAACAAATAATATCAGCAGGTTATAGTTAGAGTATCTCTGGCTGTGACATGACTGTTTGTACTAAATAACAGCATTTATATGACAATAACAGAATTTCCTAAGTACCTGATAGCAAACAAAACAAAACAAAAAGAAATTGATATTTCTAATCCAGCTTCATAGAAAAAAATATTCTGAAAAGTCTGAAAAGGCAGCTAGGGTTTTTGTTTATCTAAATGTATTATAACTTACCTTTTTATGTCATGCTAGGTTGGGAATGGGAAATACAGGTTTAAACCCCCCTTTCTCACACACAGACACAAAACTTCACAAGGTAGTTTTGGTAACATCAGTGTCACTCAGCATTGTCTATCTTAAAGGTTTAGTGAGGCTAAGGTACCACCATGGGCTCCTTGAAAAGGGTTGAATGCATAACAAATCATTTAAATATAGGACTTGGGCCAGGGAACCCCTAGGTGAAGTAAACATAACATAAATACAAAACATAATACCATTCTACTCCCTTATAACTTTTCAATATTACAGATATTTCACAAACAAGATCTTTGCACATTCTGATTAAACAGAACTTGATCCACACACCACAGATTAATGTTTAGATCAGAACTTAGTTATCCACTTACTCTTACACTTCCTGAATGTTCTGACCTGGTTCTTAGCTCAATAACAATTTAGAAACATATCCTGAAATGTATTTAGAAGATATGTATTTAAAAGCATTATTTCATGCAGATTTTTTCAGGAAACAACAAATGCAAACGGGATACAACAGACCTTACTGGTGAAACATGTCTGAAAGTACTGGAGACAGGCCTAGTTGGCATGTCACATGAAAACCACAGTTTAATGTGAATGTGTGCTTGCTGGCACACACTGCTGAAACCTTCTCACTGCATCCCCCCACCATTACTTCTGTTGCCATGCCACCAGGAAACAAGCCAGAGTCTGGTATGTTGTGACTTCTAAACCTGGGCTCATGTTTGTTACCCCCAAACAAATCGTGAGCAGTAAGACAAAAGCAGAACTTTGGTTACTGCTCAAGCTTTGTTTGGGGGAAAACAAAATTATGAGACCGGTTTGAGGCTCTAGCTTGTTTCCCATTGGCATGGCAGCACCTGGAATAGGGGAATAATGCAGTGAAGACTTTCAGCAATGGGCATACACACACTGCGCATTCTCAGTAAACCATCATTATAATGGTTGATGTGGCTTAATGTGATGGTGGCTTAACGTGAATGTGCAGTAAGGGAAGTGGCAATAAAGAAAGAAAACAGTTAAAATATCAAAATCTTGCTATTGTTGCATACCACACCAATCTCCAAGCGGTGTGAGATTAAAGGAGTTCCAGGTGCTTATCCAGGCTCCATGTCTCCTTTTGGAACTGAGGCACAGTGGAGACTGTGGTGTCTTTATGGTATATGGCAGGGGTCTGCAACCTTTAAGACAAAAAGAGCCACTTGGACCCGTTTCCGAAGAAAAAAAAACTGGGAGCTGCAAAACTCGTCATTATAAAAATAACCTTTTTTTCACTTTTTTAATTATTTCTTTGTTTGACCCTTCAGAATTACTCCTCCTCATAGAAATAAACGTTAAATTAACAAGTTACCTTTGTGTGTGTGTGTGTTCTTCACTCCCCTTCAAAACAGTGACCAGCGTACATGCCCCCTTTCAATGCAGTGACCAGCGTACATGCCCCTTACAATGTAGCGGGCGGGAAGGTGACGTCGGGACGGTGTGTGACTAACACACGCACTGCCCCCATGCGACGTCACAGCCAGCACAATGCGCCTCCTCCCCTCGCTAGTATCCGCCCCGGAGCCGCGGCAAAGGTGTAAAAGAGCCACATGCGGCTCCGGAGCCGCGGGTTGCCGACCCCTGGTATATGGTTTATTTATACATCAACCTAAGCCTATAATGGAGGGATTCACAGCATCAACACCCCAAAAGAGTGTTATTTCTTCCATAGCCATAGCCTTGGATTCAAACAGAAATTGAACATTGTTCTCTGGCTTTCAAGCCAGCAGTTTACATCTAGGTCACATTACTGCTCAGCTCTCAACTCCAAACTCTGGCTCTGCACCTCACCAGGAGGCTAGCCTGGCATGATTAGCTTTTAACACTTGCTGGATCCAGGGATTAGAAGTCTGGCACCCCTTAACTCTGCAGCACTATCAAAGTCATGTTTAAACTTAAGCCATTAAAATCACCTGAAGAAAATATTGCCTTTGGCATGCAATACTGTGAAAAAGATGTCTTTTTGTTGAGACTGCTAGTAATCCAACACTTAATAAAAAATTCTGATGAAGAGCAGTTAGGAAACATTTCAAATAAATCAATGCCCAATAATGTTAAGCCTTTAAAAGCCTGTAAAAGAAAGATTGTGTGTGCACTATTTAAACTATGTGCTTGAAATTTCACACTCACTTCGCTACTAAAATTCTTCCCATACCTACAGATTGAACAGTTGTACATATTTCTATGGCATTTGCTTCATTCATATGTGAGATCACATTAAGACTTTTTAAGAATTGCAGGAATTAAAGCTCCTCTAGCCCTGCTTTTTTCTTTTTGTAAACTTAAATTTGTATGCTCTAGAACAGGAATGTAGATGTCTTGACCACTGGCCGAACTGTTTGGGGCTGATGACAACTCCCCCATCACATTCGGAGGTCCACAGATTCCCAATCATTCCCCTACAGTACTGTTTCTTTATATGGAAATTGTTTGTTTTGTGAACATGTCCTACAAGGAAACATTAAACATTCTTGCCCTCAAGAAAGGAGAAGACTGAGAGAGAACATGGTAACACACTAACTTCTGATACTTGAAAGCCATGCCTGTCTGTAGTATATCTAAATCTGGAGTAACAAATTATGTTTACAAAATTGGGTGTGTTTACTTTTATATTGGTTCAGTTTGTTTGTTTGTTTTTGTTTTTGAAAATTGAAAAAAAAATTGTTGTTTTTTAAAAAAAATTACCTGAAGATCTTTCACACAGAAGAACAAAAATACTTTTTTTCTCTGCTGCCATTGAGGGCAGGGCTAATGGGCTTAATCTACAAGAGGATTGATTTCAGCTCAACATTAGGAGAATCTTTTTGGCAGTGGTGGGTTTCACTGAAGGTCTTCAAGGAGAAGATAGGCAGTCATCTGTCCAAGATGCTCTCACTCCAGATTTTCTCCATCAAGTAAGCAAATGGACTGAAAAGCCTACAAGGGAAGAGCCTGTCTAACTTATGATTATATAAACAGTATATTTGAGCTAAAACTATGGTGATAAATGATAGCAAAGGGGAAACTGAAGAGCTTGCCACATCCATCTGAAAACTTTAGTGCCAATAAATACATTTTCATATAGGTTGTCCAAAATAAATTATTTGCTAGTAAAACTCTGGTTGCAATCCTTGCCTTGATATTAACAACAATTATAGCTTTACTACTGAGTTGAGAACAAGAAGCACAACTGGATTCATTAATCCTAGCATAATTAAAATATGACCACAAATTTAAATTGAGGGATTCATACTATAAAAGCAGGCACAGTTTTATTCTCAGGAGGAATAAAATAACGCACCTTTGAGTACAAGCTGCCTAGCTTGACTTAGGAAATGCATGTGCTTTGAGACATCAGGGGGAAAATCTGTTTCTGATTCTGAACTTTACATATTTGCTAAGAACATTGCCAAGAAAAGAATCCAAGGAATGTCCTTACATGTATACTACACACGAGACAACTGGTGAGCAAGCCATTGATGTCTTTTAAAAAAGAGAGATGATAAATCAGCATTTCTAGTACAGATCTTTCCTCCAGGGAGCAATAACCACATGCCCTGGATTTTTCAGGGATGGCCTCCAACATAACTTCTTACTATTATTAGCAGAAAAATATTCCTCCTGTCCTCCTTCCCCAAATCCACAGCTGTAAAATATGTAAGGCTGTGGCATATGCGTCTTTAAGTGCAGTCACAGAGCTTGCATACCTTCTTTACAGCACCCTCTGCATTTTCTTTACAATGAAGTCATTATGAGATCTAGTCAAATAGAAGCTCTCTCTTCAACCCTGGTTAACATACTGTGTCTAATATGACCTTACTTGAAAGTAACTTTGGAAATAAAAATATATTTTCCCCTCAACTCTCCTTTCGCATTCTCCCTAATCCAGTCTATTCAGCTGCCTGATTTCAAAAAAATACAGTATTTATCAATCTTTTTCACAAAGAATAATAACAAACCTTACACAAAGTAAACATTTAGAAGGGAGCATAGCTGTGATTCTTGTATAAGGTGAAGGCAAAGGGACCCCTGACCATTAGGTCCAGTCGTGACCGACTTTGGGGTTGCGGCGCTCATCTCGCGTTATTGGCCAGGGAGCCGGCGTACAGCTTCTGGGTCATGTGGCCAGCATGACTAAGCCGCTTCTGGAGAACCAGAGCAGCGCACGGAAACGACGTTTACCTTCCCGCCAGAGTGGTACCTATTTATCTACTTGTACTTTGACGTGCTTTCAAACTGCTAGGTTGGCAGGAGCAGGGACCAAGCAACGGGAGCTCACCCCATCACGGGGATTCGAACCGCCGACCTTATGATCGGCAAGTCCTAGGCTCAGTGGTTTAACCCACAGCGCCACCCGTGTCCCACGTGGTTCTTGTATAGACATTTTAAATTCTAGCATCTTGACAGCCCTAGCATTCCAGTAGAAATGCTAGTATATTACAATATCTAGTGTGAAATATCCCCTCACATAAGCTGAAGCTTACAGTATTACTAAATCTGCTTATGAGCTTGATTAAAACACATATGTTGTTGTATTTGCACCTGTGGGTGCACATGGAGGCCTTCATTGGCACCTATGTCCTCGTCCCTACCCCGGTGAACAGGGATTTTAAATACAACTATGAGAGTGTCTACCTGGCAAGAGCAACATGGGGGGATACCATAATGAAGGCTCCGTCATTTCCAACTGCAAACAGTCTATCCACCAATTTCCCTACAGGAATCTTTGTGGGAAAGAGCCTGCTAAGGGAGATGCAAGAGATTCCTTGCAAACACTGATGAGGGGTGGGGGGGTGGGGAAGATGATACAACAGGAAGCACAAATCACTGATGCTTCCTGCTGCCTTTGCTGGTCCTCTTTGAAAGCAGTCTGAGGTCCCCGGCCACATTATTAAGGGACAAAGGAGCAAGTATTAGCATACGTGAACACTTTTAAAGTGCCCAATGCAGCAAACAAAAGTGTTGTTTTTAAAGAGGTAGGTGCAGATGGATCGTTGTGCAAACATTTTGGAGGTGTAGCTAGGGGTTCAGGTCAGGCCAATAAAGAAAAGAGAGGTGTTTTCTTTTAATTTAAAATAAACAAAAATAATCCGGTAACAATAAAAATGTATTTAAAAAAGCAACAACAACTGTGATGACTTAGCATTCTGAGATCATCAGTTAATAATGCTTTATACAAATTGGTATAAATTAGGGAGAAATGGAGGCAAGTATGTGGTTTTTTGGGGGGGACTGTTTTTATTATATATTTTGTGGTTTTTTATTTTTATTTTGTTCTGTGAACCGCCCTTAGACCTCTGGGTATAGGGCACATATACAATATGCATCACATCCCACTGAACATGTGGAAATGCCCTAGCTTACAATGAACACAGGAATTCTGAAATCCATGATTATTAATAATAATATTTTCCTCCATTGAAAACATCATATATAATATACAGCTGTTAGCACAGAAAGAAACATAAAAGGGAGCTTCTATTATTAGCTTAACTAGTAATTTGGTTATATTTTGAAATAAGTTTGAATTCAGTGCATTGTAAAAATTATTATCTTTACTTCTAGTCACATCAACAACAAAAAACACACTTAAAGTGAAGAGCCACTGATTTCTATTAACAATTACACATCTCTGAATTATTCCAATAGCAGAAACACCAAGCCTAAGGAAATTCACATATACTTTGGGCAGGATTTTTTTTAGAAAGGTGAACATACTGTGTGTGTGTGTGTGTGTGTGTGTGTGTGCACGCACGCTACTATGTAATCTAAAATAGGACTCAAAGTTAATACCAAATTTTATAAAGAAACTAACTTGTAGTAATGTTGCCTCTGTCCTTGATCACATTCACGCACTTATCAACATGCACCCTGAAAAGAAATAACTGGCATAGTTTGGTTTTGCATTTATATAATGACAAAAAAATTCATCATTCTCTCCAGGCATTCATTAGACCTCATACTGTTTTGAAAATAATTAAATGAAGGTATTGTCTGACAGATCCTATTAACTAGCATGGTCAGTGCACATGCTTCATCCAATAAATTGTTCCTAAAGTTCCTACAACACAGACAATGCTTTTTCAAATGCTTGGTAGGCTCAGCAAATTGAAACCTACAGAGCAAGCTTGCTCTTTTGTATGTGGAAGGATTACACATAGCATTCGAAGGATTCCAAGTAGGAATGAGTCTTCTCCCTGCTAATAAAGCACAAAGGGTTATGTAGATCTGTACTGCCCTCTGACTCAAGAACAAGACTAAAGATTAAACTTCTCATAAACTTCTGAGAGTTGTAAAAGAGGGCTGCTAGCCTGTGATTGCGGGGGGCGGGGGCGGGGGCGAGAAACAGCAACAGCTATACAGGAGAGTCGCATAACTTCCCAAAAGTCCCCTTACCTTTCAGGCAAAACATCCTAGGACTGTTCCATGGAGGGAAGTGAAAGGGTCCTGTCTGCAGAGAGTGCAGTGCACCAGTGCTAGGTACAGCTGTTCCCCAGTCCGCCCCATTCAAGCGCACAGCCGAGAAGCATGGCAGCGAGCCAACTCCTGCTGCTATAGGAAGCTGCTGCCCAACCCACCGATTTCTAAACAACACTGTGGAACGTCCCCATCTCCCACCTCCTCTCATTCCAAAAAAGAAAAAGGGGGGGCCAGCCCCTCTATTTAAGAAGGGAGAGAAAGACAACTGTGCCTCTTCAACCACGCCTAGCACAGTACAAACCTAAATACATTTGTTTTATCTCCCTTGTCAGCACTTTCGCACTGAAAACAGCTCATATTCATCTACTGGTCAGCATCATGAAAAATAAATCACCCTTAATCTACCTCAGCAGTTTCCTATGAATTGCAAGTTCTGGCTCTTTTTTTTTTTCTTTTTTTTGTAATTGCTCTGGAATGTGTTACTTTTGAGGTGCTTTATTTGGCTAGTTTTCATATTGTATGCATGTGCGCACACACAAAGAGAGACTTATGGTGCAAGTAAGGAAAACAAACAATCAAGAGCCGATTGTTATTACACTTGAATGTCACCAATGGTTTCCTGCAAACCTAAGGTGTCCTGTGAAAATACTAGAACTAGGCACAGCCCAAACAGGAACTTGAGCACACTTTAAAAATCACTGTTTGTCCTGGGTTAGCCTACTGTTTTTGCATATTGTTGATTATGCCTTGAACTGGATTTGGGATGTTTCGTTGACTTTTTTGTACTTCTTTTAAAAAAAGACAGAAGAGCCATTTTGTTCTCTGAGTAAAGTTGAAACTACACAAAATAGCGGTAGAGCCTTCTTTTCATGCTCACTAGCGGTTCCTTGTCATCCTGGAAAAAAGTGGCAAGTGGGGTGCAACAGTCAAGTGGGCCTATTGTTGTTCAACACCTTTATAAAGGACTTGGATGAAGGAATTGAGGGCATGCAAATGACACCAAACTGGGGGGGGGGGGTAGCCAATGATGAAGATAGAATTGGGATTCAAGATGACCTTAACAGATTAGAAAACGGTGCCAAAACTAACAAAATGCATTTCAATAGGGACAAATGTAAGATTCTGCACATAGTCAGGAAGAATCAGCTGCACAAATATAAGAAGGTGAACACCTGGATTGCCAATGGATTGCCAGGACATGCAAAAAGGAACTAGGGGTCTTAATAGACCACAAGCTTAACAAGAGTCAACAGTGTGATGCAGCAGCAAAAAAAGTGAAAGCTATTCAGCGAAAGTATAGTGTCCCTGTCAAGAGAAATAACAGTCCCGCTCTATTCTGCCTTGGTCAGACCACACTTCGAGTCCTGTGTCAAGTTCTGGGGAGCACAATTTAAGAATGATATTGACAGGCTGGAATGTGTGCAGAGGAGGGCAACCAAGATGATCAAGGGTCACATGGAAGATGGAGCAAACTGGCTTTCTCCTGCTCTGGAGGCTTGGACCCGAACCAATGGCTTCAAGTTACAAGAAGGAGATTCTGACTAAAAATCAGGAAGAACTTTCTGGCAGCAAGAACTGTTCAATAGTGAAATGGATGCCTACAGTATGTGGCGGACTCTCCTTCATTGGAGATTTTTAAGCAGAGGTTGGATGGCCAACCACTTGATGAGTTCTAGTTGAGATTCCTGCATTGCAGGGGTTGGACTCGATCAGGCATAGGGAAACTCAGGCCTCCAGATGTTTTGGGACTACAACTCCCATCATCCCTAGCTAACAGGACCAGTGGTCAGGGATGGTGGGAATTGTAGTCCCAAAACATCTGGAGGCCTGAGTTTCCCTATACCTGGACTAGATAAACCTCGGTATCACTTTCAACTCTATAATTCTATGTTTCTATGAAAAGTTGTGCAACATGAGGCAATGGGTATGATTTCAGGTGGGAAAGGATAATTAAATTTTCCTCTGCCTACTGCCTGCCTACCTCCCTCCCCATTTTTACCCACTAAAGCCCATTCCCAGTCTCATTCATTGTCTCCCACCTCTGCCCCAAAAGAAGCACTATACAACATAATACTAATGAGTGATACAGTGTATATATGAGCAGTTTCTATGATACTACCATATACCTCAGAATGTCCATGTTGTTTAGAACCACAATGGAAAAAAAATCGTAATGATAACTTTTCATACTGCTTGAGGATGAAAAAACCAACACCTTCAAAGTGTTTAACATAAGGAATAAAACAATTACATTATTAGGTATTTTGAGCATGGAATTTTCCAAGGCCACATGCCTTTCCAAAGCCGGCAACAACACTCTTCTCCACTTGCGAGTCCCAACAACTGGTATATAGAGGCATATTGCCTCCAACAGTGAACGTGAAAACATAGCCTTATCCTCCATGAGTTAGTGTAATACTATTTTAAAGCTATCCAAATCTTGTGGGAATCATACTTTCCTCACAAACAAAACTTCAGGAGTTGGCAGCCCTGTGAAAACTCCCACAAAATGGCCTTCTATGTAACTAGAAAGTGCACATGCATGTAAAAGCACAAATTGTTTTATTAGGGGAAATCAAAAGGCGTTTTTTCCAAATTGAGATATTCACTGAGAAAAACAAGTACACCATCTCACAAGGCCACTCCAGAAGCTTGGTGAACCAAAGAAAGGAGGAAGATTTCAACACAACATTCAAAGGTACACATCTGAGGACATACCAGGAAAATCCTCTTGCGACAACCCTTCTTTCTATGCTCCATCTGCAGAAGCATCAGTTTCCAACAGAAGACTCTGGAGCAGACTCTATGGTCATGAATGCAGTTCCCCTGTCCCTCTCAGCTACTCAGAGGTTGGCTGAAACCAGTGGTGTCAGAAGAGGGGGTGTGGAAGTAGTTACAGTCATGTGGACCTTGGGACTATGACAGCAGATAGGGCACAGGAAAATATATGGGTTTCAGAGATGTGATCATGGGTTAGTGCTGTAATGGGGACTATTTGCTGTGATATGTGAAGGGCTACTAAAATAATAATACTTTCTTGTGAGTTTAATGCTGTTCAAACAGAAAGGAAAAGTGCAGATTATTTGCTATGCTACTTCACTGGGAAGTTGTCCAAAACATTACAGTTTGCACATGCACCAACACACAGTGTTGGAATAAGCATTTGGATCAGAGCCATTGGAGTTGGCTAAGTCCAGTCTTTTAAAAATGTGTTCATTAATTACCTGGAAGAGAAAAATAAACAACACATTAATGATGTTCCTAGGAGACAATAAGCTGGGTTGAAGCTGTGAAGACCAGTACAAATCTTTAAGTAGCCATCCATAAGTGAAATGGCAGTGAATGTTTAGAGGATAAAATATAACATAATAAAAACTGAACAAAAGAGAGACCTAAAATCCAGTAAGATTTTTTGCGAGGATGAAAAATTAGGATAAAAATTGCCTTGGTAACATGCTCAACATGACCTGCAATTATCTATCACCATCAACAGCTTTTGTTTGGTCAGAGTTAGGTAACTAACTGTGGATTTTAGTGTTGTTGTTTTCTATAATACAGGTATGCATACATGAAGTTTATAGGACTAGTATACGTATTTAAAAACATTTTAGAAATGACCGAAGAAGCCCTTCTTCAAAAAAGAGGCCAGCTCTTTTACACTAGTGTGAACAGTGGGGTTGCTTTTGTGACCAGCTTGATTTGCAGTAGTTGAAGAGTTCATGATGTCTTATCTCCATGCGCTGAAGAAATTCATCCACTACCTACTATTATGGCATACCCATCAACAGTCCTGATTTGACCGGGACATCCTGGAATTACAGAAGCCATCCCAGCTTCTGATTGGATGTCCCAGAGAACAGAACATGTGGGCAGCTGATAAGCCCAGGCTTTCCTGAGTTGCTTGGGTGTTCTTTGTGAGTTATGTGCACTGTATCTGGGAAGTTCCACTAGGTGCAAATGACAAGGAAACATGGTTTAGTATTCTGGGTGGCCATACCACAATTATGGCTACATCACAACAATAACATGCTCTTTGTCTACAGCTTTCTGAAAGTGAAACCTGAATGTTTCCATATTATTATATAGTTCTGAACAAAGATATGGTAGAAAGATACAGTAGATTTCAGTCCAAAAGACTGTGGCCACATCTACATCTTACATTTAAAGCACATGACTTTCCCCAAAAGAATCCTGGGAACTGTAGTTTGTTAAGGGTGTTGGGACTGTACTCCTGTGATAGGTAAACTTCATTACCTAGGATTCTTTGAGGAAAGCCATCTGTCTCAAATGTGTTTTAACGGTATGGTGAGGATGAGACCTGGGACCTTAGGGTAAAGGGACGGCAATAAATAAAGTAGTGATATGCATAGATGTGTCTTTATTTTGGGATGTGGTAGTAAAATCATAGAATTGTAGAGTTGAAAAGGACCACAAGGATAATCTAGTCCAAGCCGTGCAATGCAGGAATCTTTCACCCAACGTAGGTCCCACAGTTCTGAGATTAAGAGTCTCATGCCCTATCGACTGACCTATCATTAGGACTTCTCTATTCCTATCCAACTTTAACTTACCCCATTTTTCCACAAGTAGCCTCTAGGTCTGCCACTACCCACCACTTTTTAAATAAGAACAGGTCAAACAAAAGCCATCAGGCGTACAAGGGGTAATGCCTCAGAGAGTTTGTGATAAGTCAAGAAAGGTACGGTATGTGCAAGCTCACAGTTCCAAACAGGTTTGTAAGTTTCACCCCAAGGCATTCCCTATTTGTGTAGATATGGTGAAATTTTGAACCAAGTTCGAAGGGACAAGAGAATAATTATAGTTTCTTCTTCCCCATGTTCTGTTTGTAGGGAAATGCTGTATTTTGGACTTCGTAATTTTGTTACATTATAGAAGTGAAACTAAAGTTGTCATAGTACTACTGTTGTCAATCTTTTTAAAACGTTGATTTGTATGACTTCCTGTTTTAAACATGCTAGTGGTAGCCTTTAATGTTTCAGCCCTGTGGCCTACCTTTAACAAAAACATGCATTAAAGGATTCATTTCCTACTTTTTTTTACCATACATTTACATTGTGGTAGGTCAAGTTGTGACCCAGTAATGGGTTCCAATCCACTAACTGACAACCAATGTGCTAGGCTAATTTATGTGGCTGAAGTGAAATTGAGAAATGATGTAGATAAGGTGCTGGCGGGAATACATATGATCACCTGCCCTCTGACCTCAGTCTCTCCTGGCTTACTAAATCTAGCAGAGGGTTGACTGGTTGGGTCCAGAGCACGGTTAATGCTTCCTTGCGTAAGGGTCCCTGCTGCCTTGAAACTGGCCATAGACCCCTTAGACTGGAACAAGTATTGCAGTCACAAACACTCAATTTTGGGGGAAGGTGGTGGAGAGGGTTGTGCTGGGGCAGCTACAAGCATTCTTGGATGCTGCAGACTATTTAGATCCATTTCAATCTGGATTGAGGCCTGGCCATGGGATTGGGTTTGATTGGTCACCATGAGAGATGACTCCAGTAGAGAGCAAGGAAGGGGGAATGCAACCTTGTTCTTGTTTCTTATTTTGCTTGTCAGATTTTCATACCATTAACTATAGTATCATACTAGGCTAGCCCTGAGATGTTCCAATTTTACCTTCAGGACCATGTCCAGAGAGTTACATTGGGAGACTGCTTTTTAGTTCCCTGGCAGCTGTGTTACCGGGTACTGCAGAGCACCACCTTATCTGCAATGCTATTTAATATCTCTATGAAGCCACAGAAGTGGTTGTTTGGTGTTTGGGGACGAGTCGCCATCAGTATGCTGATGATACCGAGTTCTATTTCTCCATAACATCTGAATAGGGAGAGCCTGGACGCGGTGGTGTGATGGATGAGAGAAAAGCTGGCAAGATGGCGGCACTATGGATGAGTAGTTCCCATGACTTAACTGCACTTAACTACAGTGTAAGAAAAAGTATGACAGTAATCTACCAAATCTGCTAAATGCAGAACTACAGCAAAAAAACACAGCCATTCATATACTGGTACCTCGTTTATATTTAGACACATGCCAAACCAAAAGAGTAGGGCAAGCAGACAAAAAATGCAAGGGAAGGAAGAAAAGGAGACAGCGATCATCATTTGAGATTTATACCAGCAGGAAAAGGCCTTTCTTTTGCCCTGGGGATGGGTCAGCAGGTGCAGCTAATCAGGCAAAGTATATTACTGTGCCTGACCGTGTTGTCTTCCAGCAGGGGAACATGATTTAAGTTGGTAATCATTAAATCAGGCCTGCCAATTTAAAAGCATGATCCTTTAACGTATGGCAAATAGAAGTGCTCCATCTATCACATGTCTAATGGTGAACCACACAAACACACATTGGAAAAGCCAAGAAATCTACTGCTATTACAAAGTTAATCATACAACATGGAGGCACTTAAAAATTACTTGCCTATCATGCTCTTCTTAAATATCTAGTGCTTAATAATATTCATATTGGTCTCTCTGGGCCATCCAGTCATTAAACAACCATACCAATGCTCAGTGGTATAGCGGTACATTTTTTTTGAAGTAAAGGAGCTCATTATGACTGCCCAGCTAGCTATCTACACTCCCAAGGAGAGTCCAAAAATGCAGACAGCTGTGTGTGTGTGTGTGCGCGCGCGCATATATATACACACACACACACACACAGACACCCAGAACAGCAGCTCTAACACCCAAATTTATTAAGATCAACATGACTGCAATTTAAGCTAAGAACAAGTTAAATCAGATCTATACACAGAATATTTCTATATAGGAATTTTTATACTCAAGCATTCTGCTAAGTGACATTTTTGAAAGAAATCTTAAAGTTCAAAGGAATCAAACAAAAACAAATCACTATGTCCAGCTAAGATACAACCTAAAAGTAGCTTTAAAAAAAACAAAAAAACCATTCCTAGAATTCTGAAAACTCTTGGAATGCCAGTGCCCAATTCCAGCAGTTGTATGAATAAATCACAGAGAGAACAGTATTGACATGCCAGTTTCTAAAAATATGAGGGGAAAGCACTAATACTGCTAATTTAGTTGAGAGGATATTTTTTCCAAGCATATTCCAAATTTAACATGCTGATAACAGTCCAAATCAAGACTGAAATATACTCTTTGAAACCACCGCAAGCCTAACCCATAGTTTTAGCATGTCTAAGTTAACATTTATTGTCAATACAACATAATTATCCAAACTAGCCATATGATTATGGCATTGCATACCAAACCACAAGTACTTATTACTCTGGAATTTTAAGCAATTGCTAGCATTAAAAATGATTTGAGTTTTGAAATTTGCATCAGATGGGTGTGGGCACATAAGGGAAGGAAAACTATTCCCTACACAGTTTTGCAAACAGGGGGAGGGAGCATGTGGCCCTCCAAATGTTGCTGGACTCCAGTTCCCATCATCCATGACCACTGGGAATATTGGCTGCAGCTGATTGGACTGGAGTCCAATAACTGCTGGGGGTTCCCCATCCCTGCTGTTTTCAACATTATGTACTTCCCTAAATTTACAACTTAATGACAGAAACCACATATGAATTGAGTTCCAATAGTAGTTATAATCCACTTATATACCTTATTATCGATATGTACAGAAATCCAAAAGTTTTGGCTGGCCTTGCTGAACAAGCACTTGTCAAATGCCTAACTACCTTCCTCTTTGACCACCAGCTCCTGCCCCCACGGCTTTTACCCAGGAGAAAATTGGCAGAGAAGTAGGTGTGCTGGTAGGTGTGCTGGCTTCAGATGATGCTTACTGAAGGCACCCCAAGTGCTTTCAGGCAGCAGTGACCAACCTTCCTTGTGCCCATCCTCTGCTCGTCTTCCCTATTCAGACAATGAAAGGGCAGTGTAGAAGGTTGCCAATGTGGCCAAGCATCTTCAGGGTTTTCCACCAAACAACCTGAACCCCACCATACTGCTGTCAAAAACTCCCTAGCTCTCCTCCCAACTTTGGGGTGTACTCGACTGACTTACTTCAAAGTTAGCAGTCCAGCTGCTCGTCACCTTCACCAGACAACAATGGCACACTGAGAAAAGCAAACAGAACTGCTGAATCTTTAACTATCGGTCTTACTTAGAGGTGTGGTTCAGATGCAATGATCTTGGTTCACTACACCATACTTTACTAGACCACAAACAAGCACGGGGGGGGGGGGGGGATGGGGTATTCAACAACATTTTAGTCAAAGCAGACCCACTGAAATTAATGAGCATGACTAAGTCCGTTAATTTCAATGGGTCTACTGTGACTAAAAGCACCTCTCCTCTTTTCCTTTACCCTTCTCTCACTTTTAACCCAGTTTCCATTTCATCTGAAGTTGAAAACTGACTTAAGCTCCTACTTCAAGTCAGGAATGCAAATCATGGGTTGATTCAGTTTCCATGCCAGGACTGTAGTAAGAGCTTAACTCACATATTCCCAGTTTAGATATATCAGGAAACTTTTACATCTGGAGATATAATATAAAAGGGGATATATAACTGGGAATATAAAAGCTGTTCTTCATCAGTTTGAACCAATGACTCCTTATTCCTGCATAAAGACCTTCTTAAGCAATTACAGTAGCTGAAGTCATATACAGTGGTACCTCGGGTTAAGAACTTAATTTGTTCTGGAGGTCCGTTCTTAACCTGAAACTGTTCTTAACCTGAGGTACCACTTTAGCTAATGCGGCCTCCTGCTACTGCTGCGCCGCCACCGCACGATTTCTGTTCTCATCCTGAAGGTAAGTTCTTAACCTGAGGTACTATTTCTGGGTTAGCGGAGTCTGTAACCTGAAGCATATGTAACCTGAAGCGTATGTAACCCAAGGTACCACTGTAGTACCTGGAAGTCTTAAAACACAAGCAATATTCTAAACAGCAGTGAAAGGGAGCGTAATGGGGGTAGGACAGAGCAGGGAGGGTGTGGAACTGGGAGGAGCAGGCTTTTACATGCTCTGCTGATGCATGCAGGGCTCAGGAACACAACCCCCATGCAAAATGGTTGTTGCCTGTATTAAATAAAGCAGGTGGCAGCCAACAGATACCTCAAACCAGTGCTTAACACAGAACACAAGTTGGATTGATTTCATTACATATACATTTGATTAAGGGAAGCAAAGTCATTATGGTGTATTTATTTTTGCTCTGCAAAAATTTGCCTGTTTCCATTTTTTCCAGTTTACTAAATGCATACCTCATAAAGTAGCTTAGATATAGCCTCCTCTCCCTACCCCACCACTAGCCCAAAGATTCATCTCAATGGCTATCAACAGCAACCTATTTCTCCCTTTTCACAGTTCTGCAGCACTTGAAACCATGTCAAATTTTACTAAATTGTCAAGAAACGATTCTCTTCAGGAAGGAGTACTGTATGTAGACTGTCACAGGTAGACATCTCAGATTTTATGGAAACCGCAATTCTCCATGGCTTCCTGGTACAGTTATATTATTTGCACGAGACAAAATGAATGTAAGAGATTGTCATGTATGACATCTATAGGCCATAGACTTTTACATGTCCATGGCAATATTCAGTTATAGATCTTATAATTTAGACATATTACAAGCAAAATCAAGTGCACAAACTCACTTGGTCCCACCCATATCCACTTTTTAAATTATCCTTCCCCTGCTTCACACTAAAAAAACCAACCCTATTTTTTTTAAAAAAAAATCCGCCATGCACTGCAGTCTCTATTATTACAAGTGATTCAAGCTTTTATAGTTGCTGTCCAATTACAGGGGAAAAATGATTCTCTCCTCCCATCCCTTACTGTGCTCTGTACAATGGACTTCTTTATTTTATATAAGTCGAGTGTAGAATAATGCTGCAATCAAAATCAATGCACTATGTTCACCCCCCCACCTCCCCCCGCCCCACTGTCTGACTGTGTGAATGCTCATTAAAAGAAAAACTAGGCCTTGCAAGAAAGGCTAGAGGAATTGTAATGAACAAGAGAACATAAATCTTACTAGGACAATACATAACATACCGATGTGTAACATATTACACATGAGAACATTTGTTTTGCCATCCCTTTAAAATTAAAAACAAAAAAGTAAACTGCCTACAGAAGATCCATATACAATTTTTGAAGTATTGAAGCAGCAGTGTTCAAGCAAATAAGCTATTATCTGGGTTTATCCTCATAGTACTCCGGCAAATCTTGAATAAATTGTCTCCTTCTCTCCCCTCTTCCCATTTTTGTGTTTTTGAACTTAAATTCAAGCCACAGTTTTCTGTCCAAAATCAGTAAAATTGTCAAGAGAAAATTAAAGCGAACACTGGCTTGCCTACCATGCTTTCTCTATACTGTATATAGGAAACTCTTAGAGGGCAGCTGCACTAATTTGCTCACTCTCAATCAGCACTAAAACTAATGTAACATTTTTTTTCCAGCAAATGTATAATTTTTAATAGAATCTGAAAAAATGCACTACAAATTAAAAGTGGTGGCATGTACCTATTTTATTATTATTATTATTATTATTGTCACGCCAAGCATCAGTGCACAATCAGTGTTGGGGTGCTTTAAAAAGAGGGACAAGTGTTTGTTGATCCTTCATTTATGCCAAAGTTTTTATTTATTTTTTAAGACTAGCTTGCAACTTAGCAGTCAGTCCCATGAATGGGGAACTTGTTCAGAATATATGAACTCTTCAAAGGGGGGAACACTGGAAGAGGTTGATTAATTACATTTGTAGATGTACCTTTCTTTCAAGAGCATGTGTGTATTTCCTTATATTTCCATTTTATTTTCAGAACTTTTCAGAACAACACATTGAAGTGAATTAGACTTGAGAAGCAGTCCACTTATTAGTTTTATGGTTCTGCGGTTTTCTATCCAAGTGGGGATTTGAACTTTCAAGTTTCCATGCACCAAATCCACTATATCACATGGGTTGGGTGTTTTTTTGGCTATTTTTCACAAGAGAAATAACCTCCCATCACCTTTGCATGCTTTACTCAGACTTGCCATTCTCATCTGGAGTTGCTGTTCTTTACCCAACCAACTCTAGTCCTAAGGTTTTTCCGCTTGACTTGGGAATTTCCTACAGCCAGGACTACAACGAAGTTACACTGGGAGTTTCCCATAGTGTGGGAGACTTGCCTTAGGGCCCTTGTGTAACATAATGCTCTGGGTTCACAAACAGACCTTTTAAAGGAATCATATGAGAAAGCAGATGAGAAAGATTAGTCATCTATTCCAGTTTTCTGCTGATGAATCAGTGCACAGGACACAAGTCTAGGATCCTGTTTGCAAACGTGTCCATGAACCTTTGTTTCCTCCATGTAATGTTCCTATATAGAGGTACTTGTGATTGGTCCAAACGTGGGCCATGAAAATACTCTCAAGATGCTTAAGCAAGAACTCCTTTCTTAATGCAGCCTTATTTACATTGGCCAACTGCTAATGTCTTTTGTTGAAAATAATCAACAGTTTTTAACCCGATTTGACTAAAGATCCAAAGGTTTCACAAGGAGTAGCAATGAATTTCACATTGGTCCTGGTACAGTGCAAGTCACTTATAGCAGACTAATCTGCACAGAATACACATTGCCAGGCCACTTTACTCCTTGAAAGTTTCCCCCTGGGAGCCCCATAGTTCTGAGAGGTTTAACCAAACACCTCTCCATACTGCCAAAACTTTAAAAGGCTTTTCAACTTCCAAATGTAAACATAGCACAGGGCAGCTCAGTAGATAATCACACCTAATTGAGTAGTTAGCTTCACATAAAGGGACAAGAATGTAGGCATCATTAGCTTGTTATGTTCTAATTCAGTTTCAGTGTATGATTATTGAGGTTTGGTTGGACTAACGGTGAATGTATTTAAGAAGAGAGCACTCATAATTAAAGGGTGCGTCCCAACTAAAAAAACCCCTCACAGTATCCTTTACTCACAAGAGTGACATCCAAGGGTCACAGAGCCTGAAATTTCAGGTCTGACTTTATCAGCTGTCACTGGAAACTTACTCTCTCCCACCCCTACTCAGATCTGTTGAACAAGACAGGAACAAAACAGAATAAAAACAGACCATAAGAGTACCTAATAGGGACACAGAAGGGGATAAGCATCTCAGAAATTGAATAGTGCAGTTTGCTGGCACTTCTATTAGCTAAAGGGTAAAGGAACCCCTTACCATTAGGTCCAGTCGTGGCCGACTCTGGGGTTGCGGCACTCATCTCGCTCTATAAGCTGAGGGAGCCAGCGTTTGTCTGCAGACAGCTTCCGGGTCATGTGGCCAGCATGACTAAGCCGCTTCTGGAGAACCAGAGCGGCGCACGGAAACGCCATTTACCTTCCCACCGGAGTGGTACCTATTTATCTACTTGCACTTTGACGTGCTTTCAAACTGCTAGGTTGGCAGAAGCTGGGACTGAGCCACGGGAGCTCACCCTGTCACAGAGATTCGAACCGCCAACCTTCTGATCGGCAAGTCCTAGGCTCTGTGGTTTAACCCACAGCATCACCCGCATCCCTGGCACTTCTATTAGCCATCTATAAAAGTACAATAACAAGCTTAAGAGCAAAAAACACCACTACCAAAGCCAAATCCAGTATCCAGGTAAGGTTCTTGCTGCCCTGAGGCCCCCTTCACAACCACATGCAGCATCAAAACAACATGTTCCCCCATTTTCACTTTCTACACCAAGAGCAGGATGCTTTTAAAAAAGGACTTTTGGTCTGATCCAGCAAGGTTGTTCTTTACGAAAACTTTATAAAAATACCTTACTACTAACCACAATGCAATCTTTTAAAACCTACTTTTGAGCATTGGTGTGCTATTTGCTCACTGGTTTTTTATGGAGTCTACTATTTCCAATGGAAGTGTCAACAAGCTGCATCCAACAGGACTATCACCTGCTAAGCACAGAAGGCTACCAGGAAGACAATCCATCACCGTCTGATGGACTAGTTGGTAATGCACTGGATTATATGTTCTTTCAAAATCTGCCAAAATGGATAATGATTACTTCAACATGCAATGAACCTCATGCATCTGTACTGCCAGGTTCTGATTAAATGTCGGGCATACTTCCAAAATACATATGATTAGTAAGATAGAAGTATATAGCTAGGGTTTGAGAAGGGACTAGGAGGAGGATCAGGTGATAAAGTCCCCACAAGCTGAGTGCACCACAACAGTATGATACAACATGATTGGGTGCTTCTGGTGATAAGTATGCAGGGTCGTGCTGTGTGAAAAGTCTATTTCACTGTCTGCAGAAGTGCACAGAATATATGATATATCTGCATAGCAAAATACAGGCAGATCAGCAGCTACTACTGCTATGTCATAACCATTATCAACATATACATGCCCATTCCCTTCTTCCCGCCTTGCAGCACATTTCATGCCCCTACAACAGGTGGTGAAGGGGGGAAATCCTTTTTGCCTTTTGCTTTATGACACCCACCCTTACGTGCACAAGCTTTCTGTTCATCTCTGTTCTACACATATCCATCTAGCCCTACCACCACCCCATGCACTCCAAAAATGTATGGAAAATAAATTACTTTGGTAAAACCATAGTTCTGCTTTGTTTTAACTCATTTATACAGTTGTAAATCTCTATGCAACTCCTTGCTACGGGCTGGACAGTTATCACAATACAGCTGCCATGTTAAGAAGCCTTGATATGAGAACACTGTTTCCGATTGGTGGGAATGAGGGCTTTGAGTAGCATACTACAAAGCAGAAGGATACACTATGAGGAAACACTTGCCACAGAGACCAAAAGGTCAAATGAAAGGCAGCATGTGGGGAAAATGGAAGGAGGGGGAAGGGATTTAATTAAGTAAAAGATTATAAGCAATAATACAATTAAATGATTAACTGCATATTTGAAAACAACAAAAAAAATCACCGTTTCTGTGCTGGGGTCTGTAGGTCCAGCTCTCATCCTCTTCTACCTGCTGCCCACATATAGATGTGAGTTCACCATCGCTGCGAAACAGCCTTTTTGTCTGCTTAGACAAGGTAGAGAAGTTTATCCAGCTCACAGCACGCGAGAGGGATCCTGGATTATGTTTCAACCGGAATGACTTAGAGGCACTTTCTTTTTTCATTTCTCGCCCCCAAAAAATAAATAAATCCACTGGAGTATGCAACTTTCAAAACCACCCTCGTAGCTTTCTCCTTTTTCTTTTTATCTAATATAAAATAACCAAGTTTCTTTAAACTTAAAGAAAACACATGCACTGTTTAAATCTGCATGGCGCACAGAACCAAGCGATTGTGCCTGTACAATTCCCGGAGGCTGCTTCTGCCTACAGTACTTTGTGAGCTGCCAAACAAAACACAGCGGAAGAAAGAAAAACACCACGGCACCCTGAAAACAACCTTCAGATGAGGATTGTGTAGAAGCACAACACCGAGGGACACAGCTTTCCGTTTTTTCCAGGTTTCAACCAAAGTCCATCTCCTCTGCTCAGTAACATTCTCCACCGATATGCTTGTAATCCAGCCTTCTCTTCTATCACATTTTCTTTAAACAAAAAAAGCCAGCTTCTTGGATCAGGGAGATGTACATGCTGCTAACAAGTTGCCAGACCAGGATACAAATTGGAACGGCTTTCTCTTTTCTGCAAGGAAATGGCACTGCCATTCTGATTCTTAAGTCCGTCCATCCTGTTTGCCCTTAAATGAAAAGCCTGGGGAACAATCTTCAGAAGGATTCTCTTTAACAATAAAAGAGACTGCCTGGCTAAAGCAATCGCTTAGGATTAGGGTGAAATATGATAGGCTCTCGCGCTCTCTCTCTCTCCCCCAAAGGCACAGCTGTAGAAGCAGCAAACTCCTCCTTTCTGTGGCAGACAGCTAACAGCAGTGCAAACTTCTGAGCAGGGTAGATAACTCAAGGGCACCTCAGCCAACTTATACAAGGAGCAATAAAAAGCTCAAATTTAAGTGGTACGTGATGTTTTATTTTACAATGGGCATACATTACACATAAGTCTGTAAAACACTGCTAGTTTTACTGGTGGTGAGAACGAGAGCTACAAACAAACAGGAAGTTTTCAATATACAGTTACATACATGACTTTTCTCCTATACTTTCCTATTACAAATTTCACTTATTCTATGTTTCAAACACCTTCACTTTTCATTACAGAAGCACACAGATAGGATTACCATTGTTAAATTAGATTAAATGTTTAATAAGAAAGCAAATTAACTACTGAATTCTATATAGCACACTGTATTCAGTTTTCCTGAAACTGTTGGAGGAAGTCTGCATGAAAAGAGTGAGAAAACAACACAAAATTCCAATGTACCCCCATCCCCCCATGAAAGAGCCAAGGATTGCAAGATCCAATACATTTTGACTACTTTCTCAGAATGTGATCCCATGGAGCTAGTAGATTTATATTTAGGGGTTTTGTCAACAAAAGCACTATAGCTCAAAAAAGAACTCCTTGAAGACACCCCATAAACCGCAATACATGATACTAATTCACTCTGTAAGCATGAGAAACCAACACTAGTTGACTCCATTATTATTATTTAAATTTGTATGCCACCTTTTATCCACAGATCTGAGGGTGCTTCACAACATAAAAATAGAAGTTAAAAATCACAAAATACATAATAAAAATAACCCCACCCTTCATTCACATAAACCAAGAATAATTAATCCTCTTGTGCAAGACTAGTTCCAGGACTACAGGCACTGTGTTTTTAATTCAAAACAAAGCAATCTAACTCGACAAAAAACATCAAAAGACACAAAAAAGCGCATTTCTGGCAAAGAAGTGCCACCGGTTATGGTGCAATTGTTGTCTCATGAGAGACATCATTACTTCAGCATGCATACGTATTCTTCAGCACCTTTCAGAAGTAATTCCTTCTCCCCTGTAAAGTTACAGTTGTGTGACTCATAATGGAAGGATAAAGTTCATCGTCTGCCTGGGAAACAAACAGCCAAGTACTGTATCAGATTACCTATGAATCAGCTAGGCACACCAAAATGACCTTTGGCTCCTTGAACAATGGATTGGCCAACTGTCTTCAGTAAATAATTTAATAGGCTGTATTTATATTGTCCCCTTTGAAGGCAACACATACACCCCACTAAAAAAAAAATCTACACCCCTAGAAGTAAAGCACATGGCATATAAAGTTATTTGACTGAAACCTGCAAATAAATATAGCAATGCAATTAACAAAACTACACTAAATGTGCTCGCGTGCTTTGGTGGTCACTAAGAGTCGGACACAACTAAATGACTAAACAACAACACTAAATGTTCCTTCAAATAATAGAGTTAACAGGTAAACAGGATTGCAGCATAATAATCTCTAGATGACTTCAATTTATTGGATAAGAATCTAGAGAAAGTGGAAAATTAAGTGGCAATCAAATTTCAGAGGCACAATTCCTAATTTCTGGTAGAAATCAAAACTTCAAATATTCCAAATACTAATATTGGCTCCATGTCACAGCTTGATAAAATGAACAGAACTGAACATGAAAATTAGGATTAACAACTGAGAATTCTCCCATTTCTGCAACACAAAAAGCAATGATATGATGTGATGTTTATTTTAAAGCACCATGTCATTTTGCCATAATATTTATTTGAGGAAGAGGAGGTTAACTCAATTTATTGTGATAAGGTCAGCAGTTACATGGCGGTCCCTGTTCATGAAGCAAAAATTACAATTCAGAGTATGTACCTGGTAGTCCGTATTTTATTTCATAACACTTTCTCTTACAATAAAAACTTAGGGTAGATGTAGAGAAAAGAGATAAACTGTTCAAATTTAAATGAAATTTATTTTGCTAGAAAGATGTCAGTTTCATCTCATTATTTCTCAAATATAATTTACACAAATTGAAACTGAAAAATACTGGATTTATCCCACATTAGATTATTTGTACTCACAAACAGTCCCAAGAGGAGGGAATCACAACAGTCTGTAGGGTGCAATCCAGCCAGTCATGCATTTTACATCCTATTTATTTCAGTGAGAGAGCTAAGCACATGTTAAATCTGTTGAAATCAGTGAGACCAAAGAGTATTTAACTTTAACTAGATTATGCCCTAGGAATTCTAACTGATCATTTCACAATATAACACAGGGCTGTAAAACTGTATATAAGAAAATGGAATACGCAGAAACAAAATTCCATACTTAACAGTGAATTTCTGTTCTTTACAAGTGAACAAGATCAGCTAGATGGGGAAGGAACTATGTTCTGGGGCCAGAAAACAGTCCCCAGTATCTTTCTGAAGCGCAACTCCCACCATGACATCCAGGCCAGCTGACTTCCTGCCTCAAGGTGAGAGGTATCTAACATGAGAATCACAATAAAGAAAGTAAAAGGGAAGACAACAAAGGGAAGATTAGATGATGAAATGCTCACACTCCAGTTCCAACTCTCTTCCCAGAAGTCCAACAGGCCAGAAGAATAAAAGCTGAGCCTGAAAACAGTGGACCCCTTCATCCTAACTTCTCTACACTTGAAAACACCAGCAATAAACACCCAGTCCTTGCTGTACAAGTGGTGTTCTGGAGCACTAGAAGAAGGACAGGCACTTTTCCAGGCCACAAGAGGCATATGAGGCCAGGAACTGAAGGACACTGGCCATCTTCCAACCGCTTTCCTACACCCACTGAGCAGCTGTGCAGCAGCAGTGTCCATATTAGTCAGCATCATTCAGGCAGCAATCCAGAGAGCTACATGAATGAGAGACGACCAGGACTCTAACCAACCCCTTCAGGCTTCTCCCCATAGCTGGCCACAGTGGTTTCTGAGATGGCTGTGGGACAACTGCAAGTATAAGTTTGGAGGGTGGGAGAGAGGTCCAATGATCTGAACACAAATCACTAGGTCCCTCCCCAGTCAGTCTCTGACTCCATCCATGGAAGTAGGGGAGGAAATGCCTCCAGACTTTGCAAGGCCACACTATACCATCAGCTAGGCCAGGTATACGCTCCTTCAGATATACAGGACCGAGGCCATTTAGGGCTTTAAAGGTCAGCACCAACACTTTGAATTGTGCTCGGAAACGTACTGGGAGCCAATGCAGATCTCTCAGGACTGGTGTTATATGGTCTCGACGGCCACTCCCAGTCACCAGTCTAGCTGCCGCATTCTGGATTAATTGCAGTTTCCGAGTCACCTTCAAAGGTAGACCCAATGTGCTCTAGCACATTGCAGTAGTCCAAGCGGGAGCTAACTAGAGCATGCACCCCTCTGGCAATACAGTCTGTGGGCAGGTAGGGTCTCAGCCTGTGTATCAGTTGGAGCTGGTAGACAGATGCCCTGGACACAGAATTGACCTGTGAGTCCAAAATGACTCCCAGGCTGCATACCTGGTCCTTCAGAGACACAGTTGCCCTATTCAGAACCAGGGAGTCCCCCACACCCACCCATCCCCTATCCCCCAAAAACAGTACTTCTGTCTTGTCAGGATTCAACCTCAACCTGTTAGCCACCATCCATCCTCCAACCACCTCCAGACACTCACACAGGACCTTCACCGCCTTCACTGGTTCTGATTTAAAAGAGAGGTGGAGCTGGGTATCATCTGCATACTGATGAACACCCAGCCCAAACCCCCTGATGATCTCTCCCAGTGGCTTCATGTAGATGTTAAAAAGCATGGAGGAGAGGATGGAAGCCTGAGGCACCCTACAAGTGAGAGCCCAGGGGTCTGAACACTCATCCCTCAACACCACTTTCTGGACACGGCCCAGGAGGAAGGAGTGGAACCATTGTATAACAGTGCCCCCAGCTCCTCTAGACGGTCCAGAAGGATGTCATGATCAATGGTATCAAAAGCCACTAAGAGATCCAGCAGAACTAGGAAAAAGCTCTCACCTTTGTCTCTAGCCTGCCAGAGATCATCGACCAGCACAACCAAGGCAGTTTCAGTCCCTTGATGAGGCCTGAATCCCGACTGGAAGGGATCCAAATGGTCCGCATCCTCCAGGCGTGCAACCACCCGCTCAATCACCTTGCCCAAGAATGGAAGATTTGAGAACTGGCAATAGTTGGCCATATTGGCCAGGTCCAGAGATTTTTTTTTAAGAAGCAGTTTAATGACCGCCTCTTTCAGCGGGGCTGGGAAGAATGGAGACACGCTGAATACTGGACCAACAACATCTGGAGAGCCACATTTTCCCCACTCCTGTCATACATGCTGTCCCTTGTATTTATGTAAAAAAAAGTCACAAGTATTTTACTTGGCAGCTCTAATATTTCTTTATGAACAAAGTATATTTTCCCACATATTTTAGCTTAAGGTTTTAAAAGTTTCTGTTCAGTGAGCAAAGCAGACACTGATTTATCTGTGTTTTGGAACTGCTCTCATGCTAATTTTATCCCTGCAATCCTTATAATTTCATCCTTGATGACTCAGCACAGCAACTGCTGAACAATTAAAAGACTCAAAACGGTTGCTCCCTAAGGCAGTCTGCTTTAAAAAATAGTGATCATATGTTCTCATAAATAATCCACTTCCTCAGCCTTTTCTCTTCAGATATCAGAATTCATTCTTAGCCAATTAAGGGACATAGTCCAGCCACATTAAATAATACTGAAAGAATTTGTCCAGTTTCTAGGCACAGCTTTTTACACAGTATCTGTAAGTTGAGAATAGTTGTCCAAAACAAGTCTAACTCATGACTGATCAGACACTGCTTCATGAGAAAAACATTCAGACACAAAACTGCTTAGAAGCGCAGCTATCCAAACAGTACAACTGATGATGTAGCAGTACAACCCACCCCCAAACCATCTGTGAGCAAGTGGGAAAATGGTTGA